AACATTTGTGGGCAGAACTTTAAAAGTGTGTGCCCGCAAGGAGGCCTACAAACCTGACTCAGTTACACCAACTCTGTCAGGAGGAATGGGCCAAAATTCACCCAACTTATTGTGGGAAGCGTGTGGAAGGCTACCCGAAACGTTTGACCCAAGTTAAACAATTTAAAGGCAATGCTACCAAATACTAATTGAGTGTATGTAAACTTCTGACCCATTGGGAATGTGATGAAATAAATAAAAGCTGAAATAAATCATTCTCTCTACTATTATTCTGACATTTCACATTCTTAAAATAAAGTGGTGATTCTAACTGACCTAAGACAGGGAATTTTTACTAGGATTAAATGTCAGGAATTGTGAAAAACTGAGTTTAAATGTATTTGGCTAAGATGTATGTAAACGTCCGACTTCAACTGTACCTAATATTGAGGTGATAATGTCTGGGGGACATTTTTGTTTGTTTTTGCTGTTCTTCAAATAGCATTTTAGAGTTTTAAAATTGTGTAGAAGTACAGTAAATGAGCTTCAACTGGTGGGTGTATTTCTAATCACCCCACTTTGACATACCCTAGTTTTTTTTTTTTGACAGTCATTGACTGAGTTTGACTCTTATGACTGTAGGATCTCCTCACCCTCCAGTGATAGCATCTGGTCTGAAAGATCGTAATATTGGTTCTGAAATTAGGACGAGCTCAAAACAGCTCCATTACCACAATAGAGTCAAAACTCTTTCCCTCCTCTCCCTCCCTTAAAGTCCTATGCCAGTCTCCTTTTCAGCTAATTTATCACCTGATTTACTTCTCAAAAGGCACATCTCAATAGGTGGTCCAGGTGTACTCTGATATGGTACAAGTGTGTTTTTTTTTTTTACCTTTATTTGTGTGTGTGTGTCTGTGTGTCTGGAGGCTATCCTCGTTTGTTCTGTATTGTTCCTCAAGCAACTGGGGAGGCCGATGACATCAGAGGGCACCATCAGACCAACTCCTTGAATGGCCTACTCCACTCTCACTCAAAACATATTTTTTTGACCTGAAGTTTGTGTACATTACATTATTTATATGTGGGATATTGTTTTTCAACAGCAAAAGTTTCAAAATAGCTGGAGTGTGTCTTTAAGAGAAGAGTATAATAATGACACAGAAATGATCAACACCCAACATCTCTCCAGTTACCTTTAACAACATTTATTACAGTCAGCATAGGAAAATATATTCACATTAGTTGTTGTTGGCATCATTTTGTTTAGCTCTGTTTTTTTTAAGGAAGCATAGATGTAAATGTCACAACTCTGAGACGATGATTTAGAAAAAAACTACTCAAACAATTTCAAACAAGGGCATTCAGAGTTGCACGTATAAAATCACTAACATGTAAGGTGCAATTCTTCATTATCAAATCAGGATTCTGTTTTTTATGTGCACACCAATTATAAATGATTTAATCTTCAGATATAAATAAAGTGCAAAACACAACCTGGGGGAATATAATGTTAAACTAAAATGGATAACTTAACACATCCCATTTTTAAACCCTTAGTCAATACATTTTATGTTTTGACGTATGATTTCTAAGCTAGGAGAGTAACCGTTTTTTAAAATAGAATCTTAGAATAATAGAATTAGTCACATAAAACCATGCATGGACAGATTTTTTTTAACTGGAAGTGTCTTTGAAATTCAAAGACATTCATGTTAAAACTGCACTTCAAATGACCTGTACAATGAATGAAACTTTAATGACTCATATCAACAAAAGCACATTTGATAAATAATGTTTTCATAGATTTGATAAAACAACAATAGCAAAATGACTAATTTGCAATCTTCTTATTGCATGACTCAAACAAACCGCAAAGCAAAGCTATGAAGCTACTTAACCACTACATAGCTAGCTGGGCTAGTTTACAGAGGGTTACCACCATCATCAGAGCATCTACAGAGCTTGACCGTGGTCGTCATGGTGTGGTTTGACCGCCAGTTAAGGTCAAGGCACCGCTACCCGGATCCCGATCCTTATCTTTGATTCTCTGACCCGTTTCTTTTGAGCACCGTGGCTCCACAGTGAAAGTTCTCCCACGCATTCACTTACTGCAATACTAATTTGACTGCACACTAAAGGACATGTACTTATTTAGGGAAGAGGTTACCCATGTGTGTCCCCTGGGCCTACAGTTTATCAGTAGTTTTCATTCAAAGTCAAACCCACCTCTTACTGATATTAATTGTCTAATACATCTCTGAGATAATTGCTAGCTCATACTCCAATGTCATCAACGAGGATAAGGTGAGTTACTATAACTATGCACATGTAATTAACAATTAACAGACCAATAGAATATACTAGATGAGGGGTGGCCAACCCTCCTCACAGGGAGCTACATTCCAGCTCTGCTCGAACACAACTGATTTACCTAATCATGAGCAGCTGATTAGTAGAATAGAAACAGGTGTGTAAGAACAGGACTGGTACAAAAGCCTGCCAGCAAGAAGGTAGCCACATGTATGTCTATGGTTGGTCACCCCCGTACTACATACTGGTCGGGGGAGAAAATCTATTAACAGGGTTTGAAGACAGACATAGGGAATCCCTGTTTTCCCGGGAAATAGTGTAGTGTGTAGACAACCTTGAGTCCTCACCATTACAGTACCAAATGTATGCACCATGAATTTACATCCAGTTTGTCTCTTCATAAGCCCATAGCTTACAGAAGGACAATAACATGGCATAGGCTAATAATAAAGTCAAATTCCGTAGTGCTTATTCTCAATTAAGTCAAATTTGACCATCAACTCAATTGAAAAATAAAGCTAACATCGCTTCTTCATGTTTTTAATCATTGTTTAATTCCTAGTAAATCACTACTATTATCAGTTATAACTAACAGGCTTTTCCCTTTTTGCTTTCTTCATATCAGTGCAAATATTCTTGTGATTTTATTCCAAAAGGGCTGAGGCTGGGGATTACAAATTGAAATCTCCCATTGTCAAAGGACGGAAAGTATAATAAACAAAACAAATAACCAGCCTATTTAAGGTTGATCATACTTTGGATGATATGCTGGGTTTGGATAGAAGGGTATCAATATCTTACATTATCATGTACTGCTTATGTATTGCAATATACCTCAGTTTAGCACCAAAGATGTACAGTTGAAGTCGGAAGTTTACATACACCTTAGCCAAATACATTTAAACTCAGTTTTTCACAATTCCTGACATTTAATCCTAGTACAAATTCCCTGTTTTAGGTCAGTTAGGATCACCATTTTATTTTAATAATGTGAAATGTCCGAATAATAGCAGAGAGAATGATTTATTCCAGCTTTTATTTCTTTCTTCACATTCCCAGTGGGTCAGAAGTTTACATACACTCAATTAGTATTTGGTAGCATTGCCTTTAAATTGTTTAACTTGGGTCAAACGTTTTGGGTAGCCTTTCATAAGCTTCCCACAATAAATTGGGTGAATTTTGGCCCATTCCTCCTGACAGAGCTGGTGTAACTGAGTCAGGTTTGTAGGCCTCCTTGCTCGCACACGCCTTTTCAGTTCTGCCCACACATTTTCTATAGGATTGAGGTCAGGGCTTTGTGATGGCCACTCCAATACCTTGACTTTGTTGTCCTTAAGCCATTTTGCCACAACTTTGGAAGTATGCTTCCAGGCACTGAGTTTGAAGGTAGGCCTTGAAATACATCCACAGGTACACCTCCAATTGACTCAAATGATGTCAATTAGCCTATCAGAAGCTTCTAAAGCCATGACATCATTTTCTGGAATTTTCCAAGTTGTTTAAAAGGCACAGTCAACTTAGTGTATGTAAACTTCTGACCCACTGGAATTGTGATACTGTGAATTATAAGTGAAATAATCAATCTGTAAACAATTGTTGGAGAAATTACTTGTGTCATGCACAAAGTAGATTACCGACTTGCCAAAACTATAGTTTTTTAACAAGACATTTGTGGAGTGGTTGAAAAAAACGAGTTTTAATGATTCCAACCTAAGTGTATGTAAACTTCCGACTTCAACTGTATGCACCCCTAGGCTGAAAGTTTGGCAAAGGGTGGCTAAGCAATAGTTGTCTCTGCCAGACAGTTTGAAAATGGTACAGCATCCAAAACGTATAAAAAAAGGGCTTGGCAACCTACATTAGCATCAGGCTAAATCATTTACAAAATCAACGCAAAAATTTCAAAAGTCTCTTTGCCGCACTCAAGGTTTTACACTAGGCTCGCAGGTTTGTGCTTTGATGCTTTCGCCTGAGGTGATGTAAGTTCAAAATACAAAGGCCTACTTAACTACAGTTTGTCATAGTCTAGCCTATATGGTGTCTATGTTTTGTAATCTACGCTAAGTCGCTAACAGGAAGTGCTGTAATAATGGCATCATGCCCAGGTAAGTGCTCGCGTTGCGTCACACTCCAGCTTAGTGGGTTTGGAGAAGGGGGGCAATCTCACAATCTTGTCACACAATTTTTTACAACACTGTGGCAGACCCAGTTCTGATGCTTGACGGGGGGATCATTTAAATGCAGCTCCACCAGCAGCGAGTCATGCCTTCTCCTTTACTCTGGAAGTCTATTTGAAAGCACAACTACAAACATCAACATAACACAACCAAAGATATATATATTTTTAAAATGCTTTGAGGGGAGATCCTCTCAGGGAGAGTAGCACTTAGAACCTCGTAAGGTCCGAACCCGTAAATACCCCCTTGTCGTCATCAGAACTACAAAAAATCTGATCTCAGGAGTACGGAACCACCTTTATCGCTCTCTTCGCTCACAATTACAAAGACAAACATGCAGTTAGAGTCACAGCAAATAGTTATAAATGGAAGGTCAACAGGGGTTAATAGTGTTTTGGCTTCATCGATCCTTCTTGGCTCTCTGCGCTGCCCATCTCGGATTTCCACCAATCGGGGAGAAGATGCTACCTGGGAGAAGATGATTGGGGGTGGTTATCCTCACCCTGAGGGTAGTATAAAGTCCCTTAGTGCTCCCTAGTCTCTGGGACAAGGAGGGTGAGGCTCGAGACTGGAAGGGCCAGAACTAGGTTCTTTAGAGCTGTCATCGGGCGTGGGGCGGCCCTCCGAGCTAGCCTGGGCGGTGGGGGTTGGCAGATCGTCCGAAGGCTCCACGGGGGTGAGGGTGATCTCCACCTCCCCTCGATCCTCCAGCACAGTGGACAGGGGCAGGCGGTGGTGGGGGGTAGACTGGGAGTTGTTGTTCTTGGTGATTGGTCTCGGGGCCCTCTGGATGACCTCTACCATGGCCCTGCCCATGTCCCAGTTTGTGTGACTGGTCCCTGGCAGCAGCAGCAAGGGCCGTGGGTCAGTCTCGAGCACCACGCCCCGATGCGCTGGGTCGCCGGTGTCCGCTACCGAATGCAGCTGGCCTAGCACCAAGGCCTGCTGGTCCTGGAATACGACCTCCACCACCTGGGAGGAGGAGGAAGAGCAGGCTTTCTGGATCACCCCTCCAGTGAGGGACTTCATGATAGGGGCTTGGTTGACCGAGGGTAGGGGTGGAGGGGGCGGCTGCGGAGGGGCGGTGTCTTCTGGCCGTGGCTTCCTGGGTCGTCCTCGTTTCCGTTTGGCCGGTGTGCCTCCTGGCCCGGGGCCCCGGCTGACTGCAGCCGGAGCCTCGGGGGCCCGTTTGGTCGCGGCGCGGGCCCTCTGCACCACCGACGTTGGTGCCATGGTGACCGGCGGGGCTTTTTCCCTATCGGGGTAGGAGAGGCTGACGCTCTGGGGGAGGATCATGACTGGGAGAGCGCCCCCTTGCTGCTGGGGCAGGGCAGTCATTGTGATGACCTTCACGCCACCTGCGTCTTTGGGCGCCAGCGACGGGGGTGAAGAGCGCACCGAAAGCTGGGACTTTTCCGGGACAGAGCTGCGAGGCAGGATTCGGGGCAAGTGCTTCATCAGAGCCTCAACCTGCGATTCGCGACCCCCCGGGCGTACCGACTCCACCCCTTTAGTTGGCTTGTCACTGGACTGCAGTTTCCCTGGCAACAACTGATCCCCAACTTCTTTATCCCTCTGAGAGAAACAACATCATTGTGTTACATAAACCCAATATGAGTAGATATGGCTCATTTTTACTAGCTACTATGATTACAACTTCCAGCCCAGCAGTATGTTCATGTACTTTGCATTTAGTCTTTGAAAGGGTATTGTTGATGCACTCACTACCTTCGCTTCAGAGCTGCTCCCTTCCGTCTCTGGCCCACCTCCTTTGGATGGTACTGGGTTCTTCTTGATCACCTTGTGGGGCTTTGCAGGACCTCCTGTGAGACAGAGAAAAATCACAGATGACTGAACACAGTGTAATGAGGACGACTGAACACAGTATGATGGAGATGAGGACACTGAGACTCACCTGCCATCGCGGCAGAAGTGACGAGTTCAGCCTGGCTGCAGCGCGGGTTGACGATGTGTTCCTGCACTAGAAAACGGGCGATCTCGACCACTGTGTCAAAGGAACGCTTGAGGATCTTCTGGGCCCAATCACAGATGAGCTCACAAGCCGCCTCCGTCACCTCTTGCTTGTAGGTCTGCACCAGCTCCGTCAGCTCCGACTACATGGACGCACAGCCTTAATCACTACTGACAGTCATTTTTGCACTTAGCTATAGCAAAAGCAATGGTAGTGTGCTATCATAGAACCAGGAAGTGCAGTTGGCTAGTCATACATACCGGGTCGTTTTTCAGGTCCAGGTTTGGCAACAATGGCATGTTTAGCACCGTCTTCCTGCGGATTCCACTATAACAATACGTGTCAGCGGAAGAGTTAAGGAAGAACTGTAGACAGAAAGGGGAACCCCACCCTCTCCACTTATCAATAAACTATGGTAATACTTGTTTGAGCCTTTGTACTCCGTGGCATCATTCTATCCACATTTCCCGCATTGTGCAACAATATAAAAATAGGATACAAATAGGATGCATTGAAGTATAGGTGAATCCCTGAATTCCATCCAGCATTCAGGGAGCTGCTTGAATACTTAATTGCAGGTGTCAATGCAGTTGTGCTTAATTTGCAGGTGTCAATGCAGTTGTGGCACACAAAAGTAAAATTGTGTTAAAATGCTTAAAGGGCCTCCCAAAACAACCTCCTGACAGACTGAAAGGATATTTGGATTGTCCCCTTCCACCGAGCCTCCGGGCTTTGATGTTGGGGAAGATGTCACGGATGATCTTCCCAAAGTTAGCAGCACTCAGAGGCCGGTGCTGCAGGTTTTCACAGTATCTCCTGGGGGATTAGAGGGCAAGAGATCCTAACATTAGCTGGGTCGTTTTCATTACGGCACACCGTAGCAAAGTGTTTGCAACGGAAAATGAAAATGAGCATTTATTATTGATGTCCAGGTAGTCCGGGTTCACAAGTACATTTGTAATTCACAGTCACAGCTGTGTCTCATGACATGAACTTACTTGTATGTCTCGTAGACGTCTTGCTTGGGCAGGCAGGTGTCTGCGTGTTCCTCCAGGTGGCTACGGATCCAGTTGCAGGTGTGCAGCTGGTCAGCTGTGTTGAATGAGCTGGGGTCACTGCTGCTGCTGCTCAGGACAAACACAACAAAGCTATCAGTACATCTCAGCAGCCATGTTTTGCTGATAAAACAATATATTTTTCTTGTGGCGGAAAAAAAGGGACAGTTCAATGTAGATATTTTGAAACAAGTTAAGTCGGTGAACATTAAAAAAAATTCAAAGAAGGAGATATGCACATCCCAAATGTCTCAACCGGTGCTGGGCCCCCCTCCCGAAAAAGAAAGGTGAAAAGCCAGCACACGGTTCATGTTGCTGCTGTTTTATTCCAGCTCAAACATGCATTGCTGCACTGGCAATAATAATAATAATCAATGTGCACTCACATTTTGGCAAGCAACTAAATAACAATCACACAATTTCAATCATTGTGTTATAAACATTTATAACAGATTTGTAAACTATTAACTAAATCATTTAGAGTTTATAAAGTATTTATAATAGCATTTATGAATCGTTTTAAGTGTAAAGCGTTACTGGGGAAAAAGTCAGTATGTGACTGGGTTATTGAGCTTTGTATAGATGTTGACAATAACGCCCATGAAAATGTGGACCTCTTTCCTTACCTTGGCAGTGTTCTCTCCTCCAAAGCTGACATCGATGCAGAAATACACCACCGCCTAAGTTGTGCCAGCGGGGCCATTGCCAGACTGAGAAAAAGAGTTTGGGGAATTTGGAGATGCGTGCAGGTTCGAGATACATAGATCTGCATGATCTGTTGAATCTTTGCATCTCAAACGCACACAATAACATCCAGATCAAAACTAAACTCCTTGTCTACAAACCTTAAACCGCCAGTAGGTAGGTACAGTACACCCCCTATCTCTAACGGACTGAATGGAAATCAAACTAATGGAGGAAGGCCATCCACGGTGGGGCTGCACATCATGAAAAAGACCTCCACCATGCCACTGAGGACAAGCGGCAACAACGAAAGAAGAGGCTGAACATCACCCACTATCACCACACACACTGGCCTCTTCAGTGGGATTTGTGGGTCATAAATCAGCCTCTTCAGTCATCTGAAGAGCCACAAATATGTCCCTCCAGGAGGACAATCATACAGTGCTAGACCCAGAGTGATTGCTAATGATAATGATGCTCACCTTTTCTCCCCTGAACTGGGGCCAGAAGGCAGCTGGAGGTAAAGGTAGAGTTTGTCGTTGTCAGAGAAGCGCTGCACATCTTGCTGTGGGTAGGAGAGACATATGATAAATCTGGGTCTTAAACCATTCATAGACAAGGCAATTCATACACCGTGCAATCCCAAAGATGTCTTGGCACTCACCAGGATAATGTCCACTTTGCCCTGTACATTCTTACTGCGAAAAAAAAAAACTATTACAGTTAGACACAAACAAATTTCTGAAGACTTTCTAATGACACTGATGGATGAGCTGTATGAGATAAATGGCAGGAAATGTTGGAGAGGGTGCTGATACTACACAATACTTTATTGTCCATTTTGATGATTTAAGCAGTGGCTGTGTGGACAGAGGGGTGGGACTTACGAGATGTTGCTCTTTAGTTTCTGCAGCAGCAGGCTAGGCTCTGTGTCTCCCTCTCCTGAGTCCAGCCCCTCCTGCTTGGAGGGGTCCACCTTCAACCTGTCCTCAGTCATTGTTTGCTCACACAGCGGTGGCAAACACACCCTGAGGCCTCTGAAATTAGGAGAGGAAGGTAAATGTGATAACACTGTTCTAAGCACTGTGGGATTTGCTGGGGGCTGTCATTTGACATTTTAAAAGGAACTTTTAGATTTAGTTGACGATGGACAATCTATCCCTCCACATCCAATAATGCTGGTTATTGGACATGCACAATGTTAGTGAATTTTCAACTGATAAGCTGCCCAACAAGACAGAAGAAGCCTTCATTTCATTCCATTTAAATCGAAATGGAAACTGACAATACCAGCTTTTTAGGAAGGTAACACCCGAGGATCATATCTGACTATGATGATGGTAGTACTAATAGGAGTTAGTTTCTGATGAAATTCACCAACGGAGTGGAGCAGAGACCATGCTTTGTGGAATTCAGCTCCAACTACATCGATTCGCCCAAGGTCAATACTTTTAAAAAACAAGGCTATTGGCTACCTGACGGGCTCACTTTGCCGTTGAACTCGTCATCTTTCTTCTCGAATCCGCAGGACATAAAACAATATAGAGTTAAGATGGATATTGATTTTGAGACATGACATGTAGTATTTTCATATTTTAGTATACACTTTTCATATTAATTCAATATTCCTGTTCTTTTTCCAAGATTTCTCACAAAAACAAGCGTATCTCTGTGAAATGTCAATGGAGCACTGAGCGTACACCAATATTTTTTATTTTCAAAGCCTTTACATTTAATTCAGCTTGTGTCATGCTAATTTTGCTTTTTGCAACCAGCGGAAACAACTTTGAATATGACAACCACAAAATCTAAAATACCCAAATGGGGAAACCTGCACCGCTATGTCAACAGAGCTCTGTGCTTATTATCGGATGTATTAGGTTACGAAATCCTACTTTTTGGATACAATGTTAATGATATGTTACAGAAAGACCCCACTGAACGATTCAGAACATGAATAATCATTATTATCTTGGTAAAATGTATTTTATTACATAAGGAAGTGACATTTCCTCACTAAAGTGGCTGGACATCCTAAATCAGGGTTCCTCAATTGGCGGCCCGCGGGCCAATTTGGCCTTCGGCTGATTGTATTTGATCCCCAACCTTTCTGATAAAAAAGAAAAAGACTGTAAAGACACCAGAAAAGCAGCTCTAACATGATGTCCAAACCGACTCCACGCGTGTGTCTGCATGTTGAGTTTGTCTATCCCCACCAGACGCGATCAGGACACAGAGGTTGAAATATCAAAACGAACTCTGAACCAAGTATATTCATTTGGGGACAGGTCGAACCATATGAAACGTTAATGGATATTTAGCGAGCTAGCTAGCTTGCTGTTGCTAGCTAATTTGTCCTGCGATATAAACATGGGGTTGTTATTTTACATTAAATGTACAAGGTCCTTTTTTTTTGTTGGATCTTTGTATTATATCGACCCAGTTTGAGTCACACAAAATCGTGTGTTCTCTACTTAGACAATTAATCCACAGATTAACCTAGTTAGTTTCTAGTAATCTCTCCTAGTTCAGTCATCTTATTCTTCTGTGGATTTTATATGGCGGTTGGCAACCAACTTTAAGGTGCATTACTGCAACTAACTGGACTGGAGTGTGGACCGCGTTCATCTTTCAATCACCCATGTGGGTATATGCTCCTAAAAACCAATGAGGAGATGGGAGAGACTTGCAGCGCGTCTGGCTACGCAGACGCTTGTTGACGCGCACGAGCAGTTTGGATGAAATTATTGAATAACATGCATGTGTACATATATTTTGAAACGCTCAGGCATGCAATGCAGCCGGTGTGGTCAGCATGTAAGTGATTTTAATTTTGGAAATCTGTTCCAAAGTATTATAATATATCATATTATATATTCCCACGCATAATAGAGAGATATACAGTGCGGTCCCAAATTATTGACACCCTTGATCAAAATGAGCAATAATGACTGTATAAAATAAATAATTCAAATACTGAGCTATATTGTATACAAAAATAATAATTGGGAAATTACAGTGCCTTTAGAAATTATTCACACCCCTTGACTTTTTCCACACTTTTGTTGTGTTAAACTGAATTCAAAATGTGCTTAAAAAGTCCCTTAATAAGTTGCATGGACTCACTTTAGCATGATTTTTGAATGACTACCTCATCTCTGTACCCCACACATACAACTATCTGTAAGGTCCCTCAGTCGAGCAGTGAATTTCAAGCACAGATTCAACCACAAAGACCAGGGATGTTTTCCAATGCCTCGCAAAGAAGGGCACCTATTGGTAGATGGGTAAAAATGTTAAAAGGCAGACATTGAATATCCCTTTGAGCATGGTAAAGTTAATAATTACACTTTGGATGGTGTATCAATACACCCAATCACTACAAAGATACAGGGGTCCTTCCTAACTCAGTTGTAGGAGAGGAAGGAAACCACTCAGGGATTTCACCATGAAGCCAATGTTGACTTTAAAACAGTTACATAATTTTATGGCTATGATAGGAGAAAACTGAGGATGGATCAACAACATTGTAGTACCTCCACAATACTAACCTAATTGACCGAGTGAAAAGAAGGAAGCCTGTACATAATAAAAAACATTCCAAAACATGCATCCTGTTTGCAGTGGTGTAAAGTAGTTAAGTAAAAATACTTTAAAGTACTACTTAAGTCGTTTTTTGGGGTATCTGTACTTTACTTTACTATTTATATTTTTGCCAACTTTTACTTCACTACATTCCTAAAGAAAATAATGTACTTTTTACTCCATACATGTTCCCTAACACCCAAAAGTACTCGTTACATTTTGAATGCTTAGCAGGACAGGAAAAAGGGTGCAATTCATGCGCCTATCAAGACAATATCCCTGGTCATCCCTACTGCCTCTGATCTGGCGGACTCACTAAACACACATGCTTCGTTTTGTTTGTGTTTCAGATTATTTTGTGCCCAATATAAATGAATGGTAAATGTATTGTGTCATTTTGGAGTCACTTTTATTGTAAATAAGTTCAGAATATGTTTCTAAACACTTCTACATTACCCTAATGTGGATGCTACCATGATTACGGATAGTCCTGAATAGTTAATAATGATGAGTGAGAAAGAAAGTTACAGAGGGTCGAAGATCATAACCCCAAGACATGCTAACCTCCCCTGTTATTGGTAATGGTGAGAGGTTAGCATGTCTTGGGGGTATGATCTTTGACCCTCTAACTTTCTCACTCATTATTATTCACCATTCAGGTCAGGATTATTAATGAAGAATTGTACTGCAAAAGTGAAATAGAAGTTATTTTCATGTCAATGTCGTATCAATATGAGCATTACAAAATAAAATTAGGGGGGGAATCAAAGTCTGGTGTGTACCGTATAGCCAAGATCAAGTATAGTGATACGTGCTACAGCTACAGAGAAGGGTGCAATTCGGGGCATTCCTGCATCTGCATTCCCTCCTTTCTATTGCAACATTTTAAAGCAATGACAGGCAGGAGCGCTCCAGTACAGTAGGTGGTGTTAATGCACAATAACGTTGGATGCCAGCCGCCAATAAACCCCACAGAAGAAGGGGCGGGGGCGACAACGGTAGCTAACTAGCCGAACACCGGTAGACAGTGTCCTTCGTCCCCACCTGTCATGTACTGTTTTCCTGCAGTTCTGTTAACGACGGTGAGGGCAGGTGGGAGCGAAGGACACAGCAGGCGGGAGCGACACAGTGTGCTAGCTAACACACGGTGTCCCTACCTAGCAAGCTAGCTAACACATGGTGTCGCCCCAGCCTCCCGCCTGCTGTGCTAGCGGAGGTGGAGGCGACCGGTAGAAAGTGTCCTTCGCCACCGCCTGTCGGCACACAGCAGAAAGCTGGGGGTTGTTCATGAAGGAACCATTGGTATGCTTGAGGGGTGGCGTTCCTGTAGGAATGACAACATGCAGGAACACCCCGAATTGCGGGCTGCAGTTGCACACTATTGCAGTTACAAAGCTGTCACCAAAATAGAAAATAAGTCAATCAGTTGAACAGCCAGGGACACTCCCACCGCACTATCAGTGTCTGGGTAAATAATAATACATGGGAGTAAAACATGAACGATGCTGTCTGCATTTCCAAAACATGACAAACTGGCGATTAAGTAGGATAATTAAAACAGAAGTGTTCCTTATTATATAGCTTGATAGGTATAATACAATGGCGCATTGAGCAATGTCAGAGTGCAGCGGCTGCCAAGCTGGCCCCACGGCTGTCATTAGCACCGTACCGAAATACTATGAGGCATGGTTTTGGAGTACCACACTACCTGCCATGACATGGGTCTTTTTCTCACTAGCATTGCAAGCTACTCGCTTCCCTCTCAGCTAGCTAGCGACTTCCATTATTTGAGACGGTTAACAATGGCCTTTTCATGTCACGCCGTATGCTATTCTATGGTCATGCGCTTTCAATTTGCATACTTCCCGCTTTCTCGGTTTATCGACACAACATGTTTCAATTCACTCTAGCTTGCTAGCCAGCCATCTGTCTAGCCACACAGTGGTGGTCAGTTTTCTGGGAAATAGAAATGCACATATAACAATAATTTTTTTAAAAGCTCGTTTGACAGGCATTTTACAAATGTAGATTCGCTGAATGCTATTATTTAATCTTAGCAAGTGACTAACGTTAGCTAGTTAGCTAAACTTGATAGCTAGCCAGCTGGGCTAGCTTTAAATGCTAACATTAGCAAGCAATGAAACACCTTTCGAAACATGAATTGTAACAGAATTCAAACTTTTTCAACAATATATCAAAGTAATGTTTAAATTGCGCATATTATTCGGTTATATATATGATACAAACCTATTTGACTATTTATTTTGTAAAACAAAAAGAAAGTACCTGAGCCAAAGAGATACAGCAAAAATCCCCTTTCAGATTTTTTTGTGATTGGACAACTATGTTATGTCTGCCTGACTACAAAGCAAACGTAAATTCCAATTGGTGGATTGTTCTAATTCTACTCAGATACCAAGTGTAATTTAAATTCTATTGGTTCAATTGCTTTATTTTCTTGCTAAATATTATTCTGATAGGAGTCGTTATGGCTGGTCTGCCCAGTAACTGAGCTGATGGATCGTCTGCCTAGTGACAGACACTTGATTGGTTTACACATATATTCATATTTTCTTTCGTTTTGGGGCGGATTTACCCTATGCACAGATCTATAATCAGTTTACTTCTCCTCTATCCTAACGGCACCTACTAAACACTGGAAACGTAAACCTGACCTTGGATCAGCATCTAGTGCAACTTAACTCCACTCTGTTTCTACGCCTTTCATTTTGACTAAATCATCGAAGATTTATAATAAAACTAACACAGTTATTGTTGAGTTTCTTGTTTTATTGATTATACTGCGGGTTAAGGTTTACATGTGGTTATAAATAAGATATGTAATGTTAGGCTTTTATTGCAATTGTCTGCCTCCTGTATCCCACAATTCCATATTATTTGCAGCAGAACACAAAACGAGCAGCTGTGTCGTCACATCCGCAAATTTGTAACATGGATCCAGGCGGTTTGAAGCTCAATTTCTGGGAGAATGGGCCAAAACCCGGACAATTTTATTCATTTCCAGGCAGCAGTTTAGCCCCAGGATGCGGACCTATCAAACACACTCTGTAAGTAAATCCTTTTGAGTGGAGATCCCTAATAATGTCATCCCACTTTCGATTTCCTCTATACACTGCAGTGCTGTATCATCATGGTGGAGTTAGCCGAAGTAGTTAGCTAGTTATGTTAGCTCACTGACTACTGCACTGTTATTTAGTTGGGCTACTAGCTAGTTAGCTATCTAGTTAAACTTAATCTGTCCTCGCGCTTTCTTATTCTATTTCCAACAAATTGACTGACGTGCAAATTGCCCATCTATGCCTTGCAAGTTATCTACCTAATCATGTTGTGTTTATGGTAGCTAATGCTAGTATGACATGGCAGTGAGGTAGCTATCTAGTTAACAAAACTCACTATAATAAAGAATGCTGTAGAATCATAGAAGCATATTATGTAGCTAGTCCTACTCCCGCCATATATAATGTTTATATATGCGCGTGCATGAGTCTGCATGTATGAGTCTAAATGGACGTTCAGCATGCATCCCTCTGTATTACATTTTTAGTGTAACGTTAGCTAATAAGACTTACCCATGACAAACTTTCTACATTTTTCTTTCCCTAAACTCTAGAAACCCCATGGTGACGGGAACATCAGTGCTGGGAGTGAAGTTTACAGGTGGAGTCATCATCGCAGCTGACATGCTGGGCTCCTATGGTTCCCTGGCACGTTTCCGTAACATCTCTCGCCTCATGAAGGTGAATGACAGCACCATCCTGGGAGCTTCCGGCGACTACGCAGACTACCAGTACATGAAGCAGATAATCGAACAGATGGTGTAAGTTTGAGGTTTCTTTCAGAAAAATCTGATATGCTGTCTTGGTCCTTTATGCTGAATATTTCCATTGATAATGGTATAAAAAATATGTTTGTTTGATCCATTTATTTAATTTTATTGTAGACTCTTGTTGGTTAAAAGGCACATACACAGCAAATAGAGTAGTTCATAATATAGTAGCATTCATAATAATAGTGTGGTTTTAGAAAGGAGAAACAGTGAGAGATGCCCTCGGCTTTGTATGCTTAACTCAGAGACATTGGCATACAGAGGCGTTTGCATATGCTAGTGTCAACATTTGTTTATATGCAGATATTATCCATTGACAGAGAAGTATATGAATATACACTACATGGGAGTAAATAAATAAGGAATGAGGCTGCGTTAAATGAGGAACTCTAACTTTTTCCCCCAATCAGTCAATTGAAAGTGGCTTGGATGAGGTCTTTACTAGAAGGGAATACATTTCAGATGCAAGACCTCTTTTTCCAAGTAGTACCTTATGAAAGGGGTGACGACTGTTAAGCTTAGTTTCCCAAGGTACCCCATAAGCACTCCTAGCAAAACATAATTGTAAGTAGAAAAATAACGAAGTGCCAGGCAGGTTGTGCTTTTGTTGGATGTCTTGGAATGCGCAGAGACCGTCATCCCCAAAAATGTCTGTACGTGTTTTATTCTTGTTTTTTTGTTCTTCCAGATACATTTGGAGATTAAGGAGTTAATTTTCTTCCAGTAGCCAATCAGGTGGTGCTACAGGGAGCATTGAACTGAGAAAATGTATTAGTGGAAGGATGTTCATTTTAACCATTGAAACATGCGATGGAAATTAATTAATCTGTCCATGTTTTTTTACATCTTTAAGGACTTTGATAAAATTATTATTATTTAAAATATTTCGCAAGGAGGGATACATTTGGACACCCAGATATCTAAAATGCTGGACCACTGGGATATTTAAAGGAATAGATGACTCTAGTCTATTGTTCAGTGGTAGTAATGCAGACTTCCCCCAATTGATATTGTATCCTGCAATTTTGCTAAAAGCCTTGGAAGATATCTAAAAGGTGGGGAAAAGAGTGAGAAACAATCTAGAAGAATAACATGTCATCAGTATAGAGATGTGATGTTTGGTGCCATAGATTGTAATAGGATCATAGCAGACTAACTAGGGGTTCGAGAGATAAGGCAAATTACAATGAAGACATCCTTGGCGTGCACTTCTGGAGATGGAAAACTAACTGGAGCCGATGTTTCCAGTTAGAACAATTGCAGATGAATTGAAGTATAGGGTCTGGATCATTGATGCAAAGTATAATAATGGGTTTTAAGGAGTTTGGGGGGGTCGCTTTGTTTTGAATGGTTTCTGGCATTAAGGAATAATTTCCCTTAACTTGGGGTGCTGAAACCTTTGCTTGGTTATCTCCCTGAGGACCACCAGTTATCAGGTCTGTGTGTTTGCGTCCCAGGATCGACGAGGAGCTCCTGGGTGACGGTCACAGCTACAGCCCCAAAGCCATTCACTCCTGGTTGACACGGGTAATGTACAACCGCCGCAGCAAGATGAACCCACTGTGGAACACTGTGGTCGTCGGTGGATTCTACAATGGCGAGAGGTGGGATGAGTTTTCAGCGTCTTTGTCCTTATCAGAAGTCATGCCAAGAAGTGGAACTCTTGAAATTGATTAGAAATGTAGGAGTGCCGTTTACAATGTTGTCATGTTCGATCGAATAGTTTAACCATGACCGTGTTTTAAACCATAACCCTGGTTAGTTTTTGCCTTTAACAAACCTCATACCATGGTCTTGATGTTAACATCAAACTGACTTCAGACATGCAGCTATAAATATATTGTAACTAGCTACATCAAATTAAATGCATAACTTGTCATCTTGTATTTCTCTAGCTTCCTGGGCTACGTGGACAAGCTGGGTGTGGCCTATGAGGCACCTACAGTGGCGACAGGGTTTGGTGCTTACCTGGCCCAGGTGAGGACAAATGAGCTAATGAACACATAAGGGGACTGCTACTGAGAGGCAGTAATACATTCTAAACTATGAAACGTGTAGAAATGGAAAGATAAGATGCCATAGTTTCTATTCGCATGATTGGCTAAAGTTGGCATTTATTTTTCAAGTCGTCAAGCTACACTTGTTCATATAGAAATAGTGGCAACCCCTTCAGGGACAAGAAACTGAATGAGTATAATTGGAAGTAATCTGTACTGCATGATGCGTCTGCATCAAATTCTGATGTTACTTCATGGTAATACTGTACGTAAAAATGAATGTTCCACAGTTGGAGTTCTACACGGACTCTTGCGGTATGTATGGGTTTGTTTAGTGTGTAAGGTTATTCTATGTGTCCATGCAGCCCCTGATGAGGGAGGTGGTGGAGAACAAGGTGGAGATCACTAAGGATGAGGCGCGGGCGCTGATTGAGCGCTGCCTTAAAGTGCTGTACTATCGCGATGCTCGCTCCTACAACAGGGTGAGTCGTTAGTCTCAGAACACTCCTGAATTTTTATGAGATTTCATTTTCGAAAGCACATAGGGAATGTTTCTGTTTTGAAGCTACCAGTCTCGTAGCTATTGTGAAAAATGACTGATGTTTGTCTGTTTTTAGCATGAGATTGCCATTGTGACAGAAGAAGGTGTGGAGATTACTGGCCCCATGTCCTGTGAGACCAACTGGGAAATTGCCCACATGGTCAGGTAGGTTATAGCCACATGACTCATTTTGACTGTCCAGTCAGAAGTGTCCAACAACAAGATCCATCAAGTTGGCATGTTTAGTGTACTTGTGTGTAGTATATCACTTGAGGAATATTCTGTTTTAAAGCTGCTGTCATATGTCCTAAATTGATCATAGCATTTAATTGAAAAGATACATTGTAGAGCTTGTGGAATATTTCACACAGCATGTGCCTGTATCTTATGTGATATGACAATGTAATAAGGATGTCATTTTCTTTTATTTTTCAGTGGGTTTGAATGAGGATGATGTTGGCGATTCAGGACTGTACGTTAAGCCACACTATTGGTCTGTTCCATGACATTCTAAAATGTTACTGCTTTGATAAGACTGCTATGTAACCAATTTAATTTTTCCCCTTTTGTAATATGAAAAAAATGTCAACTTCTGAATGGTTGAGTTATTTAAACTTGAATGACAGTCAGGCTTAAAATAAATATCTGGTGAAGTTCTGAGATTCTATTCATATACTGTAATTGGAAAGGTCCACACACAAGCAGAGATGAGGGCAAATGTTATTGGGAGGAAAAATGACACTTAAACACTTTTTCTTTATATACCAACATCAAAAAGTGGTAAAAGAGGACCCTGTGTCAAAAGCAGATCTTGTCTGCTTCCATGTTAATCACAAATTATTTTTGGTTCAACCATACAGAACTGCACCTGACTATGCTGTTAGTACCACAAAGGAAAACCCACCATTAAAGGAGGCCTGACACTTTATTTCTTATTTAAAAATGGAGACTCATTCAGGTGATAAGGAAAATAAAAATATGTAAATAACCTCCCGAGTGGTGCAGTGGTCTAAGGCACTGCATCGCAGTGCTAGCTGTGCCACTAGAGATCCTGGTTCGAATCCAGGCTCTGCTGTAGCCGGCCGCAACCGGGAGACCAATGGGGCGGCGCACAATTGGCCCAGCGTCGTCCAGGGTAGGGGAGGGAATGGCCGGCAGGGAGGTAGCTCAGTTGGTAGAGCATGGCGTTTGCAACGCCAGGGTTGTGGGTTCGATTCCCACGGGGGGCCAGTATGAAAATAAAAAAGAATAATGTATGCACTAACTGTAAGTCGCTCTGGATAAGAGCGTCTGCTAAATGACGTAAATGTAAATGAGCCAAAAGGTAGGATGGAATCCAAGAGAAAGCGGTCAGTAAGGCATGGACATAATCTGTTATTATAAAAACATTTGTAAAGGTTATTTTATTTGGCATTTTTTATGATTATACAGGTAAGACAGAACAGGTACAGTGAGGGGGAAAAAAGTATTTGATCCCCTGCTGATTTTGTACGTTTACCCACTGACAGACATGATCAGTCTATAATTTTAATGGTAGGTATATTTGAACAGTGGGAGACAGAATAACAACAAAATAAATCCAGAAAAACGCATGTCAAAAATGTTATAAATTGATTTGCATTTTAATGAGGGAAGTATTTGACCCCCTCTCAATCAGAAAGATTTCTGGCTCACAGGTGTATTTTATACAGGTAACGAGCTGAGATTAGGAGCACACTCTTAAAGGGAGTGCTCCTAATCTCCGTTTGTTACCTGTTCAACGTCTCATTTATATCCAGAAATCTCAATTTCAGGCATGTCCAAAACGTGCAATAAAGTAGCAGGAGCCTGCTTACATCAGTCACAATTGGGATCTATTTCTGGTCTAATCTTGGATAATTTTGCCTTTGACCAATGCAGCCAATTTTAAATTGAATTACAGCATGTCTTTGACATATAGATTAAGAATATATTCTCTGAAGCATACTCTGGCAAGTTTCGTCTGAAAGTTGTTCACCTAAATCCTCTTCCCATTGGTTCTTAAGAGAGTTCAGGGAATCCAGATTGTGCGAGTTTAACGTATAGCTCAAGCTTATGCCCCCTTTGATATAAGGTTTCACTTTAAAAATAGAATCTAGAAGGGAGGTGGGTGGGCGTGATGAAGTGACTAGAGTATGAAGATACCTGCAATTGCGTAGTTTTGTATCTAAAGAAATGATCTAGGAATATCTAACTTTTGTACTAATTGTTCAAAAGATGCAAAATCCATATCAATACACAAGTAGTTCAATGAGATCCCTTTTCCAGAACAGATATGAAATGCCCGGTCTAATAATGATAGAGAGAATTGATGGTTCCTTAATAATGTAGAAAATTCACTTAGACCAAACGATCGCCTGAAGTGTTCCAGATTGAGAGAATGTTTCACAATAGGGTTTTTAGTGTATTTGGAAACAGGCTCAGCTAATGCAAGTTTTGAGCAGAGTAAGGTAGCTAAGGAGGTGGGGCCACAGGATGAGATCTCCAAGATCAACCATTTCAGGCCTGTAACATCAGGGATTTCTGTAATCCAATATAGAATGATTCTTAGATTAGCTGCCCAGTAATAATTTTGAAAGTTCGGAAGTGCTAGACCACCCTGGGGGTGAGATCTCTGCAATACGCTCTTACGTATCCAAGGGCTCCCGAGTGGCGCAGCGGTCTAAGGCACTGCATCTCAGTGCTTGAGGCGTCACTACAGACCCCCTGGTTCGATTCTAGGCTGTATCACAACCGGCCGTGATTGGGAGTCCCATAGGGCAGCGCACAATTGGCCCAGCGTCGTCCGGGTTTGGCCGGTGTAGGCCGTCATTGTAAACAAGAATTTGTTCTTAACTGACTTGCCTAGTTAAAGGTTTAAAAAATATATATATATATATCCAAGGGTTTTTTCTTGTTCCAGATAAAAGCAGATATCAGTTTATCCATGGAGATAAAAAAATTTATTGTCAGAAAAATAGGAATACATTGAAATAAGTATAAACTTAGGTAATATATTCATTTTAACAGTTAATTCTTCCGCCCAAAGAAAGAGAAAGTAATCCCAGCGTTCAAGATCCTGTTTCAGGCGGAGTATCAAGGGAGGGAAATTGGCTTTATAGAGATCTTTGAAATTGTGGGTGACCCAAATATTTCAATTCCTATGTAGTCACTCTGAAGGGCACATTACTAAAATAAGTTTATGGCAGAAGGATTAATAGGCGTCAATTCACTTTTTTGTAGATTAACCTTATACCCGGATATTTTACCAAATGTCTTTAGTAGAACCTGGATCTCTGGATTACCAGTTAAAGGGTCAGACATATAATAGCATGTCATCCGCATAGAGTGAGACGTTATGCTCTAAGCCCCCTCTTCGAATACCTTTGATAGTGGTGTTATTACGTATTGCTATGGCTATTGGCTCAATTGCGATGGCAAACAGCTGAGGGGATAGAGGACAATCCTGTCTTGTCCCAGGTTGAAGTTGGAAATGGGTTGAAAGGTTGTGTGTGCACTGCAGCCATAGGGGAGGAGTAAAGGACTTTGATCCAGGGCTAAAATTGGGACCGAATCCAAATTGTTTTAGAGTATAAAATAGATAATCCCACTCCACCCAATCAAACGCCTTCTCAGCATCAAGTGATAACATCTCTGGAGTGTCAGATGAAGAGGGATTATATAGTATATTATAAAGACGTCTGATGTTGAAAATGAATGATGATTTATAATGAAACCAGTTTGATCTGTAGAGATAATGGAGGGAGGGAAGGACTGACTCAAAACGGCAGGCAATCATATTAGAAAGTATCTTTATCGCAATTCAGTAAAGAAATTGGCCTATATGAACCACACTCAGAGTTTTGTTTTCCTTTTTCAGAATAAGTTAAATACATGCTTGTCTCATTGTTGAGGGAAAGAGTTTGAGGAGAATGATTCCTCAAATACGGAAAGCACGTGAGGAGAGAGTTGATCTGAGAATTTAAAGAATTCGCTTGTAAATCTGTCTGGTCCAGGGGGGCATGGACATAAATGAGATTTTCTGTGAACAGCGTTGTTGGTTTTCTTGAGGTAATTTATCGCTGTGGACATGATTTCTTTAATGCCTAGCTCGCTTTCAGTACATAAACAAAAAGTACTTAAATTGAAGCAATGGTCAAATTATAAGGGATGGGCTATAATGTCTGTCTTAGCTAAATCCATCACAGCTTTATAAATGAGCAGTAGATTGGAAGACATGGCAGAGCTCTGGCATCATTTCCACTTAAGTGATAATGCCAGAGAAGTCGGTGTTTGGAGGATATATTGGCACGGGTGTTGTTAGGTGAAGCATACATTGTAGTCATTTAGCAGACGCTCTTATCCAGAGCGACTTACAGTAGTGAGTGCATACATTTTCATACTTTTTTCATACTGGTACCCCGTGGGAATTGAACCCACAACCCTGGCATTGCAAGCGCCATGCTCTACAAACTGAGCTACATGGGGCACATACAGAGCCATACATTCAAGTGAGTTAACAGTTAAATATATCAAACAATCCCTACTAGAAGTGACATTTTGAGCTCTAAGCCTATGAATGACACTTTCAATCAATTCTAAGAAATTAGAGTGAAAGTTATTTCCAAAGCCTTTAGTCTACAGTGTTGATGGGATGAGACAGTTTAATTGCATAAGACAGGTTGTTAGTCATATATAATATGATTTAACCTTATAGGGTTACACGTAAAACAAATACATTTATACAGCAGCTTGTCATAGAAAATGTACAAAAACACTTTGAATGCCACCCACAAAACAGCAAAAGTTACCTCACCTTCCCAAGTGAAAGGAACGAAAGAGTGCACACAGTTTTTAACAGGGGTCCGGTAACGTCTCCAGAGCTATACCATCTCGGCTTCAAATGTCATGATTCCCTTGGTTTAAAATAGTGTCGAAAGATCCAAGTCCGTAGTCTCTACTGTGAGGTGCGGGTCCGCAAATAATCAACAATCTCAGTTTCCTCAAAGCCGTGGAAAGATTCCAGATCGCTGTCCTTCTCAAACACTTGTTTGAGCGCTTGAGGGTTGGGTGGCGGCGAGGGCAAGGTGTACTCAGACGTAGTGTCCGAGACCACTCCTTTGTCCTCTGGCTCCACTTTCATTAGCACTTCAGAGCTCTTCTTTGCCGACGAAAGCCCGACCAGAGCCTCGGTCAGGCTCTGCACCAGTTCTGCCGGGCCTTCCTCTCCTTCCTCCTGTGGTGGTGTGCTGACCATCATGAAGGACTGCTGGAGGATCTTGGGCTGTGTGGCCAAGCATGAGAACACGTCACCCAGACATTCCACCAGCAGTAGGGCCAGGTCGCCCGGCCCCAGAGCCACAGCTCCTTCGTTCTGGGTGTGCATCTCGCACCAGCGGGCCTGCAGGAACTCCCTTATAACAGGCACTACGCACAGCTCCAGGGGCTGCAGGCGACAGGAGCAGCCGATGGGGATCACCGCCGGCAGGGTGTTGCTGCTGTTGAGGGCGGCCAGGAAGTCATTGGCCAGGTGGCCGTGGTGAGTGTCCATGATCAACAGACCTTTTCCCCCCGCCTGGGGGTTCACGTGCTTCTGCCACACCTTGGAGAGCCAAAGCTGGAGCCGCTCGTCATCAGTAAAGCCCTCCGGGCACGCCTCCAGGAAGACAGAGTCCGGGATGGCCTTCTGGAGGTGTGGAGGGTTGCCTTTGAGGAACACCATGGTGGGCAGCATGGTGCCATCGGCCAGCCCTGCTAGGACCACCTCTATCAGGGGCTCTCCGGTGCCGATCAACTGGAACGCCTCAGGGCTCGTCTTGAGCTTATCCAGGTCCAGGAACACAGAGAGCTCGTCGATGCATCCGATTGAAGGCGGCCGGAAACCGACATCTTTGACCTGCTTGCAGACAAAGCGAGTGAAGATGCGGACACTCTCGTAGATGTTGCGCGGAAGCGGGCGCTTGGCCGAGCAGGTGGCCTGTAGGCTGAGGTTGTGGCGGAGCATGAACTCCACGGCCCACTCGTAGAACTCACCGATCTCGTGCGACTCCTCCAAGGCCTGCGTGGCTGTCTGGAGCAGGTTTTCCTCTGTGACTGGCAGCTGCTGCTCCCGTTGGCACATCACCCACTCTGCGATGCGGTCCGTGCTCCAGATCCAGTCCTTCTGGAGGCGCTGGATCTCCTGCTGCAGCATCCAGTCCTGGATGAGCTCTGGCTGGGTGCCAAAGCGCAGGGACGCCTGGGGGAAGCTGCTGCACAGGGCGTAGAGCAACACCTTCAGCTGGTGCACTGTCAATTTGGTTGCCCCTTCTTTCCTGGATTTGCCCATCCTGGCCTCTCCTCCATGGAACAGCTCTCCGTTGCTCAACCCCTCGGACCCATGGGACTCCACTGCCTGTGGTTCCATCACATGGCCCAAGCCTCCGACCTTGGGGGTTGTCCAGACACCTTTGGATGCAGCAGTGGAGGGCATGGTTTTATTAGGACCAAGGACCGTGATAGTCATGCTGGGCTTGGAGGATAGGAGCGGTTTGATAGAGAGCTGGGTGGAACTATTGCCAGCTGGTAGCAGATGGATGGGCACAAAGGACCCTCCTTGACCCGAGTTGATTTCCGTAATGACAAAGCTACAGGAGGAATGAAAAGAAGCAAACATGTTCATTATTACAGTTTTCAGGAAGTTCAGTCATTGACACACATTTGATAAAGCAGCAATGGAGAGTCACAGTGCAACCAAAGTGTAACTAGACTTGAGAGCCAACTCCAGTTCTGTCCCAACAGTAAGTAATTTCACTCAATATGTAAGAAGATATTAAATACCTTTGAAAAGCCTCCTCAGGAACATCTGGATGGAAAGAAAAAAAACATAAAAGGTTGTCGTATAGAAAGGTTTGACCTTATACAAAGATACTTATATCAGAAGGTGGAACTCAAAACATTGCATTTATGGTCCCGTGTGGCTCAGTTGGTAGAGATTGTGGATTCGATTCCCACGGGGGACCAATACGAAAAAAGTATGAAAATGTATGCACTCACTACTGTAAGTCCTTCTGGATAAGAGCGTCTGGTAAATGACAAATGTAAATAATTACCTTCCACCTCCAGCTTGCTGAAGCTAGCAGCATCATGGTCTGGGTGATCCACCAGGTGGTTGGCCATCATATCTCCCACCTTGGTCTTGTAGTTACATGATGTGCACCTCATCTCATCGATTCTGAAATGGGACCAACAGAGGGTTTAGAACAGTCCGTATTAAAACACACTACATTCAGTTAAATACTCCTCAAAAAATTGTCTGAAGAAATGATTGTTACCTTGGGTATGACTCGTACATGGCCAGGTATTGGGTGGTGCTCTTGCGAGTCACATGGTTACTTCAAGTGAAAAGAGACAGAAAACATGTGTCATACACCTTTCTCCAAGCCCATATAATTTCAATGACCCTCTATGATGGAATAAATAATTTGGGAAATCTTTACATTAAAATCTTGAGTGTGAGGTGTTGAGCAACGTCACTCACTTGATCATGTGGTTTGCGTAGGCGCGGGAGCAGCAGGTGCAGTAACGACACAAGGAGCAGTGGACATAGGTGGGGAAGTGGTTGGCAAAGTCGGGAATCTTAAAGATGCACTCCATGCAGTTCTGTTGGGCCAGCGATGCACTGTGGGGAAGGAGGTGAAATGAAGGTAGAGGCAGGTTACCCATAGTGCACAGCAATGGAATTTCCAAGCTTCCCATTTTACATATTCCATTTCTATCTGCAGCATCCTAGAACCCTGCTCTAAATGATAAATTGTCAACAGTTTTACTATACGGCAAAGCTAAACACTTTGTTTACAGTATTTATTTAAACTCAATTGAGTCTGAATAAAGCTTGGAGTCAATTCCATTTCAAGTCAATCAACTCAGGGGGAAAAACGTTAACCCTCTTCTACCTCATCTGGAATTTAGTGAGCAGCTTCATCAGGCTCTCGACAGACTTCTTCTTGGGCTCAGGTTTTTGGGGAGCAGACGGAACGTCTATCACTTTGGAGGGCCGGAGGTCTCCCCGGCCAGAAGATTCCTGATGGAAGTGCTGCTTGCCCTGCAGCGCATAGGCCCTGATGGTCACCTGGAGCACAGAGAAATATTCTTAGACCACTCTATTAATATACATTACTAGTATTCCCATTATGCACAGGGAAAACGCATAACAATCACACAGCAATAGACTTTCCCATCACTGAGAAAGTACAGACAAAAATGCTGATTTATAAACTGGGTGGGTCGAGCGATGACTGCTGATTGGCTGACAGCCGTGGTATATCAGACCATATACCACGGGTATGACAAAACATATTTTTACTGCTCTAATTACATTGGTAACCAGTTTTATAATAGCAATAAGGCACCTTGGAATTGTGCTAAATGGCCAATATACCACGGCGAAGAGCTGAATCCAGGCACTCCGCGTTGAGTCAAGCATAATAACAGCCCTTAGCCGTGGTATATTGGCCATATACCACACCCCCTCAGGCCAAATTGCTTAAATATCACATTCAAGCAATCACTCACACTTGCACACATACGGAAAGTATTCAGAACCCTTGACTTTTTCCACATTTTGTTACGTTACAGCCTTATTCTGAAAGTGATTAAAGTAACTTTTTTCCTCATCAATCTACACACAATACCCCATAATAAAGCGAAAACAGGTTTAGACATTTTAGCAAATTTATTACAAATAAAAAACAAATACTCTATTTACATAAGTGTTCAGACCCTTTGCTATGAGACTAGAAATTGAGCTCAGGTGCATCCTGTTTCCATTGATCATCCTTGAGATGTTTCTACAATTTGATTGGAGTCCACCTGTTGTAAATTCAATTGATTGGACATTATTTGTAAAAGGCACACACCTGTCTATATAAGGTCACACAGTTGACAGTGCATTTCAGAGCAAAAAGAAAGCCATGAGGTTGAAGGAATTGTCCGTAGAGCCCTGAGAAAGGATTGTGTCGAGGGACAGGGGTACCAACACATTTCTACAGCATTGACGGTCCCCAAGAACACAGTTGCCTTCATCATTCTTAAATTGAAGAAGTTTGGAACCACCAAGACTCTTCCTAGAGCTGGCCGCCCGGCCAAACTGAGCAATCGGGGAAGAAGGGCCTTGGTCAGGGAGGTGACCAAGAACCCGATGGTCACTCTGAGAGAGCTCCAGAGTTCCTCTGTGGAGGTGGGAGAACCTTCCAGAAGGGCAACTATCTCAGCAGCACTCCACCAATCAGGCCTTTATGGTAGAGTGGCCAGACGAAAGCCACTCCTCAGTAAAAGGCACATGACAGCCTGCTTGGAGTTTGCCAAAAGGCACCTAAAGGACTCAAACCATGAGAAACAGGATTCTCTGGTCTGATGAAACCAAGATTGAGCTCTTTGGCCTGAATGCCAAGCGTCATGTCCCTACGGTGAAGCATGCTGTGGGGATGTTTTTCAGCAGCAGGGACTGGGAGACAAGTCCGGATCGAGGGAAAGATGAATGGAGCAAAGTACAGCGAGATCCTTGATGAAAACCTGCTCCAGAGCGCTCAGGACCTCAGACTGGGGTGAAGGTTCACCTTCCAACAGGACAACAACCCTAAACACACAGCCAAGACAACACAGGAGTGGCTTCTGGACAAGTCTCTGAATGTCCTTGAGTGGCCCAGCCAGAGCCCGGACTTGAACTCGATCAAACATCTCTGGAGAGACCTGAAAATAGCTGTGCAGCGACGCTCCCCATCCAACCTGACAGAGCTTGAGAGGATATGCAGAGAAGAATGGGAGAAACTCCCCAAATACAGGTGTGCCAAGCTTCATACCCAAGAAGACTCAAGGCTGTAACCACTGCCAAAGGTGCTTCAACAAAGTACTGAGTAAAGGGTATGAATACTTCTGTAAATGTGATATCCATTCTTTATTTTGAATACATTAGCAAAATTTTCTAAAAACCTGTTTTTGCCTTGTCATTATGGGGTATTGTGTGTAGATTGATGAGGAGAAAAAATAACAATTTAATCAATTTTAGAATAAGGCTGTAACGTAACAAAATGTGGAAAAAGTGAAGGGGTCTGAATACTTTCCGAATGCACTGTACATACACACACACTCCTCACCTTAGTCCCAGGCTTCAGGCCCTCCAGCTGCCATGGCTTGAGGTGGGTCTTGTGGTACTGCACCTTGTGCTCCGCCCGGTCCTTGGCAAAGAGGAACTGCAGCCGGCACCGGTCGCATTGAAACACTGTTTTTTTCTGCACACAAACACATAGGAATAAAAACACAAGGAGGCAAATGGGTTTCTGAAAGAAAATGGAGTGGAATAGACTGGCTGACAATGGCCGAAGATGTAGCCTCATTGGGTTTACCTGGTGGCGGCTGTAGTGGTTTTGGTAGTTGCTGCTGGAGCGGAACACCTTGAGGCAGTAGGGGCACAGCAGATTGGCCGTGCCGTTGTGGACCTCACGGAAGTGGGCGAAAACGTCCACATACAGGGACGAACGGTAGTCGCACACCTTCACAAAGAGGAAGAGGAGGGGGGTGCAATGGAGCAATTGAAACCATTTTAAGGGTGAATTGCATTAGGAGACATGTTGATATAGTGAGCTTTCCCCCAGGACAGGACAGGACATTGCGTCTGAATATATGGACTTGGTTTGGACATTTAGGCTTAGCCTTGAAGTTCACACTGAAGTTAAATTGTGTAATAAAACAGCTCTCTCAAGTGATTAACGGAGAGTGAAAGTAAAAGAGAAAAGGGTGCAGAGAGATTCGGTGTGTGAAAGGAGGGTGAGTGGAAGAGACGGTATTAGTAATGACCAAGTGGGCAACGTTTACCTGGCAAATGTAGGGCATCTCTCCCGGTTTGTGGGTGCTCTTCATGTGCTGCAGGAAGACAGGCTCGCTCTCGTATGCCCACTCGCAGATCTTACACTTAGCTGTGATGAACACAGAAAAAAAGCCAGTGTGTCACATAAGCATTCAAAGTGCTCAGTCCTCTTGCTGTATGCACTTACTGAACGTCACGCTGGATAAGAGTGACTGTTTCCTAGAGTGGCAACGAAATGTCTGTATCCCTCTTAAATTCACCCAATTCCCAACAAGGTAATATATTTCAGCACCCAGTGCTGATTCAATGTGATTTGACTGTGTGGGTGCGTGGTAGAATGTTGTTGGGATGGCAAGTGCTGATAGATTCACTTTCTTTTAGCGACTATGTGGTATGACACTGACTTGTTGGTGGGCGAGTGGGGAGCGAGCTAGTACTCACCGGTGGACTCCAACTGGCTGTGGACGCTCTCCACGTGGCACTGCAGGCGGAAGGGCGTGGCCAAGTTGCGGAAGCAGTGCTGGCAGGCGGTGTGCGTGTCCACCTCACCGTTCTGCTGCGCCGTCATCTCCACGTGGTGACGCATGTGGTTCATCAGCCTGGAAGAGAGGAGGAGAGGTGGAAGATGAAGGACAAAGAGTGTGAGGGGAAGATTTCAGTCAATTCAACAAAACATAAATCGTTTAAAAACAACATGAATTCCTGTTTCCCACACTCCACCACTCACTTGATGTTAGTCTTCAGTGTCTTTTCGCAGTGGATGCACTTGAAGATGCCCGGCGGCTTCTCCACTGGTGCGCCACTCAGGTTGCGGCCCTTGTCCACGCCGTAGTAGAAGTCCTCCACCAGCATAATGAGCTTGCCCTGCTGGTCGGCCTCCAGGATGGGGCTGCCTTCCTCCTCCACATACACCGGTCGCACCGGCGTGGTGAGTGGCTCCTTGGAGGCCTCCTTGGAGGTCTTGGAGAAGGACGAAGAGGAGGAGGGAGAGGAGGCGGTGGCTTTGGATGACTTGGACTTGGATTTGGAAGATCTGGTGGGTTTGGAGGAGAGCTTGGCAACGGCATTGATGGCATCCAGGCTCAGGGCGATCTGCTTGCTGCAGAGCTAGAAGGTAAGAAGGACCAGTTGGGTAAAGATCAATATTCATACATCTATTACCATTATAAGAGTGTAAAATACTTCACAGGAAGCTTTTAGGGTAGATGTCATAATAGCAGAGGATTTTGCCATATCAGGAGAAGCTTTTAACAACAGTCCTTCACGGTCAGGCCTGGGCTAATAATATGAATATGTCACCCAAAAATCCACTAAATAAGTTATATACATTTCCCAAAGAGAGTATAAAGTACACCTAAGGCACACTTACACACATGAAGCCCCGGAGGGCGTTGACCAATTTGTACTCAGATCCACAGCGCTTGCACATCTTAGGCTTGGCGGGGGCTGGTGCAATCACTGCAAAGGGAACACAACAGTACTCTGGATAAGAAAACGATTTAATGTGCCAAATCAAAGAACACAACAGGGGACTTGGTCAGTGGTAAATTACCTTTGACTTCAATAGGATATTCTATTAGTATGGATCATTTCTTGTTTGGAGTGGTGAGAAAAACTACAGGCTACACGCTCTGGATAAGAGCGTCTGCTAAATGACGTAAATGTGCCCTTGAGCAAGGCACTTAACCCTAATTGCTCCTGTAAGTCGCTCTGGATAAGAGCGTCTGCTAAATGACTAAAATGTAAATGTAAATGTAGTAATATCTGAAAGATGAATGCAGTACCAACCTATTTCTGTTAGCTATTACAGGAAAGAAAGACTACTAACCTCTGAGGGGTGCACTAGGAGAGGGAGCAGTGCTCGGACCACTGGTAGCAGGGGACCTGGTAATGCTGGGAGCTGGTTGCAGGGTCGGCTGCTGCTGTATTTTGGGTGAGACGGTAAGGGGTGCAGTGCTCACAACATGGCTTCCTGCTGCACCTGAAGAACTGGCTGACACAATCCCTACACACACAAGAAAGTGGGATTAGTGTCCCAAGACAAAGCAATGATTCATCACAGATAACACAAATCAGAAGGTGTGTTTTTTAACAATAAATATGGCCTTTACTCTACGAGACTAGACTTAAATTCATACTGACAATTATTTGCTGAGACTGCAATTTAACTTATAATCCCTGTGTTCAACTTTTGGAGAGACTGATGGCCCACAAGGACTAGAGCCTTCCTTACCTGTGACAGATGGGATGGTGGTGGGGAGGGCCGCGGGGAAGGATGAGAGGGTGACCCCGCCGGAGGCCACAGTGCTGATGGTCTGGACTCCGTTGGTGGTGCGGATGGTGAGGGTGACGGGTATCCGCACTGTGGTGAAGCCGCTGGCGGCCGACCTGCCCCTGGGCTGAGACAGCACCTGCTGGGGCGGTAGCTGCAGCTGGGTTCCCTGGCCTGGAGGAGAGACAGTAGTTAAGAGCCGCTCACAATAGGCAGGTTTTCATTGACAGGTTTATTCGACAAAAGCAACGTTGCAAAAAAATTGCTAAGAGTGTAATGGAAACGGCACCTATAGGAGAAACGTTCTAAAGATCGACAACATTTGTATCTGTTCGACAGGGGTGGATTTTTCTTTTGTCAAACTGTCTATTTCTACAAATGATGATGGAAACCGGTTTCCCAAATAAATTTGTATTGCTGAATAATTTTGATCGTATGTGGGGCACGTGATATCATCACGAAGGCCTATCTATAAAGCTCCACTCCACATTTAAATTCTAAATGCCTACAACTTGCTAAATCTATTTTTTCAACTATAAAAATAATGTTTCTTTGCAGGACAAGGATTGTCCTGACTTTCAAGAATGCCTAAAATTGCTAAGCCTTGCTTTTCTGGTTGGCTGGATGCAAGTTTCACCATCCAATGATTTCAGCTCTACAGGAGTGCAAGTTCCACCATGGCACGGACTGTGGCGATATGTTGGCACATGACAATTACTAGAATATAGCAAATATTCTATTCAACAACAAAAAAATCACTGGAATAATAATGGAATCATACAGTAGCTATTGTCTATTTGCATTTTACAAAACACTTCCCACCGGATAAAATATAAGTTTCCGTTCTATTATGACCCAAAGTTTGCATGACAATTATAGAAAAACACTGTCACATTTCTCTGGATCCCACTAAAGGTGGTTACTTCTAGGTTTTGAGGTGGGCTGTGAAATACTTCATTAGCTATCAGGACATCGATACGATAATAGACATGTCTAATGCAGTGGAGGCTGCTGAGGGGAGGACGGCTCATAATAATGGCTGGAACGGCGCGAATGGAATGGCATAAAACACATGGAAACCATGTGTTTGATCTATTTGATATAATTCCACTGATTCCGATCCAGCCATTACCACAAGCCTGTCCTCCCCAATTAAGGTGCCACCAACCTCCAGTGGTCTAATGTTAGCTACTTACCACCAGGCAGCACGGTGATGGGCTGGCCACTCAGGATATATCCTACCGGTTTGGCACTTATAGTCTGTGTCGCCCCTTGAATGTTCTGCACCACAAAAAGAGAAAGATCACAGCAATGACTTGAGGCTCATTATTCCTCTAGAAAAACTCAAGTCCATGAAGCACTGCCTTGTCCACTGTTGTCAACCTAAACGTTCGCTGCTCAGCAGCAATCTAATGACAACAATCAGGGGAGGGTTCAGATAGAAATATATGATGAAGAACAAACATGTCTCTCTCTCGTCTGCGTACCTGTGTGGTGAATATGATGTTCTGGCCAGTGGTGCTGCCTGTGCTAGGCAGCATAGTGGTTGGCATATGCAGCATCTGAGGCATGGCGGTCTGAAGAGGCTGCAGCACTTGAGTCATAGCCTGCGTCAAGACCATTGCTTTGGGTAGTAACGGTGCTGCAGAGATCGGCAAAAGTCAATATCCTCCCTATGAGGCTTACACCGATTGGTTACATGTGTCCATTGAACCATGTTTTATTCTACGGTGACTACACGTCAGTAAGTAAAAAAATAAGCGAAGTCAAAACAGTTGCCAAAAGTATACGTGTAACTGCCAAAATAATGGAAACACTTGAGTAAATGAGGGATACAAAGTATATTGAAAGCAGGTGCTTCCACACATTTACATTTTACATTTTAGTCATTTAGCAGACGCTCTTATCCAGAGCGACTTACAGTTAGTGAATACATATTTTTTTGTACTGGCCCCCCGTGGGAATCGAACCCACAACCCTGGCGTTGCAAACGCCATGCTCTATCAACTGAGCTACATCCCTGCCGGCCATTCCCTCCCCTACCCTGGACGACGCTGGGCCAATTGTGCGCCGCCCATGAGTCTCCCGGTCGCGGCCGGCTGCGACAGAGCCTGGATTCAAACCAGGATCTCTAGTGGCACAGTTAGCACTGCGATGCAGTGCCTTAGACCACTGCGCCACTCAGGAGCACAATCAGGAGCACACAGGTGTGGTTCCTGGATTAATTAAGCTATTAATATTGCTTCATGCTTAGGGTCATGTATAAAAATGCTTGGACGGCCATTATTTAGGCTACCATGGCTATGTCCTCATAGGATGAAAATAGACCCATCCACAGGGCACGAGCATGAAAATGATGTAAATCATATGCCATGGCCGTCTCAGTCACCAGATCCCAACCCAATGTAACACTTATGGGAGATTCTGGAGCGGCTCCTGAGACAACATGTTCCACCACCATCAACAAAACACCAAACTATGGAATTTCTCGTGGAATAATGGTGTCACATCCCTCCAATAGAGTTCCAGACACTTGTAGAATCTATGCCAAGGCGCATTGAAGCGGTTCTGGCTTGTGATGGCCCAACGCCCTATTAAGACATTTTATGTTGGCATTTCCTTTATTTTGGCAGTTACCTCCTATTCCTATATTTGTTTTAATACACTACATGACCAAAGGTATGTGGACACCTGCACGTCGGACATCTCATTCCAAAATCATGGGCATTAATATGGAGTTGGTCCCCCCTTTGCTGCTATAACAGCCTCCACTCTTCTGGGAAGGCTTTCCACTAGATGTTGGAACATCACTGCAGGGACTTGCTTTCATTCAGCCACAAGAGCATTAGTGAGGTCGGGCACTTATGTTGGGCGATTAGGTCTGGCTCGCAGTCTGCGTTCTAATTAATCCCAAAGGTGTTCAACTGGGTTGAGGTCAGGGCTCTGTGCAAGCCAGTCAAGTTCTTCCATACCAATCTCAACAAACCATTTCTGTATGGACCTCGCTTTGTGCACGGGGGCATTGTCATGCTGAAACAGGAAAGGCCCTTCCCCAAACTTTTGCCACAAAGTTGGAAGCACAGAATAGTCTAGAATGTCATTGTATGCTGTAGCGTTAACATTTCCCTTCACTGGAACTAAGGGACCAAGCCTGAACCGTGAAAAACAGCCCCATACCATTATTCCTCCTCCACCAAACTTTACAGTTGGCACTATGCATTGGGGCAGGTAGCGTTCTCCTGGCATCTGCCAAACCCAGATTAATCTGTCGGACTGCCAGATGGCGAAGCGTGATTCATCACTCCAGAGAACACGTTTCGACCGCTCCGGAGTCCAATAGCGGCGAGCTTTATACCACTCCAGCCGACGCTTGGCATTGGCAATGGTGATCTTAGGCTTGTGTGCGGCTGCTCGGCCATGGAAACCCATTTAATGAAGCTCCTGACGAACAGTTATTGTGCTGTCGTTGCTTTCAGAGGCAGTTTGGAACTCGGTAGTGAGTGTTGCAACCAAGGATAGACGATTTTTACATGCTACGCACTTCAGCACTCGGCGGTCCCGTTCTGTGAGCATGTGTGGCCTACCACTTCGCGGCTCAACTGTTGTTGCTACTAGACTTTTCCACTTCACAATAACAGCACTTACAGTTGACCAGGGCAGCTCTAGTAGGGCAGACATTTGATGGACTGACTTGTTGGAAAGGTTGCATCATCCTATGATGGTGCCACATTGAAAGTCACTGAGCTCTTTAGTAAGGCCATTCTACTGCCAGTGTTTGTCTATGGAGATTGTATGGCTGTGTGCTCGATTTTATACACTTGTCAGCAACGGCTTTGGCTGAAATAGCCAAATCCACTAATTTGAAAGGGTGTCCACATACTTTGATATATATAGTGTACCATGCCAGAGCACTCACCAAGGGCAGGCATGGGTTTGGTTGTGATGCTACTGCCATCGTTGAGGGGTATCACTGAAGTGTCATCTTGAGGTGCTGGTACTGGGAAGGCGATTTAAAGAACCATGAACTGACGATAGAATATGACAATGATACTGATAATACAGACTCACCATTTACAGTTGTCTATTTTGAAACTGTTGCATATGTGAATTGAGTCCCAAAACATACAGAATGACATGACCCAGGGAGGCAGGTTACATTGAGTCTGCACACAGCACACTCACCTTTACTGGGACCCTTGCTTGTTTCTTCCATTTCCTCTTCTGGTTGCTGTTGCCACGGCGTCAGATCCTCCTCCACACACTCCATGTGGAGCTCTGAGTCAGTCACATTGACCTCAGAGTCTGTCATGTTGACATCTGAGTCCGCCATGCTCATAACTGTGAAAGTGGAGGATCAACTCTCGCTCCTTTTGTATGTTATTCACTGTTTATGTGTTGTCCAGTTTTAAATGGAAAGCCATTGTGGTTGTAGTTAGAGTGGAAGAGAAAATAAATGTTATTTGTATTGTCTTTACCAAATTGTATGCATGAACCGTGTATAAATTCCATTAATATAATAATTAAAATATATTAAAACATACTAATGATAACAAATAGTGAGGCATTCCACTGAACAGTTTTTATTTATTTAAACATGCCAATGAAATAATAGAATAATGTTAAACAAAATGTACAGTATATTGTAAAATCTGTTATTTGTAATGTCTCATTTAACATTATTATCAAAATGTAATCTCATTAGCATGACGCCACCATGTTCTCTGTAGAGGGCAAACAGCACAGCGTTGATACTTCAACTTGAATTATTCATAAGCAACGATCAAGCTTCAGTTATTAGCCGGCTACATTCGTTGGAAATAAAACATAGCCAGATTTTGAGTTAGCTAAATTTAGCTAGCTGGCTACCAGTAACTCATGCACGCTGGTCTAAGATCAGCTTCCTGTCTTCTAATCTTCACTTTCCCTACAACAAGTACTTCAAACTAAATTGTCCTGGATCAGTAGCTTGTGACGTTCGGATTGATTCCTGCAGCCCACTCCGCAACATGACTCCATGCAAGCAGCAAGACGTGAGCTTGAGCTAGCACCACTGCTAGCTAACTAGTTAGCAAGCAAGCTAACTGAGTTCAACAACTAGCAACATCTAAATCTATTAACGAAGCGTGCCATGACTCTTACCTTGTTCACTCTATTGCCAAAGTTAAATAAAACGGATGAAGTACAACAACGTGGAGATATGTTACGTACCTCACCATGAAGTGAAAAACAAAGATCTAGTGGCTGCTACCGTTTTTCCCTTTTCGGCTCGCTTAGGACAGCGCAAGCAAATGGCTACGTCACTTCCAGTTTTTGATGTAGACGCTCTGATTCGCTACGATCTTAAAAACAGGGGCGGGGTGCCCATCTCCATCATGAAAAGCAGACGATTATAACTTTGTTGCCATCTTCCAAAAATCTACTTTGTTCAAATTGGATTTGCAACTCCTAATACACCCGCAGATATATATTTTGATAAATTGGTGTAAGTTGTATGATTATCTCCACATTATGCATATTCAAATTCGATGCGTTTCTTAGTACAAGTTGTCAGACATTTTGTTACAATGTTACAGCCAATGTAAAAGTCTCACCACTTTCGCTTTCAAATAGTCGCACAAACTGCGATTACCAGAAGCAATAGTAGTATGCCAATCTACCTTCTAACTAACGTTAATTTAGTAAATATTGTATTTCTACATGTTTTTAAGAATTATCTGTAAACTATTAAGTTACTTGCACGACCATGTTAACACCAGCACTGCTCTCAAACGCCAACCCGCAATATAGTTAAGGCCCCACAACCAAACTAACGTTCGTGCTTGTCCGTGGGTGCATTGAAATAGACGATGACGTAGCCACTAGCTATCATTCGACTGCCCGAACTCTCCCCCTCACGTTTCCGATCTGCATATCTTGCTAGCTAACTAACTTTAGGTATCTGGTGTTCGCTAATTTAGCTAGCTAACAATCTTTATGTAGCCTCGCGCACCAGTCCATCTACCCGATAAGACCAGGGTCGAGTGACACCTGGAGGTATTAGCAGTGGCTAGTTAGCTAACAAACTGACAAAGCTGTTTAGCAAACGGATAGCTAGCTAACATCATTGCTAACAATTCACGTATCGAACTGGCTGGATAACGACGGTATAACTAACGTTAGCTAGCTGAGCTATTTATCTAATATTGTTCTGCCTGTGAACATGAACCGTAGCTAGCGATATAGGCAACCGCCTAAAACAAATATAACTTTCCCTGGCTAGGCAAAGCGAAAGCTAGCTAGTAGCTATGTACCTGTAAGCATAGCCTTTCGCAGTAACGTTACGTGGCGGCGCCCGTATACGTACAGGAGCGCCCCCTCTGGTAGACGATGGGTTTAGCTCAGCTAGCTATCTAAACTAAATTACGAAATTCAGTGATTCAATCAAACAATGCTTACGCATATTTCCTCAATGTTGCATTTGATTAGATTCTTTCCAAATTCACCACTAGCTCAATATCGATATGAGTGTAGCCTGCCAATCAAACGTCAACAGTACGATTACCAGATTTTTACTTATAGTAAAATAACTTACATTAATTATGAATAATTAGCCAATGCAAAATTGACTATCGCTCTTTTAAAATGGTAGCCCTACAATAGGCCAGTAGGTGGCACACTAGATCCTACCCAAACCTCAGTGGGTCCTACCCATAGACTTGGTCCTACCATGTGTCATCATAGCAAAAGTTGAAGTAGTAGTACACTCAAATACAGGGAGAGCATGCTGTTCCCCTGAGAGACAGGGACTATGCCACTACTGCTACCAATGTAGAAATTGAGGGGGAGCAGCTGGACCAGGGTTTAGACAATCTCACGGGACCAGAGCTAGACAAGCTCTGTCATTAAGGTGCCCTCTTGACAAATATAAAGACACCACACCCACTGCAATTAATTTTCAAGGAGGAAAACCATACTGGTGTCATACTAGTGGTGCACCATTGACCACGTTTACATGTGCACAGTATTCCGTATAGTAACTCATATCCCGCTTAAGGTCTTATTCAGGATAAGCTGTTTAAATGCACCTTTGATATCCCGTTCACGAGTATCTCTATATCTGTGAATAAACAGAATCAAATCAAATTGTATTTGCCACATGCGCCAAATACAACAGGTGTAGACATTACAGTGAAATGCTTACAAGCTCTTAACCAAAAATGCAGTTTTTTTAAAAGAAAAAGTAAAAGAAAAAAGTGTTAAGTAAAAAAATTAAAGCAAATAACTAAAGAGCAGCAGTAGCCATGATTAGCTGTTCATGAGTCTTATGGCTTGGGGGTAGAATAATATTCCTAATTGAAGTTCATATGGGTTAAATGGTATAGTAACTGAAATATGGAAACTGACTATAGGCCTATAACCTCTCACATGTAGTGTAATATAATATTAACTCCTGCAGAATTATGAATTTTTTTTGCAGAAAAATGATACAACAAATGTTAATTTTGTCTCGGGAACAGCAGTGAAGAAATATTATTTATTTATTTCAGCATCTCTTGAGAAAATGCTAAGGGCGTGTAAATGTGTGTCTTTGACACTGTTATGCAAGCAGACAGTGTTTCAAATAATAGTGCCCAAGACGAACTGAAGTCTAATCAGAAACGTGTTTCATTGTTTTCTCAGCTTTTAATTTCCTTAAAACTGGTCAAACTGATTACATTGGACATTTTGCACAGGATCTTTCCACTGTTTTGGAGTTATTGCGTTTTCTCGCAGTCCCTAAATGAAACAGACAACTTTACCGGTGTTAACTAGATTATTCCATTCATTCTATCGAAGTAAGACATTATTCTGGTGAGCACTACTTTATTTAGTCTTCTAGGGCAACAAGTAATGACAGAAGTCCTCTGTAGCTCAGCTGGTAGAGCACGGCGCTTGTAACGCCAGGGTAGTGGGTTCGATCCCCGGGACCACCCATACACAAAAATGTATGCACGCATGACTGTAAGTTGCTTTGGATAAAAGCGTCTGCTAAATGGCATATTATGTTTATTATTATTAGAAGAGAAGCTGCATGTATCTATACTGAACAAAAATATAAACGCAACATGTAAAGTGTTGGTCCCATGTTTCATGAGCTGAAATAAAAGATCCCAGAAACTTTCCATATGCACAAAAAGCTTATTTCTCTCAAATGTTCTGCACAAATTTGTTTACATCTCTGTTAGTGAGCATTTCTCCCTTGCCACGATAATCCATCCACCAGACAGGTGTGGTATATCAAGAAGCTGATTAAAGGGCATGATCATTGTCCCCTGTAGCTCAGTTGGTAGAGCATGGCGCTTGCAACGCCAGGGTTGTGGGTTTGTTTCCCACGGGGGGCAGTATGAAAATGTATGCCCTCACTAACTGTAAGTCGCTCTGGATAAGAGCGTCTGCTAAATGACTAAAAATGTAAATCATTACACAGGTGTACCTTGTGCTGGGGACAATAAAAGGCCACTCTAAAATGTGCAGTTTTGTCACAACACAATGTCATAGATGTCTCAAGTGTTGAGCGAGCGTGCAATTGGCATGCTGACTGCAGGAATGTCCACCAGAGCTGTTGCTAGAGAATTGAATGTTAATTTCTCTACCATAAGCTGCCTCCAATGTCGTTTTAGAGAATTTGGCAGTACGTCCAGCCGGCCTCACAACCGCAGACCATGTGTAACCACGCCAGCCCAGGACCTCTACATCTGGCTTCTTCACCTACGGGATCGTCTGAGACCAGCCACCCAGACAGCTGATGAAACTGAGGAATATTTCTGTCTGTAATAAAGCCCTTTTGTGGGGAAAAACTCATTCTGATTGTCTGGGCCTGGCTACTCCGTGGGTGGGCCTGGCTCCCAAGTGGGTGGACCTATGCCCTCCCAGGCCCACCCATGGCTGCGCCCCTGCCCAGTCATGTGAAGTCCATTGATTAGGGCCTAATGAATTTATTTCAATTGACTGATTTCCTTATATGTACTGTAACTCAGTAAAATCGTTGATATTGTTGCATGTTACGTTTATAATTTTGTTCAGTATAAGTATAGTTGACAAACAAATGGCCTTCAAATGTCGGAAATTGTAAGCAGAAACTGGAAAGTAGCCAGTATGCTATATGGTCCAAAATGGAGTATCAGCAAAATAAATGGTTATGGTGGACCAAACTGCGCAGGTAGCTTACTTTTTGGAGTGATTTGTTTGACAATCAGATGAAAACATCATCACACAACACCATAGACTGCACAACACCCATGATATGCGCAACTGAGCCTGCGCAGACCGCGAAAAACAACATTAAACGGGATAAGATGTTTACATGCCACAGTAACATCAGCGTATCCCAGGCATCTTATCCTGGTTGCACATAACCGGGAAACAAGCTTTTTCGGGTTATTGTAAACGGGATATGATGTTTATATGCATCAACTCAAAAACAGAATACTTGAGTATTCTGAATAATAACGGGATATTGGTGTGCATGTACACGTGGTCGCTGACTGGTCAAGGGAGTAGTCCTGGTTTAATCTGTCTATAAGACTTTAAACCTCGTATGTAAGATACTTAGACCTATTCATAGCTACTCGATCTGTATCACTGCTTGTGCTATAACAACATTCAAAACAACACAGTTCAAGAAGAAGAGCCAGACTTGATAAGCTCATGATTTACTAGGCTTGTCTGGAATGATCAAATTGTTCTGGCAACAACAGCTGATAAAATGTGGAAAGAGTTGAAGAAAAACCAGCTAGTCAAGTACGGCGCTGTGACCACAGTGTCAACCATCAGTAAGTCACAGCTCTACTGCTTTGCAAGTTATCTTGATCTATTGTAGGTCTCAGACCTCCTTTCAATTACTTTTACAGTTTTCTGTAATGGTAAGATAGTTTCTAACATTTCTACATGGACATATAGTCTAGGGAAATAGTAGCCTAATTTCAACAAAACCAGGTTAACACTACTAAACCACCCGCAGAGAGGATTGTATATAAAAACTGACTGCATGTTGTGACATATGGGATGTAAAATTCTTCAGATTGTATTGTTTAGTGGGTAAGAGCGTTGTGCCAGTAACCGAAAGGTCTCTGGTTCTAATCCCCGAGCCGACTAGGTGAAAAATCTGTCGATGTGCCCTTAAGCAAGGCACTTAACCCTAATTGCTCATGTAAGTCGCTCTGGATAAGAGCGTCTGCTAAATGACTGAAATGTAAATTGTACATTTTTCTTGATTTACATCAGAATCACTGAAGGATGACTGACCGTGGTATGTGGTAATGCTGTATTGTAGTGTCTATTTAAGGTTTGTGATTTTAAACGTGTTTATTCCCTGTAGCTCTAAGATCCTGATATATACTATTATGTGTGTAAATACTTTACAATTGCACATACAGTATATGCTACCTTTTCCATGAAGTATGTTAACAATTCCTACTCCCACAACAAAGGGTCTATTGAATAGACTTGAAAAATGTTAAACCAGGATTAAATCTCATTTGGTTGAGAGATTTTAATTGTGATAGATTAGGGCTTGTGAAATTCCTCCCATGTGGAACCAGTGTCACTGTCTTTTGAACTGTTGTCTCAATAGCACTTATTTAGACATTGTCCCATATCGGCCCTATACTTTTTTACACAATGCCAATAACAAAGGTTATGCCCTCAGTTGCTCTTATCCAGAGCGACTTACAGGAGCAATTAGGGTTAATTGCCTTGCTCAAGGGCACATCGACAGATTTTTCACCTAGTCGGCTCGGGGATTAGAACCAGCGACCTTTCGGTTACTGGCACAACGCTCTTACCCACTAAGCTACCTGCCGCCCTTCCCTGTCCATGGATCGATCACATTGGTGTGCCAAAATAAGGACGTTTACTTTTCCACATATAGTCCCAGGATTGAAAGTGACGAGTACCAAAAGCATTGTGGGCCAATGTGACCAATGACCATGCTTTCTATTCCCATGAGTGAGGCGGCCGACCTTTCAGTTCTTACACACCCAATCAACAGGCAGGGTGCCTCTAGTGCAAGGTTCATAGGTCAACATAAGAAGAAGTAAGAGTGATATTTTGGCTCAGTGCCGTTTGTCTCCAAACCAGGCTATGTTTTACTGCGAAAGTGGATCGCCGGTGGGATATGCCGCAGTCGTGCCAAGCTGCATGGAAGGACTGTGGTGATCACTGGTGCCAACACTGGTATCGGCAAGGAGACGGCCTGGGATATGGCCATGAGAGGTACAGTAGGCCTATGCCACTTCTCTATTGGACTGTAACTGTATTGTGATTTACATTACCTTTCATGGGATGTCCCTTTTGAACACAAACAAGTTACAATGCAATCTGAGGAAAATTGGGGTTTAAGGGCAACTGTGGGGGCTTTTCAATGGAAGGCATGAGGATAGGGGTGTGGTAGATTTGTGGATGTTGTTCAGCTGATGATAGGGCTGATCCTATATATTCTATTGGAATGGAAAGTGATGAGGGTGTTCTCAAACAGACCGTACTGTGTGTTCTCAGGAGCCCGGGTGATCATGGCTTGCCGAGACCTCAGCAGGGGAGAGGCAGCTGCAACAGAGATCCGCAGTTCCACAGGAAATACTAACGTGGTGGTGCAACAACTAGACCTGGCCTCCCTCGGGTCAGTACGACAGTTTGCCAGAGAATTCATTGCCACAGAGACCCGTCTGGACATACTTATCAACAACGCAGGTGAGACTGATGGTTTTACCCAACATGCTTTGAGAGCCTGAATTGTGTTGGTGTTGTCATCAAAGATCCTCCTTACTCTGGGTATGCTTCGAACTATAGCATGTTTTTCATTGTCAACGTTGTGGGCTTGATCTTTTTGAACCATCCCTTAAATACTCTCCCTCTACTCCTCACAGGTATAATGCTGTGTCCCAAAAGCTTCACAGTGGACGGTTTTGAGAGTCAATTTGCTGTCAATCACCTAGGACACTTCCTATTGACCAATCTGCTCCTGGACATGCTGAAAGCCTCCACCCCCAGCCGCGTCGTCAATGTGTCTAGCATCGCTCATCAAGGCGGTAAGCCCATCCTGACCAGATATTTTTGTAATAAAACAAATATAATCAATTGAGTTATAGCTTTATCTGGCTCTACCTCATTCTCTTTCAGGGAAAATCCACTTTGATGACCTTAACTTTGATAAGAAGGGGTACAACTCAGTAATCGCCTACAAGCAGAGCAAACTGGCCAACCTCCTCTTCTCCAGGGAGCTGGCACGAAGGACCAAAGGTGATGGGTTGCCTTATTACAGCTGTATTACGTATTACTACTCATAAATACACTACCAGTCAAAAGTTTGGACACACCTACACATTCAAGGGTTTTTCTTTATTTTTACTATTTTTTACATTGTAGAATAATAGTGAAGACATCAAAATTATGAAATAACACATATGGAATCATGTAGTAAACTAAAAAGTGTTAAACAAATCAAAATATATTTTATATTTGATAGTCTTCAAATAGCCACCCTTTGCCTTGATGACAGCTTTGCACACTCTTGGCATTCTTTCAACCAGCTTCATGAGGTAGTCACCTGGAATGCATTTCAATTAACAGGTTAATTTGTTGAATTTCTTTCCTTCTTAATGCGTTTGAGCCAATCAGTTGTGTTGTGACAAGGTAGGGGGTTATACAGAAGATAGCCCTATTTGGTAACAGACCAAGTCCATATTATGGCAAGAACAGCTCAAATAAGCAAAGAGAAATGAAAGTCCATCATTACTTTAAGACATGAAGGTCAGTCAACACGGAACATCTCAAGAACTTTGAACGTTTCTTCAAGTGCAGTCACAAAAACCATCAAGCACTCTCATGAGGACCGCCACAGGAATGGAAGACCCAGAGTTACCTCTGCTGCAGAAGATAAGTTCATTAGAGTTACCAGCCTCAGAAATTGCAGCCCAAATAAATGCTTCACAGTGTTCAAGTCACAGACACATCTCAGCATCAACTGTTCAGAGGGGACTGTGTGAATCAGGCCTTCATGGTCGAATTGCTGAAAAGAAACCACTAATAAAGGACACCAATAAGAAGAAGAGACCTACTTGGGCCAAGAAACACGAGCAATGGACATTAGACCGGTGGAAATTGTCCTTTGGTCTGGAGTCCAAATTGGAGATTTTTGGTTCCAACCGGCGTGTCTTTGTGAGACGCGGTGTGGGTGAACGGATGATCTCCGCATGTGTAGTTCCCACCGTAAAGCATGGAGGAGGAGGTGTTATGGTGTGGGGATGCTTTGCTGGTGACACTGTCTGTGATTTATTTAGAATTCAAGGCGCACTTAACCAGCATGGCTACCACAGTATTCTGCAGTGATACGCCATCCCATCTGGTTTGGGCTTAGTGGGACTATCATTTGTTTTTCAACAGGACAATGACCCAACACACCTCCAGGCTGTGTAAGGGCTATTTTACCAAGAAGAAGAGTGATGGAGTGTTGCATCAGATGACCTGGCCTCCACAATCCCCCGACCTCAACCCAATTGAGATGGTTTGGGATGAGTCAGATGGCAGAGTGAAGGAAAAGCAGCCAACAAGTGCTCAGCATATTGTCACGGGTTGCTGTAGGTAGGTGTGGTGTGGAATCAGGTGCAGGACGCAGAAGTAAAGTCCAACAAAATACTTTAGTAGATCACACAACAATAATCCAAAACTAGCCCGGAGGCGAGAAAAGCGCGCACAGGCGTACACAAACGGGCGCACTAAACAAGTGCGTAATCTTCTCCTAAATACAAAACAAGGAGGTAAGCTACAAAATAGCGCACCAAAATACAGGTAGCGCAGCAACACGACAAGGAACAATTACACACAACACCTAACTAACAACAAGGAACTAAATAGGGTGCTTAATGAGACATAACACAAAACAGGTGTGACAAACAGACAAAACCAATCAAACAAGAAACATAGAACGGTGGCAGCTAGTACTCCGGAGACGACGACCGCCGAAACCTGCCCGAACAAGGAGGAGGGGCCGCCTCGGCCGAAACCGTGACAGTACCCCCCCCTTGACGCGCGGCTCCAGCCGTGCGCCGCCCCCGGCCTCGGGGACGACCAGGAGGACGCGGAGCAGGGTGCGTAGGATGACCACGATGGAATTCGGTCAGCAGGGACGGATCCAGAATGTCCCTCCTCGGCACCCAGCACCGCTCCTCCGGACCGTACCTCTCCCACTCCACGAGATATTGGAGACCCCCCATCCGGCGTCTCGAATCCAGGATGGTCCGAACAGTGTACGCCGGAGCCCCCTCGATGTCCAACGGGGGCGGAGGAGTCTCCTCAATCTCAAAGTCCTGGAGTGGACCAGCTACCACCGGCCTGAGGAGAGACACATGGAACGAGGGGTTAATATTCTTGTAATCAATGGGCAGTTGTAACCTGTAACACACCTCGTTCAATCTCCTCAGGACTTTAAAAGGCCCCACAAACCGCCGACCCAGCTTCCGGCAGGGCAGGCGGAGGGGCAGGTTTCTGGTTGAGAGCCAGACTCGATCTCCAGGTGCGTACACTGGCCCCTCACTGCGGTGTAGGTCGGTGCTCGTCTTCTGTCGACGGATGGCTCGCTGCAGATGGACGTGTGCAGCGTTCCACGTCTCCTCCGAGCGCCGCACCCACTCATCCACAGCAGGGGCCTCGATCTGGCTCTCATGCCAAGGTGCCAGAACCGGCTGGTACCCTAACACGCACTGGAAAGGGGTTAGTCTAGTGGAGGAGTGGCGGAGAGAGTTCTGTGCCATCTCGGCCCAGGGCACATATCTCGCCCACTCCTCCGGCCGGCCCTGACAATATGACCTCAGAAACCTACCCACATCCTGGTTGACTCGTTCGACCTGCCCATTACTCTCCGGGTGGTAACCCGAGGTAAGGCTCACCGAGACCCCCAACCGTTCCATAAAGGCTCTCCAGACTCTGGAGGTAAACTGGGGGCCTCGATCGGACACTATATCCTCGGGTACCCCGTAATGCCGGAAGACGTGAGTAAATAGAGCCTCAGCGGTCTGTAGGGCAGTAGGAAGACCCGGCATGGGAAGGAGACGACAAGCCTTCGAGAACCGATCCACAACGACCAGGATGGTGGTATTCCCTTGTGAGGAGGGAAGGTCGGTAACAAAATCCACCGAGAGGTGAGACCAGGGTCGTTGTGGAACGGGCAGGGGTTGTAATTTACCCCTGGGCAAGTGTCTGGGCGCCTTACACTGGGCACACACTGAGCAGGAGGAGACATAAACCCTCACATCCCTGGCTAACGTTGGCCACCAGTACTTCGTACTAAGGCAGTGCACTGTCCGGCCAATACCTGGATGTCCAGAGGAGGGTGACGTGTAAGCCCAATAAATCAGCCGATCCCGGACCTCGAGCGGGACGTACGTCCGACCCACCGGACACTGTGGAGGGCTAGGGTCGGTGCGTAATGCCCGCTCGATCTCCGCATCGACCTCCCACACCACCGGTGCCACCAGACAAGACTCCGGTAGTATGGGAATGGGCTCCACGCACCTCTCCTCCGTGTCATACCGCCGGGACAGGGCATCTGCCTTCCCGTTCTGGGACCCAGGGATGTAAGTGATCTTGAACACAAACCGGGCGAGAAACATAGTCCATCGAGCCTGGCGAGGATTCAGTCTCCTAGCTGCCCGAATGTATTCCAGGTTACGGTGGTCGGTCAGAATGAGGAAAGGGTGTTGAGCCCCCTCAAGCCAATGCCTCCACACCTTTAGGGCCTGTACTACGGCTAACAGCTCCCTGTCCCCTACGTCATAATTCCGTTCCGCCGGACTGAGCTTCTTAGAATAAAAAGCACAGGGGCGGAGCTTAGGTGGTGTGCCGGACCGTTGTGAAAGAACTGCCCCGATACCGGCCTCAGATGCGTCCACCTCTACTTGGAAGGGTAAAGCGGGATCCGGGTGCGCCAGCACTGGAGCCGAGGTAAACAGGTCCTTCAGTCTCCCAAAGGCCCTGTCCGCCTCAGCCGACCACTGCAAGCGCACCGGACCCCCCTTCAGGAGAGACGTTATGGGAGCTGCCACCTGTCCAAAACCCCGGATAAACCTCCGGTAGTAATTCGCAAAACCCAAGAACCGCTGCACCTCTTTAACCGTAGTTGGGGTTTGCCAATTACGCACGGCAGACACTCGGTCCACCTCCATTCTCACCCCTGACGCAGACAACTGGTAACCCAAGAAGGAGACTGACTCCTGAAAGAACAGACATTTCTCGGCTTTGACATACAGGTCATGCTCCAACAGTCTCCTCAATACCCTGCGCACCAGGGCTACATGCTCGGCCCGAGTAGAACTGTACACAAGAATGTCATCTATGTACACCACTACTCCCTGCGCCTGCATGTCCCGGAAAATCTCATCTACAAACGATTGGAAGACTGATGGAGCATTCATTAACCCATATGGCATGACGAGATACTCGTAATGGCCGGAGGTAGTACTAAATGCTGTCTTCCACTCATCGCCCTCCCTAATGCGCACCAAGTTATATGCGCTCCTGAGGTCCAATTTTGTGAAGAACCGTGCCCTGTGTAATGACTCCGTCATTGTCGCAATCAGCGGGAGTGGATAACTATATTTCACAGTCACCTGATTGAGACCGCGGTAATCAATACACGGACGCAAACCTCCATCCTTTTTCTTCACAAAAAAGAAGCTCGAGGACGCGGGAGAAGTGGAGGGCCGTATGTATCCCTGTCTCAGAGACTCGGCAATGTAAGTCTCCATTGCCCTTTTCTCCTCCTGTGACAAAGGATACACATGGCTCCGCGGGAGCGCAGCTCCTGTCTGGAGGTCTATCGCACAATCCCCCTGTCTATGAGGCGGCAACCGTGCCGCTCTGGTCTTACTAAACACGAGTGCCAAATCCTCATACTCAGGCGGAATGTGCAGTGCTGGCATCTGGTTCGGGCTCTCCACCGAGGTCGCCCCTACGGAAACACCCAGACATAGCCCCTCACACTGAGCAGACCACCCTTTAAGAGCCTTCTCTCGCCACGAAATCGTAGGATCATGGGTAATCAACCAGGGAAGCCCCAGTACCACCGGATACGCAGGAGAGTCGATCAGATAGAGTTGAATCGTCTCCTCATGACCCCCCTGCGTCATCATCCTAAGTGGCGCCGTGACCTCCCTAATCAACCCAGATCCTAACGGACGACTATCTAAGGCATGTACAGGGAAGGGCTTATCGACTGGAAGGAGGGGAATCCCTAACTCAACACAGAATTTACGATCTACAAAATTCCCAGCTGCGCCTGAATCGACTAGCGCCTTATGCTGGGAACGAGGTGCAACCTGTGGGAAACAAACAGGTAATGTAATGTGTACGACAGAAAGCTCTGGGTAAGTAGGGCGCCTACTCACCTGGGAGGACTCCCCAATGTGTGACCTGCCATCTCCCTCACCAGGAGACCCTCCCCAGCACCTAGCCGCGGTGTGCCCTCCGCGGCCACAGTTGGTGCAGGAGACTGCCCCCCTCGGGCTCCTTCCTCTCCTCCCTCTAGCGCCAGCACCTCCAAGCTCCATCGGGCTCGGCTCGGAGGCGCTGGAGGGTGGAATGGGAGGCCCCCACCTGGGACGTCCGCGGGTCGCGAGCAGGGTGTCCAGCCGAATGGCCATGTCCACCAACTGGTCAAATGTTAGTGTAGTATCCCTGCACGCTAACTCTCTGCGGACGTCCTCCCGAAGGCTACATCTAAAGTGGTCTATGAGGGCCCTCTCATTCCACCCTGCATCTGCCGCTAGAGTCCGGAATTCCAGCGCAAACTTTTGAGCGCTCCTCATCCCCTGTCGGAGGTAGAATAGACGCTCCCCCGCCGCCTTCCCCTCTGGTGGATGGTCGAATACAGCACGGAAGCGGCGGGAGAACTCCGCATAGGTGACTGTGGCGGCGTCTATTCCCCTCCATTCGGCGTTGGCCCACTCCAACGCCTTGCCGGTGAGACAGGAGATGAGGGCGGAAACGCTCTCGTATCCCGAGGGCGCCGGGTGTATAGTGGCAAGGTAGAGCTCCACTTGTAATAGGAACCCCTGACACCCGGCAGCGGTGCCGTCGTACGCCCTCGGGAGCGAGAGCCGAATCCCACTGGGTTCCGGTAGTTGGACGGGCGGGCTGTCCGATGGTGATGGTGCGATAGGTGGGGGTGTGGGTACCCCGCTGGTCTCCCATCGATGGAGGGTGTTCATGACGCGGTCCAAGGCGTGCCCGATCTGGTTGATTCGATCCTCTTGACCACGAAGACGCTCCTCCATGCCATCGGTGGGTACTCCTGCTGATTCCATATGTGGTGTGTAATTCTGTCACGGGTTGCTGTAGGTAGGTGTGGTGTGGAATCAGGCGCAGGACGCAGAAGTAAAGTCCAACAAAATACTTTAGTAGATCACACAACAATAATCCAAAACCAGCCCGGAGGCGAGAAAAGCGCGCACAGGCGTACACAAACGGGCGCACTAAACAAGTGCGTAATCTTCTCCTAAATACAAAACAAGGAGGTAAGCTACAAAATAGCGCACCAAAATACAGGTAGCGCAGCAACACGACAAGGAACAATTACACACAACACCTAACTAACAACAAGGAACTAAATAGGGTGCTTAATGAGACATAACACAAAACAGGTGTGACAAACAGACAAAACCAATCAAACAAGAAACATAGAACGGTGGCAGCTAGTACTCCGGAGACGACGACCGCCGAAACCTGCCCGAACAAGGAGGAGGGGCCGCCTCGGCCGAAACCGTGACACATATGTGGGAACTCCTTCAAGACTGTTGGAAAAGCATTCCAGGTGAAGCTGGTTGAGAGATTTGTTTAACACTTTTTTGGTTATTTTATAGTTTTGATGTCTTCACTTATATTCTACAATGTAAAAAATAGTAAAAATAAAGAAAAACCCTTGAATGAGTAGGTGTATCCAAATTTTGACTGGTACTGTATGTAGTTAGAAATTAGACAAATTCAAATGAATTAACCTAGATATGTGTAGGAAATTAGGTAATGTAACTAGGAGGTTTTTCCATTTCCACTGCATATCCTGTTCAATGGCTAAATGTACTGTAATGGTAATGGACCCCAGCTCTTTAAATGGAAATACATTAACAATGGGCCATAACTTTGTGCGCATAAATGCTCCAACACATACACTGTAGTTCTACATTTATTGGTTAACAATGAAGTTGGATTTTACCGTAGTTATGGATGGATTTTACTATAGTTTATAGTGGTTTAGCAATGCATGGCTAAAGATAAGGTAACTAATGTTTATTAGTGGATTCAAGTCCATACCAGCTGGCTGAGATGGGTGGTGTCAAGGCTTATCTTTTGTTTTTGTAATGTGCATTGGGGTGCACAGTGATTTGTGGCCTTTGTTACAGAGTATTCATCAAGTATCTTGGAGTTAACCGTAAAAATAATCTGACCTTTTCAATTACTGTATTTCACGGTTCTTTACCTATTAATGCTGTTTTCCCCCATTCTCCCCCATCAGTAGCAGTCTTAGTATGTACTAGTGAGGGAAAAAAGTATTTGATCCCCTGCTGATTTTGTACGTTTGCCCACTGACAAAGAAATGATCAGTCTATAATTTTAATGGTAGGTTTATTTGAACAGTGAGAGACAGAATAACAACAAAACAATCCAGAAAAACGCATGTCAAAAATGTTATAAATTGATTTGCATTTTAATGAAGGAAATAAGTATTTGACCCCCTCTCAATCAGAAAGATTTCTGGCTCCCTGGTGTCTTTTATACAGGTAACGAGCTGAGATTAGGAGCACACTCTTAAAGGGAGTGCTCCTAATCTCAGTTTGTTACCTGTATAAAAGACACCTGTCCACAGAAGCAATCAATCAATCAGATTCCAAACTCTCCACCATGGCCAAGACCAAAGAGCTCTCCAAGGATGTCAGGGACAAGATTGTAGACCTACACAAGGCTGGAATGGGCTACAAGACCATCGCCAAGCAGCTTGGTGAGAAGGTGACAACAGTGGAAGAAACACAAAATAACTGTCAATCTCCCTCGGCCTGGGGCTCCATGCAAGATCTCACCTCGTGGAGTTGCAATGATCATGAGAACGGTAAGGAATCAGCCCAGAACTACACGGGAGGATCTTGTCAATGATCTCAAGGCAGCTGGGACCATAGTCACCAAGAAAACAATAGGTAACACACTACGCCGTGAAGGACTGAAATCCTGCAGTGCCCGCAAGGTCCCCATGCTCAAGAAAGTACATATACAGGGTCGTCTGAAGTTTGCCAATGAACATCTGAATGATTCAGAGGAGAACTGGGTGAAAGTGTTGTGGTCAGATGAGACCAAAATCGAGCTCTTTGGCATCAACTCAACTCGCTGTGTTTGGAGGAGGAGGAATGCTGCCTATGACCCCAAGAACACCATCCCCACCGTCAAACATGGAGGTGGAAACATTATGCTTTGGGGATGTTTTTCTGCTAAGGGGACAGGACAACTTCACCGCATCAAAGGGACGATGGACGGGGCCATGTACCGTCAAATCTTGGGTGAGAACCTCCTTCCCTCAACCAGGGCATTGAAAATGGGTTCGTGGATGGGTATTCCAGCATGACAATGACCCAAAACACACGGCCAAGGCAACAAAGGAGTGGCTCAAGAAGAAGCACATTAAGGTCCTGGAGTGGCCTAGCCAGTCTCCAGACCTTAATCCCATAGAAAATCTGTGGAGGGAGCTGAAGGTTCAAGTTGCCAAACGTCAGCCTCGAAACCTTAATGACTTGGAAAAGATCTGCAAAGAGGAGTGGGACAAAATCCCTCCTGAGATGTGTGCAAACCTGGTGGCCAACTACAAGAAATGTCTGACCTCTGTGATTGCCAACAAGGGTTTTGCCACCAAGTACTAAGTCATGTTTTGCAGAGGGGTCAAATACTTATTTCCCTCATTAACATGCAAATCAATTTATAACATTTTTGACATGCGTTTTTCTGGATTTTGTTGTTGTTATTCTGTCTCTCACTGTTCAAATAAACTTACCATTCAAATTATAGACTGATCATGTCTTTGTCAGTGGGCAAACGTACAAAATCAGCAGGGGATCAAATACTTTTCCCCTCACTGTACAACAAACATTATACAAACAAATAATGTTGCTTCAAAATCAGGTTATAACTGGTGTACAGTGCACTGCTCCCTGCCACATGATGTCTCTGAATGTCCACATTCTAAGTTTAGTGGCCCTATCCCTACACTCACCCTATCAGGTACTGGAGTGACGTCGTATTCCCTGCACCCCGGGGTTATCCGGACAGAGCTGTGGCGCCACTCGCAGTCAAAGTACCCCACACTGAGTTCCATGCTGTCAGCCCCCGCCTGGCTCCTGATGAAGACCCCCAGGGAGGGGGCCCAGACCACCATCTACTGTGCCGTCACTGAGGGGCTGGAGGAGAAGAGTGGCTGCTACTTCAGGTACCACTTTGAGTTTAGCATCCCTGTGTGTAGAGTGAATTAGTCTAAATCAATCTCTCTCTGTGTGTGTCTGTTTGTGTGTTAATTGGAGGGGGATGATTTTAATTTGTGTATGTGATGGTTAAGTATCCCATCAAGAGTATGTGTGTACAATGCGGTATACAGTGGGGAGAACAAGTATTTGATACACTGCCGATTTTGCAGGTTTTCCTACTTACAAAGCATGTAGAGGTCTTCAACTGTGAGAGATGTAATCTAAAACAAAAATCCAGAAAATCACATTGTATGATTTTTAAGTAATTAATTTGCATTTTATTGCATGACAAAAGTATTTGATCACCTACCAACCAGTAAGAATTCCGGCTCTCACAGACCTGTTAGTTTTTCTTTAAGAAGCCCTCCTGTTCTCCACTCATTACCTGTATTAACTGCACCTGTTTGAACTCATTACCTGTATAAAAGACACCTGTCCACACACTCAATCAAACAGACTCCAACCTCTCCACAATGGCCAAGACCAGAGAGCTGTGTAAGGACATCAGGGATAGAATTGTAGACCTGCACAAGGCTGGGATGGGCTACAGGACAATAGGCAAGCAGCTTGGTGAGGAGGCAACAACTGTTGGCGCAATTATTAGAAAATGGAAGAAGTTCAAGATGAAGGTCAATCACCCTCGGTCTGGGGCTCCATGCAAGATCTCACCTCGTGGGGCATCAATGATCATGAGGAAGGTGAGAGATCAGCCCAGAACTACACGGCAGGACCTGGTCAATGACCTGAAGAGAACTGGGACCACAGTCTCAAAGAAAACCATTAGTAACACACTACTCCGTCATGGATTAAAATCCTGCAGCGCACGCAAGGTCCCCCTGCTCAAGTCAGCGCATGTCCAGGCCTGTCTGAAGTTTGCCAATGACCATCTGGATGATCCAGAGGAGGAATGGGAGAAGGTCATGTGGTCTGATTAGACAAAAATATAGCTTTTTGGTCTGGAGGAAGAAGAAGGATGTGTACAACCCCAAGAACACCATCCCAACCGTGAAGCATAGAGGTGGAAACATCATTCTTTGGGGATGCTTTTCTGCAAAGGGGACAGGACGACTGCACCGTATTGAGAGGAGGATGGATGGGGCCATGTATCGCGAGATCTTGTCCAACAACCTCCTTCCCTCAGTAAGAGCATTGAAGATGGGTCGTGGCTGGGTCTTCCAGCATGACAACGACCCGAAACACACAGCCAGGGCAACTAAGGAGTGGCTCCGTAAGAAGCATCTCAAGGTCCTGGAGTGGCCTAGCCAGTCTCCAGACCTGAACCCAATAGAAAATCTTTGGAGGGAGCTAAAAGTCTGTATTGCCCAGCGAAACCTGAAGGATCTGGAGAAGGTCTGTATGGAGGAGTGGGCCAAAATCCCTGCTGCAGTGCGTGCAAACCTGGTCAAGACCTACAGGAAACGTATGATCTCTGTAATTGCAAACAAAGGTTTCTGTACCAAATATTAAGTTCTGCTTTTCTGATGTATCAAATACTTATGTCATGCAATAAAATGCAAATTAATTACTTAAAAATCATACAATGTGATTTTCTGGATTTTTGTTTTAGATTCCGTCTCTCACAGTTGAAGTGTACCTATGATAAAAATTACAGACCTCTACATGCTTTGTAAGTAGGAAAACCTGCAAAATCGGCAGTGTATCAAATACTTGTTCTCCCCATTGTATATTCTGAGTGTAGACAATATACACTGAACAAAAATATAAACACAACATTTAAAGTGTTGGTCCCATATCATGAGCTGAAATAAAAGATCCCAGAAATGTTCCGTATGTACAAAAAGCGTATTTCTCTCAAATTTTGTGCAAACATTTCTTTACATCCTTGTTAGTGAGCATTTCTCCTTTGCCAAGATAACCCACCCACCTGTCAAGTGCTGATTAAACCGTGACGAGATCCTGAGGCCCATTGTTGTGCCATTCATCCGCCGCCATCACCGTATGTTTCAGCAAAATGTCCCAGTTCTTCCATGGCCACACTCACCAGACATGTCACCAATTGAGCATGTTTGGGATGCTCTGGATCGACGTGTACCAGTTCCCGCCAATATCCAGCAACTTCGCACAGCCATTGAAGAGGAGTGGGACAACATTCCACAGGCCACAATCAACAACCTCATCAACTCTATGCGAAGGAGATGTATCGCGCTGCATGAGGCAAATGGTGGTCACACCAGATACTGACTGGTTTTCTGATCCACGCCCCTACTTTTCTGTGACCAACAGATGCATATCTGTATTCCCAGTCAAGTGAAATCCATAGATTATGGCCTAATACATTTATTTAAATGGACTGATTTTCTTATATGAACTGAAACTCAGTAAAATCTTTGAAATTGTTGCATGTTGTGTTTATATTTTTGTTCAGTGTAAATAGCTATGTGTTTAGGTGAGGTTTAAGTTAGAATGTGTTTGTTTCTCAGTGACTGTCAGGTTAAGGAGCCAGCTCCTGAGGGGAGAGATGATCTTGCAGCACTGAGACTATGGGGCGTTAGCGCCGGGCTAGTGGGACTTAATAAGAACAACTGAACAACTCGCCTTGCAACACAGTGACACTCCCAACCCCACCTGCCAGAGACCCCCGGATACTGCCATATTTTTTTTACGTTGGCTCTTAACTTTCATATCAGAAGAAATCCAGTATTCTATACATTTTCTATATTCTATCTTTTTGGATGTTGTATTATAATACAGTATGTTCTGATCACAAAAAACAATTATGTATTGTATTGTATTGAAGTTTATTCTCGTTACAATGGTCTTCATGCTGTTGAATAGATTGACGAATCTAATAAATTCTGTATTTTTCATGTTTTCATAAATAAATAAAATGTGTTGTTGTTTTGCTTTAGAAGTCTTTGCGTGAGTAATAGTGTCATTTTATGAATAGTAATTTTACACCCCAGTTATTTTATCAATGTTTAGCTAAACTTCCTTTGAAAAGTGTTACTTATCTTAAAGACTTAATAAATGATATGCTATTTGTACATCTCAATATTTAGCAATGTTTTCAGAAGTTGCTTGCATGCATGACATATTTCTCAAAATAACAAAATATCTGTTTCATTTGAATGGTCTGCCCTTACCAGAATGGCGTCCTCGTCGTGCAACTATTAGTGGTGCATTGTGGGATATAACAAACACATGCTGACTTCGGATCAGTGAAATGCATGCTCAGTTTATGCTTTTTCCTGTTCTTTGCTCTACAAACTGGTCGTAGATCATTCGTTACACTCTTCAGTTGACCAATTCTTCACCCGGAAATGTAACTCGAGTTCATTTCGAAGGTGAGCTGAATATTTGTCAACAATAGACTAATTTGACATAAAACGAATTGAAGCGTTGCCTGGTGCAAGAGATCTTTAGTTAATAGAAATCGGCCTTTGGGTATTTTTCAAGCTTTCATCATTAGAATTTCACGACGTTGTCAAAATGAATGTGACACTTGCTGTCAAGCAGTATATCTCCAAAATGATAGAAAACAGCGGGCCAGGGATGAAGGTTCTGCTCATGGATAAAGAGACGGTAAGTCATGTAGCTAGGATGGTTACAATGTAGTGGTTCTAACGATGCACAGTGGTTACAATGTATCAGGTTACTTTTGTAAGTATGTGGACACCTGCTCGTCGGACATCTCATTCAAAAATCATGGGCATTAATATGGAGTTGGTCCCCCCTTTGCTGCTATAACAGCCTCCATGCTGCGGGGGCTTGCTTCCATTCAGCCACAAGTGCATTAGTGAGGTCGGGCAATTAGGCCTGGCTCGTAGTCGGCGTTCAAATTCATCCCAAAGATGTTTGATGGGGTTAAGGTCAGGGCTCTGTGCAGGCCAGTCAAGTTCTTCCACACCGATCTCGACATACCATTTTTGTATGGACCTCACTTTGTGCACAGGGGCATTGTCATGCTGAAACAGGAAAGGGACTTCCCCAAACTGTTGCCACAAAGTTGGAAGCACAGAATCGTCTAGAATGTCATTGTATGCTGTAGCGTTAACATTTCCATTCACTGGAACTAAGGAGCCTGAACCATGAAAAACAGCCCCATACCATTATTCTTCCTCCACCGAACTTTACAGTTAGCACTATTCATTCGGGCAGGTATCATTCTCCTGGCATCCGCCAAAGCCAGATTCATCCGTCGGACTGCCAGATGGTGAAGCATGATTCATTACTCCAGAGAACGCATTTCCACTGCTCCAGAGTCCAATGGCGGCGAGCTTTACACCACTCCAGCTGACGCTTGGCATTGCGCATGGTGATCTTAGGCTTGTGTGCGGCTGCTCAGCCATGGAAACCCATTTCATGAAGCTCCTGACGAACAGATCTTGTGCTGATGTTGCTTCCAGAGGCAGTTTGGAACTCGGTAGTGAGTGTTGCAATCGAGGACAGACCATTTTTACGCACTACAGCACTCGGCGGTCCCGTTCTGTGAGCTTGTGTGGCCTACCACTTCGCTGCTGAGCTGTTGTTGCTCCTAGATGTTTCCACTTCACAATAACAGCACTTACAGTTGACCGGGGAAGCTCTAGCAGGGCAGGAATTTGACGAACAGACTTGCTGGAAAGGTGGCATCCTATGACGGTGCCACGTTGAAAGTCACTGAGCTCTTCAGTACTGGCCATTCTACTGCAAATGTTTGTCTATGGAGATTGCATGGCTGTGTGCTCTATTTTATACACCTGTCAGCAACGGGTGTGGCTGAATTAGCCAAATCCACTCATTTGAATTGGTGTCCACATACTTTTGGCCATTTAGTGTATGTGTTGCCTATCTGAGACAGACACATTGAAGGACAGAACCTTGAATTATTCAACAAATCCTGATTTTATAAAAACATGTGAAATCACAAAAAAAGTGTCTGGACCTGTCTATAAAATGCCATTTATATCAAAAATAGAGATTTGGTTGTAAAAAAGGAAACTTATCCTTTAATTATATAGATAGGAGAACCAAGCTTTTGATAATGTCATACTGTCAGCAGCTACTCAGAGAGGTATTCTGATGAGGAGGATACAAAAATGTGCATAGGCCTGAATCATTTGGACTCAATACCATATTCAGGACTGTAACCTTTCAGCTGTAACAAACAGTAATGGAAGCAAAATAATGAATCTCATTCATCTCTCTGCAAAATCTCTGGCTCATGTAGAAACGAATTTACTGCATTACAGTTACGTTTGGTCATCATGCCTATTTGTTTGTGCTTGTCCCATCAGACCAGCATCGTCAGTGTGGTCTACACTCAATCCGAGATCCTACAGAAGGAGGTCTACTTGTTCGAAAGAATCGACTCACAGAATCGAGACAACATGAAGCACCTCAAAGCCATCTGCTTCCTCAGGCCAACCAAGGTGCCCCAGTCACTGTATGCACATTGTAGCCAGCCTTTGCTCTGCATTAAAGGTCCAATGCAGCCATTTTTATCTCCATATCAAATCATTTCTGGGTAACAACTGACTACCTTACTGTGATTGTTTTCAATGAAAATAGTCAAAAATAAACAAAATAGCTTCTTAGCAATTTCTAAAGCAGGGCAATTTCTCAAGCATGAATTTTGCTAGGACTGTCTCGGATTGATCTGAATGGAGAGGAGAAAACAACTGAAAATGTGCTGTTATTGGCAGAGAGGTTTGGAACTCTTTCTTATTGGTCTATTAACACATTTACTGCATGGTGATGTCACCATGGAAGGCCAAAACTCCATTCCACCAAAACAGACTGAAATTTCAGGCTGTCTTTTCAAACAGCTGTTACACTAAAAAGGATTATCATTATGTTCACAATTTCACAGTATTATTCCAACCTCATAGTGTGGAAATATAAATAAAACACAGGAAAATCACGTTTTTGACTGCACTGGGCCTTTAAGACTTTGTAGCCTACATGCTCTGTATCTACTGGATTGTGTCCATCCACAACTGTATGAATGCATATGTCAACTTCTTCATTGTACCTATACTGAATGTACACTGCATATTGCATTGCATCCATACACTATGCGCTATTTGGAGGCAAAGTACTTTAGTCATGCTCAGTTTTGGATTTGCATGACACCCCCGACTTTCTCTCTGCCCTCTTTACAGGAGAATGTGGAAAATCTGATACAGGAGCTCAGGCGACCAAAGTACAGTGTCTACTTCATCTGTAAGGACTTCTGCACTGTTGTTCAAATCATATGGTTCTCTGTTCTGATTCTTGTGCAGGTTTTTAGATAGATCGGATCTACCAAATACAGATAAAGAGGACTAAGATTTTATGTCCCTGGCTCGTTTATATGGTTTAGACCTAAAGACTCAACATTTATTGACATTGCGATTGACCATGCATCAACATTTCATGGTGGCGGCAATTGCCCATACGGAAAAATGATATATTTACATATATTTTAACAACATGTATGTCAATTACAGATATCTAAATATTTAAATATATGGACATATTCCAACATTTTCCGTTTTCAAATACACTCAGTGGTCAGTTCATTAGGTACACCACCCCGTTCACGAGTTTTCTCCTACAGACAGTGAGTCATGTGGCCGTGGCTTGCTATATAAAGCAGGCAGACAGGCATCGAGGCATTCAGTTACGGTTCGATTTATCATTAGAATGGGCAAAACTATTGACCTTTGAGCGTGGTATGATCATCGGTGCCAGGTGCGCCAATTTCACTATCTCAGAAGCGGCCGGCCTCCTGGGCTTTTCACGCATTACAGTGTCTAGGGCAGGGGTCTCCAACCTTTTCTAGCATTAGAGCTACTTTTTAAAAATTAAACATGTCGTGAGCTACACATTTTTTCTAGCTTTCAAATAGGCACATTCTTCTCTTCTTCTCTCCCCTGCAACTCTTCCCCAGGTCCTTAGTGTACAAGAGAAAGTAGTGCACTATGTTTTCTGTCATTATATATACCTCATAAAATAAGGGGGGCCTTATAAAATGTTTTTTTTTCTTCTCCAAATTAGGTTCACAGTTACATTTTTCCTGGTTTTAGATTTGTTTAGTTTTTCACTCTTAAAATTACAATTTATCCTAGAGAAAAAGTGAAATTGGATGTTATGAGTCCATGTCAATGCTTAAATCACATCAGAAGACACATTTTATTTAGGTCTGAAAGAAAACATTTCGATTTGAGTGTAATTCCCCTTTAATTGCGCATCTGGCCCTTTAATTGCGCATATAGCGAGTGAGGAATGTGCGTCTAATGTGCCGGTCTAGCGATGGTTCTGTACTGCTGCTGCTCATTTCATGGCAAAGTTAGCAAATAATAGATACAAATTATATACTTACTCATAAGATAAGGTGTCACTAGTAGAGATAGCCTGCAGAGCTCTATCATACTATCCAGGTCTGTGCCCAAACAGTTTGAGCTTCTACTTCTAAAAATCCACCTTTCCAGAAATAAGTCTCTCACTGTTGCTGCTTGCTACAGACCCCCCTCAGCCCCCAGTTGTGCCCTGGACACCATATGTGAATTGCTTGCCCCCCATCTATCCTCAGAGTTCGTACTGCTTGGTGACCTAAACTGGGATATGCTTAACACCCCGGCCGTCCTACAATCTAAACTAGATGCCCTCAATCTCACACAAATTATCAAGGAACCTGCCAGGTACAACCCTAAATCCGTAAAAAATGGCCACCCTCATAGATATCATCCTGACTAATTTACCCTCTAAATACACCTCCGCTGTCTTCAACCAGGATCTCAGCGATCACTGCCTCATTGCCTGCGTCCATAATGGGTCCGCGGTCAAACGACCACCCCTCATCACTGTCAAACGCTCCCTAAAACACTTCAGCGAGCAGGCCTTTCTAATTGACCTGGCCCGGATATCCTGGATGGATATTGACTTCATTCCATCAGTAGAGGATGCCTGGATGTTCTTCAAAAGTGCTTTCCTCTCCATCTTAAATAAGCATGCCCCATAAAAAAAAAATGCAGAAATAAGAACAGATATAGCCCCTGGTTCACCCCAGACTTGACTGCCCTTGACCAGCACAAAAACCTCCTGTGATGTACTGCATTAGCATCGAACAGCCCCCGCAATATGCAACTTTTCAGGGAAGTCAGGAACCAATATACACAATCAGTTAGGAAAGCAAAGGCTAGCTTTTTCAAACAGAAATTTGCATCCTGTAGCACTAACTCCAAAAAGTTTTGGGACACTGTAAAGTCCATGGAGAATAAGAGCAGCTACCCACTGCACTGAGGCTAGGAAGCACTGTCACCACCGATAAATCTAAGATAAAAGAGAATTTCAATAAGCATTTTGCTACGGCTGGCCATGCTTTCCACCTGGCTACCCCTACCCCGGCCACCAGCTCTGCACCCTCCGCTGCAACTTGCCCATGCCCCCTCCGCTTCTTCTTCACCCAAATTCAGATAGCTGATGTCCTGAAAGAGCTGCTAAATCTGGACCCCTACAAATCAGCTGGGCTAGACAATCTGGACCCTTTCTTTCTAAACCTAGCCGCCGAAATTGTCACAACCCCTATTACTAGCCAATCACTCTTTCGTATCGTCTGAGATCCCCAGAGATTGGAAAGCTGCCGCGGTCATCCCCCTCTTCAAAGGGGGTGACACTCTAGATCCAAACTGTTACAGACCTATATCCATCCTGCCCTGCCTTTCGAAAGTTTTTGAAAGCCAAGTTAACAAACAGATCACCGACCATTTCGAATCCCACCGTACCTTCTCCGCTATGCAATCTGGTTTCCGAGCTGGTCATGGGTGCACCTCAGCCACGCTCAAGGTCCTAAACGATATAATATCCGCGATCGATAAAAGACAGTACTGTACAGCCGTCTTCATCGACCTGGCCAAGGCTTTTGACTCTGTCAATCACTGCATTCTTATTGGCAGACTAAATAGCCTTGGTTTCTCAAATGACTGCCTCGCCTGGTTCACCAACTACTTCTCAGATAGAGTTCAATGTGTCAAATCGAAGGGCCTGTTGTCTGGACCTCTGGCAGTCTCTATGGGGGTGTCACAGGGTTCAATTCTCGGGCCGACTCTATTCTCTGTGTATATCAATGATGTCGCTCTTGCTGCTGGTGACTCTCAGATCCACCTCTACGCAGACGACACCATTTTGTATACATCTGGCCCTTCATTGGACACTGTGTTAACAAACCTCCAAACGAGTTTCAATGCCATACAACACTCCTTCTGTGGCCTCCAACTGCTCTTAAACGCTAGTAAAACTAAATGCATGCTCTTCAATCGAACGCTGCTTGCACCTGCCCGCCCGACTAGAATCACGACTCTTGGCGGGTTTGGCTTAGAATATGTGGACAACTACAAATACCTAGGTGTCTGGTTAGACCGTAAACTCTCCTTCCAGACTCACATTAAGCATCTCCAATCCAGTTAAATCTAGAATCGGCTTCCTATTTCGCAACAAAGCCTCCTTCACTCATGCTGCTAAACATGCCCTCGTAAAACTGACTATCCTACCGATCCTTGACTTCGGATGTAGTCTCACCCCCATATTGTTATTTACATTGTTATTTACTTTGCTAATTTGCACCCCAGTATCTCTATTTGCACATAATCTTCTGCACATCTATCACTCCAGTGTTAATACTAAATTGTAATTATTTTTGCACTATGGCCTATTTATTGCCTTACCTCCATAACTTACTACATTTGCACACACTGTATATAGATTTTCTATTGTGTTATTGACTGTACGTTTTGTTTATTCCATATGTAATTCTGTGTTGTTGTTTTTATCGCACTGCTTTGCTTTATCTTGGCCAGGTCGCAGTTGTAAATGAGAACTTGTTCTCAACTGGCTTACCTGGTTAAATAAAGGTTAAATAAAAAAATAAAAAAACTAGCTAGCTAGGAGGCGGGGGCGACCAGTAGACTGTGTCCTTAGCCCCCCGCCTGTCGCGCACTGTTTTCCAGCAGTTTTGTTAACAACGGTGAGAGCAGGTGGGAGCGAAAGACACCGTCTACCGCTAGCTAGCAAGGAGGAGTCCTGTAGGCAGGGGCGAAAAAACTAAGTTAATACTTTAAACTAACCTCAGTCTTCAAGTATTGTGGTGGCAGCATCATGTTATGGGTATGCTTGTCATCAGCAGGGACTGATGAGTTTGTCAGGATCCAAATAAATATGAAAGGAGCAAAGCCCAGGAAAAAAGTTAGAGGAAAACCCACCTCAGTCTTCTGAAAACCTTTATTTTTCAGAGAGACAATTCCAAACAATTTAATACCAAATACACACCAGAATGGCTTTCCAAGAGGTGTTGAGTGTTCCTAAATGGTCTAGTCTCAGTCCTGACTTAAATCTGCTTAAAAAATCAGAGACACGGTTTAAATATCACTGTCCATAAATGATCCCCAACCAAATTTACTAAGCCTGAGCAATTTTTACAAAAATGATGGAACATGACAAATTGTGATTGAAAATATATTTGAATTTATTTTCAAATATATTTACAGATATGTTCTACATTCAAGTGTCTTTTCGAAATAAACACCTCATTTATTTTTTATTATGTTTCATAACTGGCAGGTAGGCTATACCTCAATAGCTGGAGAATTTATTTTCAATTACAACTCAATGATCCATCTTTTGCATGCCAAAAAACTATTTTGGAACCTAATGCTCCCGAGTGGCGCAGTGGTCTAATGCTAAGTCTCCCGAGTGGCGCAGTGGTCTAAGGCCTCTAGAGATCCTGGTTTGAATCCAGGCTCTGTCGTAGCCGGCTGCGACTGGGAGACCCATGGGGCGGCGCACAATTGGCCCAGCATCGTCCAGGGTAGGGGAGGGAATGGCCGGCAGGGATGTAGCAATGCCAGGGTTGTGGGTTCGATTCCCACGGGGGGCCAGTATGAAATTTTTTAAAAATAATGTATGCACTCACTAACTGTAAGTCGCTCTGGATAAGAGCGTCTGCTAAATGACTAAAATGTAAATGTAAAAATGTTCCAGGGGTCAATAGAGACTCAACATTGGGGTAGAGAAGGTTGTGAGGTGTGAGCGTGTATTTATTTATTTATCTATTTATATATTAGAAAAATACATTTCCCCAATATATTTAAATTTTATTTAAATATATTCCAATATATTATTTTTCCCATTTGGGTGACATCCTCCTCATAATCCTTTCTAGACTTCAGCAACGTCATCAGTAAGAGTGAGATAAAAGCCCTGGCCGAGGCGGATGAACAGGAGGTGGTTGCAGAAGTGCAGGTAAGTTAACGCTAAGGGCAGTACTGTAGGACAGTATTCATCAGTTAGGTACCCAACTATTAATATTTGTATTAATTGTTTTACTATTCTGGGATTTTCTTTTTATTGTTGTTTTTGGTGGAATGATGGTCCACCGGTTTTTCCTACTAGTCCTGATTCCACATGTTTATCATTTCTGTTTCTAGTTATAACCACTTTATAGTACACGTAGTCTTGTAATAGCCAGGTAATCCTTTGACATTTAAACTGGAAACGAATAATTCAATTTCTCTCTTATATGACTGCAGGAGTTCTATGGAGACTTCATTGCTGTAAACCCACACCTTTTCTCCCTCAACCTCAGTGGTGTGGCAAGGGTAAGACATGCAAATATGCCATGACGCTTTGGATATGTGACAATTTATATTGTGGTTTATTATTCATCTGCATTGATTTTAGTTTAATGTTTAATATTTGTCTCTGCATATGTCATATTCCCTCTGTATTTTGGATCTATTTACAGAGTGCATTCCCATCTCATACTGTGTGTGTATTGCAGGGTCGAAGCTGGGAGCCCACTCTCCTGCCACGTACCACCCAGGGTCTGACCTCGGTGCTGTTGGCCTTGAAGAAATGTCCCATGATCCGCTACCAGCTGTCCTCAGACATGGCCAAGAGACTGGGAGAGAGCGTGAAGGTGAGTAATATCACATGCACACCTATCACATGCACGCGCGTACACGCCAATCTCACTACCCCTCTCCTCCCCCAGCAAATCATCACCAAGGAGTATGAGCTGTTTGACTTCAGGAAGACAGAAGTGCCTCCTCTCCTGCTCATCCTGGACCGCAGCGATGATGCTATCACCCCACTACTCAACCAGGTCAGAACTAAGAGTCAGGGTGATGACGCCATCACCCCTCTACTCAACCAGGTCAGAACTAAGAGTCAGGGTGATGATGCCATCACCACACTACTCAACCAGGTCAGAACTAAGAGTCAGGGTGATGACGCCATCACCCCTCTACTCAACCAGGTCAGAACTAAGAGTCAGGGTGATGACGCCATCACCTCACTACTCAACCAGGTCAGAACTAAGAGTCAGGGTGATGACGCCATCACCCCACTACTCAACCAGGTCAGAACTAAGAGTCAGGGTGATGACGCCATCACCCCACTACTCAACCGGGTCAGAACTAAGAGTCAGGGTGACGACGCCATCACCCCACTACTCAACCAGGTCAGAACTAAGAGTCAGGGTGATGATGCCATCACCACACTACTCAACCAGGTCAGAACTAAGAGTCAGGGTGATGACGCCATCACCCCTCTACTCAACCAGGTCAGAACTAAGAGTCAGGGTGATGATGCCATCACTCCACTACTCAACCAGGTCAGAACTAAGAGTCAGGGTGATGACGCCATCACCTCACTACTCAACCAGGTCAGAACTAAGAGTCAGGGTGATGACGCCATCACCCCTCTACTCAACCAGGTCAGAACTAAGAGTCAGGGTGATGACGCCATCACCCCACTACTCAACCGGGTCAGAACTAAGAGTCAGGGTGACGACGCCATCACCCCACTACTCAACCAGGTCAGAACTAAGAGTCAGGGTGATGATGCCATCACTCCACTACTCAACCAGGTCAGAACTAAGAGTCAGGGTCGTGTTCAGTATGCACAACAGAAGAAAACTAAGTGTTGTCTGAATATTTCCAATAACAAATGTCCGTTGGAACTAATAGTCAGAAGATACATTTCAAAGATAATCTACCTGTTTTCTAGCTTGGTACCAGACTGAGCATTTTATCAGTCGGAACCCAGGCTACATTTTTACAAAAAGGTAGGCAATGACCAAGTCATATATACTACGTACTTGCAGTATATTCACATCATTCTGATGTGTACTGCAGCCTCTGATCACTTGGGGGCAGCAGAGTCTTATACATACATTTACCAAGCCTGCAACCTGCACAGTGAACTAGCTCATGTACTCAAGGCCCTTTGTGTCACACATAATGTACCAATCTTTAGCGTACATTAGAAAAGCTAATCAACTGGCGAAAACCTCATACACCCTTCATCGCTGAATGGAATTAGTAGAGATTAAGTTAACTTTATTTGAATTGTAGGTTTCATTGTTTTGGTTTCATTGTTTGTTGCCCTGCTTTCTCTAGTGGACGTACCAGGCCATGGTGCATGAGTTGCTTGGCCTCAACAACAACCGTATTGACTTGTCCCGAGTCCCAGGGATCAGCAAGGAGCTGAAGGAGGTGGTGCTGTCTGCAGAGAACGATGAGTTCTATGCCAACGTGAGTCCCAGTCTCTAGGCCTGGTTCCAATTCTACACAAATGTTCCTTTTTGCATTGAAACGGTCCCATTTGGGCAGGCTGGCAGGTAGCCTAGAGCAGGGTTCCCCAACGGGCTGAATTTCAGCGCCAAGTGATTACAATTTTGGAAATCTGTTCCAAAGTATACCCACGCGTAATAGAGAGATGTGATCGTATACAAATGTAAGCAAGATTTGAAATGATTATGTTTGAATCAAATGTTATATCTATTTGGGCTTCTTGCGGTCAATTTGCAGTCTACAAATTATTTGTAATTATGTTCCGGCCCCCTGACCATCCGCTCAAGAAAGGAATCGGCCCGCGGCTGAATCTAGATGATGATCCCTGGCCTAGAGGTTAGGAAGGCAGTTCAGCAACCCTCTGTAAGAAGACTCTGAAGGAAAATATCTGGCGGAATGTGTAGCAGTTGGTCAGTGAGGGAAGGTTAAAGAATTCCGACAGGGCCAGACGTTGGCTGACAACTTCCAATTCACTCACACATTCTCTTATTCAGAATCTGTACCTGAACTTTGGAGAGATCGGCACAAACATCAAGAACCTGATGGAGGACTTTCAGAAGAAGAAGCCCAAGGAGCAACAAAAGCTGGAATCCATCTCTGATATGAAGGTGAGAGCTGGGCACTGTAGTCCCACAGGAACTCAATTTCCCAGCATGTCCTGTAGCAGTTGCTCATTTAGGACCACTAACACATCTCAGCCTCATTAGTTAATAACCAATCGCAATTAGATTAATTATCTCTTAATTACAATAATGATACAAACTTTAAATAATTGCTGCACGTTTGTTTTCTTTCTACTTTTTAATCTTTCCCTCTGTTTTTCTCTGCAGGCGTTTGTGGACAACTACCCCCAGTTCAAAAAGATGTCAGGCACAGTGTCGAAGCATGTGACTGTGGTGGGCGAGCTGTCTCGCATGGTGAGCGAGAGGCACCTGATGGAGGTGTCAGAGGTGGAACAGGAGCTGGCCTGCCAGAATGACCACTCAAGCGCATCACAGGTAAGGGATACTTTGGGATTATGTTAACGAGGCCCTTTATCTACTTCCCCAGAGTCAGATGAACTAGTGGATACCATTTTTATGTCTCGGTGTCCAGTATGTAGGAAGTTAGAGTTAGGTCTGCAAACCAATGCTAACTAGCTTTATTTTTTAATTTACCGGTAGGAAACACATTTCTATTATTCCCAATAGAATTTCCTGAAATTAATCAACACTCCAATCCTGCTCTGCATTGACTGACTAGAAATACACTACTATATATATAGATGTAAACACAAGTCAAATATGAACCAGACAGAGGCTAGACACTGACCAGACACAGTACTGAAATAGACATGACATGTGGTAGACAAAGAGCAGACACTGCCCAATATGTAAATGTAGGGGGTCCTATCACTGTCATGTGACATTACATTTTAGTCATTTAGCAGACGCTCTTATCCAGAGCGACTTACAGGAGCAATTAGGGTTAAGTGCCTTGCTCAAGGGCACATCGACAGATTTTTTACCTAGTTGGCTCGGGGATTAGAACCAGCGACCTTTCGGTTACTGGCACAATGCTCTTAACCACTAAGCTACCTGCCGCCCCCCTAACATCACATGGTTTTTTTTCTGGGGGGGGCCTACAGCTCAATGTTTTATTATACAATAACACCAATAGTTCACATGAAAGCATTCAGAAAGACACACAATATTCTCTGTACTTTGTGTTGGTTGAAGAAGAGGACAGCCCACTGCTGTATCGTGTGTATAGACTTGGCCACTTATAATAGTGACTATCAGAATACACTTAAACACTGCACATAGAAACCATAGTGAAGTATAATTACAAAATAAAGATTTTATTAAACGCTATGTAAAATGTACTCCCTGTTTCTCCACAGAATGTGCGTCGGCTGCTGCAGAACCCGCGGGTGAGTGAGCTGGACGCGGTGCGCCTGGTGATGCTGTACGCACTGCGCTACGAGAGACACAGCAGCAGCATCCTGCCGGGCCTCATGGAGGAGCTCAACAGGAAGGGCGTGTCAGAGAGGCATCGCAGGGTAAGGGATCATTCTATACTGTCCCACTACCTGGCCCTTGGGCCAACATGAGGACTGTACACTGTTGTTGTACTTGTCTTATATTATGTAGAATATGTTATTAATTTGGGAGTTTTCAATGCCCCTGTGGGGATAAATAAATATACATTCAACTCAACAATGTACATACAGTATGTTGGTATGTTTACATTTGACATTTTAGTCATTTAGCAGATGCTCTTATCCAGAGCGACTTACAGTTAGTGAGTGCATACATTTTATTTATTTATTTTTAATTTTTTCATACTGGCCCCCCGTGGGAATCGAAGCCACAACCTTGGCGTTGCAAGTGCCATGCTCTACCAACTGAGCTACACAGATGTTTGATGCATCTGTCTTATTAATCTAGACAGGGTTAGAATAATCAAATTATGCCTTTTTATCCTGTTTAACCGGCATCTTTTACCTCAGATGGTAACGTCCATGGTGGAGTATGGAGGGAAGAGGGTGAGAGGAAGTGACCTCATCAACCCCCAAGACGCAGTCGCCATCACCAAACAGTTCTTCAAGGGGCTGAAGGTACACCATTCTCCCCATAATTTAGACAGATACTAGCTGTAGTTTTGTGTCCATCTAGCCATTTTCAACCAGATTCTAATAAAACACCTTTTGTTTTGTGTGCGTGCGTGTCTCCAGGGAGTTGAGAATGTGTACACACAGCATGCACCGTTACTGCAGGAGACCTTGGACCAGCTGATCAAGGGGCGGCTGAAGGACAGTCAGTTCCCCTACTTAGGACCCAGCTCCCTTAGAGACCGGTAGGGTGATACACACACACACTTACTTAGACACACTTAAAGACACAACCTCAGACCCTACACCTGTATAGCCAAACACACGCAATTCTACACACTATCAATGATACGTAAAAACACACATTCTGTGTGTATGAGCACATAAGCCTACAGTTCATCACCATAATTGGATGACCCCAACCGGATGCTAGCCTATCAGTGATTACCATGTATTTCCTCTTCAGGCCACAGGATATCATAGTGTTCGTCATCGGAGGGGCCACCTATGAGGAGGCGCTGGCGGTCTACAACCTGAACCGCACCATGCCAGGGGTTCGGATCGTACTGGGCGGCACCACCATCCACAACACCAAGAGGTCAGAATCATCAAACACTCCTCGTGACCTAGTCGCCTCAGTCAAATTACATCCAGACATAGCCATTAGACATCCATTATTTTTTACCAGGTCAATACATATGATCAAAATGGCTTAACCCCCTAGAGTCGATGTCCGCGCCCCCGCGGAAATCTAATTAGCATAATACAAAAATCCCCATCAAAATCTGTCTGTTTAATCTAGAGATTTCTGTTTTTGCATGGGCTACGTCTCAATCCATTGCATACGCCAATGGCGGCCTTCCGCATCTGCGGTGGAAGGTGGCTGAGCTACAGCGGTGTTTGTCAGACCATGAGTCATCCCGAAAATCGGTCTTCTCACGAATATGTCTGTAGCGTCCGAACGGTTTGGCCTAACTAATATGACCACTCCATGGAAAGATGAGACTCTCCCGAACACGATGGTGTTCTCCGTTTTGCTATTCATCTCATTGTACACACGCTCACTCACCAAAGCTCTTCCATTCTTTCCCATGCTTACTATGATAAGGCCATTTCCGAGAGACAAATCTGAATGACATCATCGTTCATTAGTGGTGATACTGTCAGGTTCATGCACATGTTAATATGGCCAAGCTTCTCCAGGACATTTAGGCCTAATACAATGTGCTATGACATAGCCTACTGAAGCTCACCACATGTCCATTTGTCTTGCATTACAAATAGTCCCAGCCATAGCTTCGGGAAGATATTTTGAGGGGGGTGCTGGAGGTGAGGAAGAATGTTTTAGGCCTACCAGATTTAATCTAACGATATAATGCTTATCTTTATTTAAAAAATATTCTTATAGAAAAATTACGAATTAGCCTCTTTCTGTATGCCTATATCTGTAACAGCAGAGGCAGTAGCCTATCTGACAAGCATAAAGAAGTACATGTTGGTGTCGTAGCATGCCACTGGCATATCTCTCTCTCTCTCTGGGGCTAGGCCTAAGCTTCTCTTCCTTTTATTATATTTATTTTTTAAATATTCATATCATACAGCCTATAGGCCTATGTATGCAATGCCCTGATGCATTTAGTGCTCAAATCTCTGACAGCTAAACCGTGAGGTGGACAATTATTGTTTTAGGAAAGTAAAATCCAATAAGACAATAAGCTATACAATTTTGCAAGGAATAGTGTTTTTGTAATTTGTTATAGGCTGTTTTTAAGGAAATGTAAATGTCTCATTTGGCCAATATCCTTAGTTTATTGATGATGCTGGCTGTGTGGGTGGACGCTCTAATGGGTTATGCACCCAATGCATGGATGACCGGTACATTTCTCAAATGTCCGATGAATTAAAATCTTCCTCAGTCACTTGTCCGGTGCCGAGTTTTCCTGACGGAAACCCTTTATATACAGTGTATATATAATATAGGCTACAGTAGGCTAGAAAATAAACTTTCCAGTGACACTATTGGTGGTAGATGGGTAAATAAAAAAAGGCAGACATTGAATATCCCTTTGAGCATGGTGAAGTTACTAATTACACTGGATGGTGTATCAATACACCCAATCACTACAAAAGATACAGGCGTCCTTCCTAACAGTTGCCGGAGAGGAAGGAAACCGCTCAGGGATTTCGCCATGAAGCCAATGGTGACTTTAAAACAGTTACAGAGTTTAATGGCTGTGATAGGAGAACTGAGAATGGATCAACAACATTGTAGTTACTCCACAATACTAACCCAATTGACAGAGTGAAAAGAAGGAAACATGTACAGAAAATATTCTAAAAGATGCATCCTGTTTACCCGCAAAACACCAGTCTCAACGTCAACAGTGAAGAGGTGACTCTGGGATGCTGACCGTCTAGGCAGAGTTGCAAAGAAAAAGTCATATCTCAGACTGCCCATCTTAATCTTTTCTTTTTATTGGCCAGTCTGAGATATGGCTTTTCCTTTGCAACTCTGCCTAGAAGGTCAGCATCCCGGAGTCGCCTCTTTACTGTAGACATTGAGACTGGTGTTTTGCGGGTACTATTTAATGAAGCTGCCAGTTGAGGACCTGTGAGGCGTCTGTTTCTCTAACTAGACACTCTAATGTATTTGTCCTCTTGCTCAGTTGTGCACCGGGGCCTCCCACTCCTCTTTCTATTCTGGTTAGAGACAGTTTGCGCTGTTCTTTGAAGGGAGTTGTACACAGCGTTGTACGAGACCTTCAGTTTCTTGGCAATTTCTCACATGGAATAGCCATAATTTCTCAGAACAAGAATAGACTGACGAGTTTCAGAAGAAAGTTCTTTGTTTCTGGCCATTTTGAGCCTGTAATCGAACCCACAATTGCTGATGCTGCAGATACTCAACTAGTCTCAAGAAGGCCAGTTTTATTGCTTCTTTAATCAGCACAACAGTTTTCAGCTGTGCTAACATAATTGCAAAATGGTTTTATAATGATCAATTAGGCTTTTAAAATGATAAACTTGGATTAGCAAACACAACGTGCCATTGGAACACAGGACTGATGTTTTCTGATAATGGGCCTCTGTACGCCTAGGTAGATATTCCATTAAAACTTTTGAACGGTAGTGTAAATCAGCATGTAAATCTATGGCAAGACCTGAAAAATGGTTGTCTAGCAATGATCAACAACTTGAGAGCTTGAAGAATTTTGAAAATAATAATGTTGCACAATCCAGGTGTGGAAAGCTCTCGGAGACTTACCCAGAAAGACTCGCAGCTGTAATCGCTGCCAAAGGTGCTTCTACAAAGTATTGACTCAGGGGTGTGAATAATTATGTACATTTGTAAACATTTCAAAAAACATGTTTTCACATTGTCATTATGGGGTATTGTGTGTAGATGGGTGTGAACAATATATTTAATCCATTTTGAATTCAGGCTGTAAACACAACAAAATGTGGAATAAGTCAAGGGGTATGAATACCTTCTGAAGGCACTGTAGCTACCGACAGGAACATTAAGCAAGCCAAGACTAACAACACAAACAAACTGACTATATAGCTACAAATAGTGAGTGAAGTTACAAACTGCCTATATTAAACAAGTTAAATGTCTTAACTGTGAACAAATGTTTTCCACACACATAGCTAAGTGTAGCCTACTTGGACACTTCCCACTCTCCCACGCCGAATAGCCTGAAGCCACAGGGCTCTTCTCGCAGGCTTTATTTCCCTACGTGGGAGCACTGCGAACCGTAGGTCGGGATTTCTGACCTGGTTACAGGTACATTGAACAACACAGTAGCTTTTTGACATGTTTGTTATTTCTGTATAACAAGAAATTGACAACGAAGTTGGGAAAGAATGTTTGTTTTCCCCAATTTGTTGGCATGGTCGAGGGGAATTCCTTCTTATGACGTGAACATCGACTCAGTCACCTGGGAGTCAGTGTTCTGTTCTGTACATAAAGTTTTTGTTCAATTTACTGAGATGACTTCACTAATTTTAAAGGGGAATTTTACTCGATAACCATTTCACTCATTAAAATCTTTTTTGTTGTTGTTGTAAAATGTCCCTTTGATATGTAACTTTTCTACTCATGGGGGTTCACTGTTCAGGTGATGACTAAGGATATTAGTTGTCTTCGGTATGGTTTACATTTAAGACATTTAGCGTTTACTATGTCCATGTTATCCCTTGCTTGAATGGAGTGGCCTAAAGAGTAATTCAGCTTGCATACCTTCGTCTTTTGAACCTTTAGTTGTTCTTTGTGTTGCATGAAAATGTGAAATCAAGGCCCTTCCTCGGAAAAGCAGTTCTTGCTTGACCAGGCATTTACCGAATCGCGACTCCTCTCTCTCGTTCTCTCTCTCTCTTTCTCTCTGACTGTGTTTGCTGAATGAAGATTCTCTCTACTCACGGCCTCTCTCAGCCTCTCCCCCTCTCCCTCTCTCTTTCCCTCTATTGCTCTCTCTCTTTCTTTCTCTATCTCTCTCTCAGGCTGAGCTGAGCTGAATAGAACATTGTGTGATCACGTAACACAGGGGTGCTCAGGAGATGCGTCAGCGCTCTTTTTGCAGTGCCCCTTCTGACACTCCTGTGTGGGATCGCCACTGTTCTCTTTCATCATGGGGTCTGGAAACACAGAAACACACCCACACACAGACGTCAAACACAGACGTCAAACCAAACATTTATTTCCCGGTTATATGACAACTTAATGCTCCTCATCAACCTTTTATGAGATTCCAACCTGAGCAGGTTGAGATTGACCAGGTCTTACACGAGAAGTGATTTAGGCAAGAGAGACCAACGGTTCCGGTTTGCAGTGCTATTACATTACCTGGGTTGCTAAGCAGCACTTATGTGCTGAGTGATGATGCTCCTTGGCCGTGCCTTTGACATTTTATAGCGGAGCGCTTGCTGATGCAGCTCAAGTGAAGTGTCTCTCGCTCTGGGCTATGCAACACCATCTAACAATTTCTACCTCTTGGAATTGAACTTGCAACCTTGCTCTGATCCTGAGGAGTTTCGTGTTGTACTGCAGCACTCCCTCTTGTGCTGCCAAAGATGATAGGTGCACCTGTGTGTGTTGTGAGGTTTATTTTTAACGTGCCATTGCTGTCCCATGCTAGCGAAATGCTGATGCTCGCTATATATGGCTTGTTTACATTTTTTGTGTCTTGATGTTGTCTCTGTTGTGTCTGTCACAGGCTTGTTTATATAAGCTGACGTTGACATACTGCCACGTTCATATTTCAGTTCTCTGATGCTAGCTGTATTTTAATTGTTACGTTTTCCTTGATTCTAAATTCCGACTGTTTATATTTTAGCTCTTAGGGCAGATTCTAGTGACCCTAGATAGATGCCATCTAGATGCCGTCTCCTGCTGTTGTGACATTGAGTAAGGCACTTAACCCGTAGGTTGCAGAGGGGGGCAGGGCAAGGTGTTGCCCTCCTGCCTGGCTGACCCTGGCTTCCAACTCTTTCAGGGTTTGTGTGTGTTGGTTGGGTTAAAAGCTAAAAAAAGCCTATGATCGGAAAATTACAATGCACATTGAAGTACTCTTCTAACATCTACTTGCCCATTATTTATCCTTTTAATGTTGGCTGTGACGGCACGTCCCATGCTTTTTTTTAGCTCATAGCGCAGCGTGGTGCATTTGGACCATGATCTACCCCCTCACCCACAGACGCACTGTAAGCCAATATGAATGGGGCTCTTTAATGCGTCTTTAAGCTTCTCCTCTGTGTCTTTCCACCCTTTTGTACTGCATGAGTCGCTCGCTGCCCATAGGTACTTACTCACAAGTTGTTTTGTGATAATGCTCCCTGCAACCAGCCACACAAAGACACAGTAAACCCCTTTGGGGGATTTGTCCAGGCCACCCTTTACTACTGTGTACCGCCTCAGTGGACCAAAAGCTGCAGATACAGTGCCTTCAGAAAGTATTCATACCCCTTGACTTATTCCACATTTTGTTGTTACAGCCTGAATTCAAAATTGATTAAATATTCTTTATTTTTTACCCATCTACACACAATACCCCATAATGGCAAAGTGAAAACCAGAATTTTTTGCACATTTATTAAAAATGAAATACAGAAATATCTAATATACATAAGTATTCACACCCCTGAGTCAATACATGTTATAAGCACCTTTGGCAGCGATTACAGCTTTGAGTCTTTCTGGGTAAGTCTCTTAACAGCTTTGCACACCTGGATTGTACAATATTTTAACATTATTATTTCTGAAGTTCTTCAGGCTCTGTCAAGTTGGTTGTTGATCATTGCTGGACAGCCATGTTCAAATTTTGCCATAGATGTTCAAGCTGATTTAAGTCAAAACTGTAACTCGGCCACTCAGGAACATTTACATTTACATTTTAGTCATTTAGCAGACGCTCTTATCCAGATCGACTTACAGTAGCAATTAGGGTTAAGTGCCTTGCTCAAGGGCACATCGACAGATTTTTCACCTAGTCGGCTCGGGGATTAGAACCAGCGACCTTTCGGTTACTGGCACAACGCTCTTACCCACTAAGCTACCTGCCGCCCCATTCAATGCCGCCCCATTCAATGTCGTCTTGGTAAGTGTATATTTGGCCTTGTGTTTTAGGTTATTGTCCTGTTGAAAGGTGAATTTGTCTCCCAGTGTCTGTTTGAAAGCAGACTGAACCAGGTTTTCCTCTAAGATTTTGCCTGTGCTTAGCTCTGTTACGTTTCTTTTTATCCCCAAAAAAACTCCCTAGTCGTTGCCGATGACAAGCATACCCATAACATGATGCAGCCACCACAATGCTTGAAAATATGAAGAGTGGTACTCAGTGATGTGTTGTGTTGGATTTGTCCCAATAATAATGCTTTGTATTCAGGACATAAAGTTAATTATTTTGCCACATTTTTTGCAGTTTTACTTATCGCAAACAGGGTGCATGTTTTGGAGTATTTTTTTTATTGTATACCGGCTTCCTTCTTTACACTCTGTCATTTAGGTTACTATTGTGGAGTAACCATCCTCAGTTTGGGGGGTACTACTAAGCTATATGGAATTGTTTTAAGAAGGTCATCCCAACAATCATTTTGCTATTTGATTTAGAATTTTAAGACCCCTTGAAGTATACATTATATTTGTAATTTCTTTAGCTGCATTTGTTTTTGGTGGGCCTTACTGCTATTAACCCATTAAAACGCATTGAATAACAGATTCTATAGTCCCCCCCAAAAAATCTAAAGGAAGTTTGTTCTGAAGTGTCTGTCCTATATCTGAGAGATATAAGAAAGATCAGGAAACATTTTTTTATTATTACATTTTTACATGTATTTAACCCCTTCTTTTTGGCACTAAACAGTCTCCATATATACTGTACTTCCATAAATTTTTTCAACTGGTACCGAGGGGACCTTCAGATGAGTCTTGTGAGGCCTATGTGCGTCCTAGAGCAAAACACCAACATATACGTGTTCGTGAGAGTCACCTTTACTCATATTAGTGTGTAGCCCAAACTGTTCGGACACTACAGACAGAAGTTGGCAGATCGGCTGTACCGACTTTAGACGAGTCCCAAGACGCTTGTGGGGGTCGTAGAGCATAACAGAGAATGCCATAGTGTTTGTGAGAGTCTCATCTTCGTTTCTAGGCCAAACCGTTCGGTAGCTACAGACGATTTTATGAGAAGACCAATTTTCGGGATATCTCATGGTCTGACAAACACTGCTCTAGCTCTGTCCCCTTTCACCGATAGATTGAGACGCATCCAATGCTAATGCTAATTCTATTTCCGCAGGGGCGTGGCCATCGACCTTAGGGAGTTTTAAAGTCACCATTGGCCTCATGGTGAAATCCCTAAGCGGTTTCCTTCCTCTCCGGCAACTGAGTTAGGAAGGACGCCTGTATCTTTGTAGTGACTGGGTGTATTGATACACCATCCAAAGTGTAATTAATAACTTCACCATGCTCAAAGGGATATTCAGTGTCTGCTTTTTTTTTTTTACCCATCTACCAATAGGTGCCCTTCTTTGCGAGGCATTGGAAAACCTCCCTGGTCTTTGTGGTTGAATCTGTGTTTGAAATTCACTGCTCGGCTGAGAGACCTTACAGATAATTGTATGTGTGGGGTACAGAGATGAGGTAGTCATAAAAAAATCATGTTAAACACTATTATTGCACACAGAATGAGTCCATGCAACTTATGTGACTTGTTAAGCGAAGTTTTACTCCTGAACTTATTTAGGCTTGCCTTAACAAAGGGCTCGAATACTTATTGAGCTTTTCAAATTTCCACTTTGACATTATGGGGTATTCTGTGTAGGCCAGTGACACAAAATCTCTCAATTTTATAAATTTTTAATTCAGGCTGTAACACAACAAAATGTGGAAAAAGTCAAGGGGTGTGAATACTTTCTGAATGAACTGTAAATGCCTACCAATACAGTAAATGCCTACCACTACCATCGTCACCGCAGGGGTCGGAATCTGCCTTTTGATAACCAGGACTGATATTGAACTCTAGTTGAATGAGACCCTATCTAGACAGCTTTGTTTCGAAATAGCCAGGGCATATTTATGACCTCAAGGTTGTAGGTTCAATACCATGTTGCTCACTTGTGCCCTTTGAACTTTAACCTCAGGATAAAAAAAAACTCTGATTACAACACTAGATCACAGGGTTGGTTAATGCTGGAGACTCCACGTGTATCCACAGAGTTGGGTAAATCTGCCTTTTCCTACCAGGCCCCTATCATGTGGAATAATCTCCAAGTAACATTTCATTTGGATGTGTTGCTGTCTAAGGGTCAGTTTAGGAGAAAGGGATTTTTACATTGATAAATGTGTTTGTTTTGTTTGATTTGTTTATTGTGTGTATAATATTTGCTATTTATTTAATTTTGTGTTTTAAATTGTGTATAATTTTCTTTTCTGTATTGTTCCCAGGGCACATTTGCAAATGAGACCTAGGTCTCAATGTGTTTTCCCCTGGTTAAATAAAAGTTAAATTTTTAAAATGTAAAAATACGAACATGGCAAATTAATTAAAAAGGTGTACAGCAAATGTCCAATTAGAGGATCTGGCCCGCCTTCCTTGTCTCCATTTTATTCTTCTAGATTGGTCTTTTGATTTGCCCGTTAATATTTATTCCACCCAGGAACTTTAACTTGGATATTCTTGATGGACCTTTGGTTTCCAATGTAGCTTGAGACAGACTTGAAAAATATGAAATGGAATAATTGTATAATGTCACTGTACTGTGTAGTGATTTGGCTTCTTTAACCAACACATTTCCAGCTATAACTGGAATATCCTGCATGCAGATTGATACATGTTCCACCACCATGGGATTTTCAACTCAGTGCATTTATATTAGCCGGTTTCCAGTGATGCATCTCCAGCCCAATCCTGGCTGGTTTGAGGGTAATGATGAGAAGCTTGTTGTTTCTGCCCATCTCTACCGCACCGTTCTGGGATGCCATGCTGCTCTGAGCTCCTGATGTGGCATATTAGTCAGGACAATCGTTATTAAGCACATTTCAGGCTCAATTACCAGACAAATGCACAGCCATCAAGGCTCCACCAGATCCCAACAGATGGCTACTGTTTTTTTAGTACTTGTGTGGATGGTAGGCTATCTGACCTAGGTCCCAGACCATGTGTTTAGTCACTCATTGATATAGGCTAGTCACCCAGAGCAGGCTGCATGAATGGAAACCCACTGCGAACAGATGAGCATTAACATCGGCAAATGTCACACTGGTATCGCTGATATATCACTATAGTACTCTGTAATTACTGCTCTATCATAAGTCAAAATTACATTTTTATAAATGAGCGTCTTTCATTGGCAGAGGTCTGTAAGAGAGACAAGATGGCTGCTCTTTAGAACCTTGCCTTTCAGTGACAGGAAGCCTAAATCTCTCGTGTCGTTTGCAATGACACCTTGAAATGTCTTGGGTTGAACAGCTAACAGAAATAGGTATTTTGACATTTCTCTAGAGGGTCTCTTGTTTTTTTTGCCTTGTCTCAGCCCTATCCTTGCTTTACAGACCGAAATCCTAGTGACACACACTGACACAATAATTGTGTGTGTAACACAGGGCTAGGACTGAGGTATTCATGTCTGCATGTATACCACTGTATATGGGCTTCTGTTTGTAGATGAAAACATATTTTGTGAGTCACAGAGATGATGTTGATGTACCGGCAGTACTGCTCATGCTTCTCTCAGCCTCATGAGGAACTAACGGAATGATATCATAATGTCCCTTTTCTACCCTCTCTCACAGCTTCCTGGAGGAAGTGACATTGATGGCGGGTGCGAGCCACGGCGGCGAGAGGGTACAGAGGGCGGGTGGTCATCCCAACAGACGTTGAATGTTTGTTGACACACACACTCTCACTAAATGTTGTGTCTGTTCCTTATTGTTATCACTAGCCCATGCTTTAATTCATGGATGTGTCCCACTAAAAACATTCCAGTGCTCTCAGCTGTCACTGCCACACAGCTGGACTCTTTATCGACCCCTTAAAAAGTTGTTGTAACTGGGCCAATTAACTCCAACCAAATGAACATGTGACCCAATTAGACAGCCAGGTTACCTAACCCTGGGTACCAAAGCAATCTGTTCCCCACGTAACTGACTTGTGACTGAACAGAGCACAACACTCTCAATGTTAGTGTCCAATATTTGAACAAATTGCAGTGTAACATTTCCCCTTAAATTGGAGTTAAGTGGAAAACTCCAGTCTATTAGACTTTTATTTAATTCCTGAAAACAGAAGTGGCGCGAAGACTTTAGAGTCTTGTTTATCTTAAAAGTTCATATTTGGGCCCAGAATATTAAAAAAATATATCTCTAAGACAACATTATGTACAGTGTATGTTTTCCTTCCTTGCCTATGTACATTTCTCCATGCTATATACATGTCGTCCAAACCTACTGATTTTGAAATGACTGAATATTTTGTGGAAAATACCAATAAATGTAAAGAGTGAAATGTTGTGTGTTCCTTGTTTATCTTGTACACGTTTCCTGTTATGGTGTAATTATTTCCCATAACCCATTTCTTGTGGCAGTTCATGGAAGTAGCCCTCACTGTTTTGATTTCATTCATGTTATTGTGCACAACTTTCCCCTTAGATCAATAATGATAACATAATCATCTTCCTCCGTTCAAGTCCATTATGCTAAGCCACACTCTCTCCGAATATCTTTGAGAAATTCCCCTCTGTTGTACTTTCGTTTGGACAGTATTTCCTGCACCATGTTTCTGCTATGACTTGAAAGTACAGTTCGTAAACTGTATCTACTGCTGGCTGTGTTTGGTCTTTGTTTGTGGGCTAGTGTGATTGCTCTGGTTCCACTCAGTGATTTCATGTTTGGGTAAGGAATTGAATGCAGAAAGTCTTTGGGTTTTCCCCCTCACACAACAAACAACCAAAATGTTTGGCAGCCCATGTTTGGCAGTTGATTGATTCTTTGCCAAGTGCCTACCCCCATTGCCAGCCACATGGACCACAGATATTCAGCCTGCCTCTCTATAAAACCTCTCCATACCACCACCCCCAAATCAGATCCTCTAATCCTCCGCAACAACAACATTGCCTGGGTTATGTTCATAAGGAATACAACAAAGTGTTTTCAACAGGAAATGAAAATGAGTGTTTCTTAATGTAGTCTCTCCATGTTTAAGTACATTTTCTTCCGTTTGCTGCCTAAGGAACAAGATGCTGTTCACCATAACACAGCAGCAACTCCACAGTCAGAGTGCATTCCCTGGAGATTCTGGGTGTGTGTTCTGAGAGATCTAGGGATCAGGAAAAGGCTCAGAGTTTGTGCTCTGAGCAGCTTAATGCCGAATACTTACACAACACTGCTTTTTCTTATTTGAGGTCCAAAAAGCGGGGTTCAGTTGTTTCCGTTTATTTAGAGGATAAGGAGATGGGAATATGAGTACTAGGTAAGTTGCCCCAGGATGTCTCTAATTTGCCAACAACCTCCATCTGAACCCAAGAGACATGAGTCATATGACAGGATAATTTGCCCAATTTGTGTTTGTTTGAATGACCAAGGTCAGTCTGACTCTGAGCAGTCATATGTACAGCATTTGTGTCTTCTCACTTGTGGATCTGTATGTTGAGGAGAGGAGAGGGAATCGGCACAGCTGAAAATAGAGTACAAAAATAGATGACGAAAACTACTAGCCTACTGTCTGGGGTTCATGTAACAGTAATTTAAAGATCTCCAACATGAGACAACGTTGTGGTCTCCTAGAAATATCAATTGTGGATTTTAGTTTATAGCCCCCATATGGGCAGGTTATGGATTTTGAGTTTGATTCCTCTCAACTGACCCTTGCTCTTCTATTTCCCTAACAAACTGTAAGAGCGCTTTGACTTCCTCCGTATTGGTGACATCACGGCAACAGCGCAATAGATGGAGCTGTCGAGCGCTTTATTAACAGGAATACCCTTTTAGCCCGCTTGTTTGAGATCAGTGTAGCCTACCTACCGAGGTGGAGGGACGATGCCACCGTCTCATAATAACAGACAGTGCACGAACTGACCGCATCATCGAAATTAAGAATATAAACCGTTATTAAGACAGATTGGGGCAATAGAACAGGGGAGAAAAGAAAGGGAAAGACAGTTTATGCAGTTTAAAACATCTCTTCTCCGAAAGAAAGGAAAATACTTGGAACTGTAGGAACTCCCTGGCTCACATCCACAAAAGTGATTCTGTCATTATGAAGAAGAGCAATTTAGCCAAACGGGTAAGATATTGCTTTTATTTTCAAGTATTGGGTGCAAGTTTTTTGCCATGCATCTTTGCATTAGGCTATACATTTTCTAGGATATACCTGGTAATATGCCCAGAATCGGGCATTACGCGCGCTTTGACACCACAGCACACATTGGCGGCTATATCACACACATTATCTATATCACACATTTGATAGCCTACAATTCCTAAACAATGGTCGTTTGGCACCTCCTTATGCGCGCCACATTCAATGTGTAGCCTATCAGTTTCCTTGTGTGCCATTACACGGATTTCCTCAACATTCCGATTCAATCTTCCAGTGAAGAGTACAAAGTGTTTTATTTACATTAGTGTGCCATTGTTAGATGCCCCTTGCGCTGTATCAGTTGGTAGCTTTCAGATATTTTATTTGCCACACCCTGGATGTTATAAGACCTGCAATTAAATTTTAAGCACAGAAGAGCGCACCATTATCATTTTTGGGAAAAGACGCTTGGAGACTCATAGTTGCCAGAGTGGACTTACTGGGGCTGAGATGGAAAAGGCATTTGCCTTTGAAAGAGCTATTATTCTCTCTGTACTCTCACGAACATCTTGTTACCTAAGATAAACTAGGTTTTAACGGATTTATTCCACTTTAAACATGCAGGGTCCTCAAGATGTCAACCAGCTGTCGTCGCAGCCAGACAAAGTAGGCTGGATCCGCAAGTTCTGTGGCAAAGGGATTTTCAGGGAAATATGGAAAAACCGTTTCGTGATACTGAGAGGAGACCATCTGTACATCTCTGAGAAAGAGGTATGGACTTCTCTTTTACCTCCACAGTGGAGGCTGCTGAGGGGAGGACGGTTCATAATAATGGCTGGAATGGAGCAAATGGAATGGCATCAAACCATGTGTTTGATGTATTTGATACATTTTACATTTATGTCATTTAGCAGAAGCTCTTATCCAGAGCGACTTACAGAGTGCATTTTTTTTTTCATGATACCATTCCACTAATTCTGCTCCAGCCATTACCACGAGCCCGTCCTCCCCAATTAAGGTGTCACCAACCTCCTGTGCTCCAATATTATGTGGAGGCCAGTGGAGGCTGCTGAGGATAGGACGGCTCATAATAATGGCTGGAATAGAGACAATGGAATGGCATCAAACACATCAAATACGTGGTTTCCATGTGGTTGATACCACTCCATTGACTCCATTCCAGCCATTATTATGAGTCGTCCTCCCCTCAGCAGCCTCCACTGGTGTAGGCTATAATTGTGTCTACATTGAGCGCACCTGTACTTGAAATTGTTAAACGGCCAACCTGGCTGCCTTTGTTTGTGTGTGTGTGCATGACTGACTGTGCTCTTGTGTGTGTGTGTGTGTATGTGTGTGTACTTATGAACATTTGATTTAATTTGCCTGTACTGCCATAGACATTTCAGGTTTCCTTTGTTGCAGGCTCGCTCCCCTTGCTCAGTAGAGATGTTTGTGTGTGTGTCTGTGTATGTGGCTGACTGTGCACTACACAATTGAAAACCAGTTAACCACAAATACCACACAGCCTGTTAAAGATGCACCATTAAGATTACAGCTTTGACGGCAAACATGGATGTCACTTTTTGGCCTGTGGAAGGACATCTTGGGTTTCTCTGAGGAACTTGTTTTGTGAAAATATCCTTTAATGTAAGCTACACATGAGCTCTCAGCTCTTGGTCTGTTGTTTCCAGCAGATGTTGTTAGAAGTCTAGAAATCAAGGCTAGGGTCGCCATGGAAAGGGCACTGTTGAATGGCGCAGTGGTCTAAGGCACTGCATCGCAGTGTTAACTGTGCCACTAGAGATCCTGGTTCGAATCCAGGCTCTGTCGCAGCCGGCCGCGACCGGGAGACTCATGGGCGGCGCACAATTGGCCCAGCGTCGTCCAGGGTAGGGGAGGGAATGGCCGGCAGGGATGTAGCTCAGTTGATAGAGCATGGCGTTTGCAACGCCAGGGTTGTGGGTTTGATTCCCACGGGGGGCCAGTATAAAAAAAAGATGTATTCACTAACTGTAAGTCGCTCTGGATAAGAGCGTCTGCTAAATGACTAAAATGTAAATGTAAATGTAAATGTAAAAGAAATAGGGTAAATTGTCAAATCTAAGCACAAATCACCATGCAAGCGCAAAAAAAATGATGTGCTGAATTCGGATTACTTTCACTGACGCAAACGTGCCCAACTTCTGAGGTCAATAAAATACCCACTGGGCACAGACATCAATTCAACGTCTATTCCACATTGGTTCAACATAATTGAAATGTGCCTAGTGGGTACTACTATGGGCATTGGTGGCAGATGGTGACTCAGTATCATTGTTGGGCAAATTTAGAACACTGTCCATTACAATACAACAGGTTTTGGCCATGGCATAGAGACATAGCTATTTTGTTTGACTGAAAGTAATGGCTTATGTCCAAGTGCTTTTATCACATGAAAGGTTCTAGTGAACAGCTTCATTATCAGTACAAGTTTCGAGATCATATGGCCTAGGTGTTAAACCTTTAGCTGTAGCGAATTCATTCTGTCGAAAGGCACTGAAGCATCATATCTGGGGAGTAGCACTGGTATCTATTTTTGTTGATAACGACCACACTATAGGGCATGGACAGAATCAGCCATCCATCTCTGTATTCTTTATTATTTTCTGTGTTCTTTGTTTTTGAGGTCAGATTCTGTTTAATATCACTGTTTCAATACCCCCCCCCCCTCCCCCCAGCAGTAACCATGGAGATAAACGCTACTGACAACTGAGAGGGCACAGGTCTTTCTGAAAGCAGAATAATGCCCTTTAAATTATTCCTATAAGGGATTCTCAGAACAGCAAATTAAAGTTCCACAAAAGGGTCTGCATCGCTCTATTGCTCTAATGAAAGACAAACATTTGAAGATAATAACTCGTAGACATGCACTGGGTTCAGTTCAGGTTCAGTTAAGGCTAACCTTGTTAGTCATTTATCTCTGGTTCAGTTGTGGATGTAGGTGTTACGCTTGCTAATGAAACAAACAAACCTATGACAACATTGCTGGTTCACTTGATGATTCAGTCACATGCAATGCCTCTCTTGCCTTATCTTCAAGCCCCAAAGGCCTGACTGAGTTTTGAGTGCTTCGCTGTCCGTTTCTGAACCCTGAACAAGGCTCCAACAGGGTACCCACAGGCTTCCCTTGAAGGGAGAGAGTGGGACTGAGGGCTCCAGCTGCATGCAATGCCAGTTTCCCCAATAATTTTAGAACCAAAGTTTAAAAAGTGTTTTTTCTTCTGTGCCCTGCTCCCTTACAGCTTGCTGGATGAGCAACAAACACGTGTCAGAAACTCATAAGACCATGGCTGACGCAGCTGCGCCTCTCACTGCCTGAGGATCCCTAAGCACCCAATGCCCCCACCCCTCAACCCTACCCCACACACACACACACACACACTCAGCTGAGGTTCAGTTGCTTTGTAATGCCATTACCATCCTCACCTGTGGTACAGAACGCATCAATTCAGCATAGTTAACTTTAGTTCTCTTTCTTTCTCTCACACATGCTCTTTAATTTCTTGGATGTTATAGTTCTGTTATGTAATGCACCTATGGCTCCATTCACACTTAATACAATTCTATTTTTGTTAAGGAGATATTTTCATATTATGTATATTGGTATTTAATATAATAATATGCCATTTAGCAGACGCTTTTATCCAAAGCGACTTACAGTCATGCGTGCATACATTTTTGTGTATGGGTGGTCCCGGGGATCGAACCCACTACCTTGGCGTTACAAGCGCCGTGCTCTACCAGCTGAGCTACAGAGGACCACGTGGCATGCTAGCTATTTGTCAGGTGAAGGTAACTGCTCCCCCAGTGCTGTTTGACCAGCGTGTCATGTGCTCCGCTGCAACTTCTTAACCACGATTAATGGGGGTGCATTATTCAAATGTGAACTTTGAAAAGACAAGCACGCTGTTCATGAAGTAGGCCAGAAGGCTAAGATGAACACTGAGGCTTTTGTAACTCCAACGCTCAGCGTAACTACAGCTGAACGGCCTCTTGGGGCCCGGGATAATCTTTTCATTTTCCTATAGAGTGCCCTCTTTGAGTTTGATTTAATGGCTTATAGACCTTGAGTGCTATCATGTCGTTAGTGAGTTACAGCACAATTTACGCTTTTGAACCATATTCACTGAATTAATTGCCTCTATCATTTCTATTAATCACAGGCGAAGGACATTCATAATGTGGGTTTACTCCAACATTTTATACTGTATTTCAAGGCAGGTGTGGTTTTGAATCAACATAATCAAGCATCCGCAAAATATACAACCTGCGGGAGTATTTGTTTAAATGTGTTAAACACTTGCGTTAAAACGTGACCAACATTGCACTTTAACTTTACCTGCAATTGATTGAATTGTGGCATGAGTGTGCAAGCTGGACAATTGCCTGCTGCCTCATAAGATTAGCTACATAAGCTCGGGGATGCACAGTAAGCAGGTATACTGTTCTATTACCTCGAAGCATCCTCACATGGGGCACCAGTTCGATGTGTGAGAGATTCTCATAAGAGGATTTGCAACCATGCAACTGGGACTCTGAGACGTTAACTGCTGGTGACGTTACTCTGTACTACCCCAGATTCAAACTTACTTCATAATTTGACCACTAATAAGAGTGCAAATATCTATCTATCTATCTGTTCTCCTGTCTTTTATGTTTGATTGTGAAGGAGAAAAGGGGGGTGATACTGTATTTAGAGGAAAATTCACAGAGAGAAGTAAGGCGTAAGCTGGGATGAACTCCTGCCGCAGGAGGGCATATAGTCTGGAGGTCAGCAACTCTACCACCAGACCCGACCCCGGCACAGAACACAAATATACACTGAGTGTACAAAACATTAGGAACACGACATGAAATAGACTGACCAGGTGAATCCAGTTGAAAGCATTATCCCTTATTGATGTCACTTGTTAATTCCAGTTCAATCAGTGTTGATGAAGGGGAGGAGACAGGTTAAAGAAGGATGTTTAAACCTTGAGACAATTGAGACATGGATTGTGCCATTCAGAGGGTGAATGGACAAGACAAAAGATTTAAGTGCTTTTGAATGGGGTATGGTAGTAGGTACCAGGCGCACCGGTTTGTGTATGTCAAGAACTGGGTTTTTCACGCTTAACAGTTTCCCGTGTGTATCAAGAATGGTCCACCACCCAAAGGACATCCAGCCAACTTGACACAACTGTGGGAAGCGTTGGAGTCAACATGTGCCAGCATCCCTATGGAACGCTTTTCGACACCTTGTAGAGTCCATGTCCAGACGAATTGAGGCTGTTCTGAGGGAAAAATGGGGTGTAACTCAATATTAGGAAGGTGTTTCTAATGTTTTGTACACTCAGTGTATTTTAAGACTATTGAATTTCATCACCTCCCAGTTACTTTGCAGTGTCAGGGGAAACTATTCAGGGAACAGCTCCAGTATTCTAGTGTTGAACATTTCAAGATATCGTTAAAGATTTCATCATCTCAAAGAGCCTGTTAACTGCGGTGTATTTTTCATATTATGCCCGCTCAGCTACTGCTCAATGCAAGATTTTGAATTATTTTTTATCATCCTCAGCTCAAGCTTCCCATAATAGGCTACAGAGCCAGAGCTCTGAGAGCCTCAATTCACCAGACAGGCATGATGCTACAAGAACGTGGATTACACAACACAGGAACTGCATAGATGCGTGTGTTACAGTGAGGTCTGTTCGTCCATAAAAGGCTGTTGTTGTGTGTGAAGTGTACACTAACGTATGTTGTCATAGTTGAGAATAAGATGTGTGTCTGTGTGCTGAGAGTGTATGTTATGGAGGTGTGTGCTCCTGTCTCTGCTCCCACGATATCAACCCTGTATATTGCTCTGCTCTTATCTTATAGCTGTGCTATTGACTGCAGGTTACGCACATCATACAACTTTCATAAGAGCACTCTCTGTTCTCTTCTCTAGTCTTTACACGTGCAGACAGAGATGCTCCTGTAGAATGCTCAAAGTGCTTCCACTGAAGCACTCAATCTTTGATCTATGTGAATCATTTATGGGATTTCCGCCTATGTTTCTGTACTGTGTATATATAGAGTCTTTATGGTTTTCAATGGTGACGTGCATGGCATATGAAAGAGGACACTAAAACAAAACAGGATTTAGCGCGAGAGAGTGAGGGAAGCTTGTTTTCATCAGATACTGTATGACCTAGGCCAGGAGGTTCTTGAGGGAAGATTTTAGGCCATGCATTGAAGAAATGTGGTGACGCAGTTGGACAAGTGTTTTGTAGTTGGTCAAGATCTTTGTGATTGATGTAGCTTACAGATACTGTTGCAATGTGATTGACTCAACATCTGTGACAGAAAGCGAATGTGTGACAAAGTTTTGTGGTTGATAGAGAAACCCTGTGACTGGAGGAGCTTAGCATAAAATTGGACTAACACACCTCTGAAATTGGTCAAGGACCACACAAGTGTTGTTACTGGTCCAACAGATCAGTGGAGTTATTGGTGAAAACTGTATGTAATTGGAAATAGTGCAAGATGACTGGTCATTAAGCATATCATATGGTCAATGTAACAAAGCTATATGATTGGTGCAGGAAGGCCATGGTGGTTTAGCTTTCCATTCTTGTTATGCTAGTTATTTCAGGAAAGCCTACTGAAATATAGTATTACATTATAAATAAACCAGCCTCTTTAAACTCCCCAGCTCTAAACTGCATTACATTTTCCGCAGTGATTGAAAAGATGCTTTTAATCCATTTCACCTCTTAATTCCAACCTGGTTTATATAAAAATCAAATCCTCTAGGGCTTGATTACAGGGTATTACCGGCATGTCGACCAGATTTTGGAGTGTGACCAATCGGACATCGCCTTTCCATTCACTCTAGGGTTTCCCCCTGCATTTTACTGTTGGATGGGCTGCCACCGGCTAGTATAGACTTTATGTATCTTTGCGTTACAGGGCTGTATGTTACTGGGTCATTCTCAGTGGTGGGCATTTAACCCCCACTACCACCCCCCAACTCTGCTTTTCCATATACGTAGCAGGAGGGGAGTGAAATATTGATGGGATGGTGAGGTTCCAGAATGGGTCCTCAGGGCTTCTTTTGCCCCATATTAGAGTTGCGAGCCTCTCTCTCTCTCACACACCCACACACACCCACACACACACATACAGCTCATGCTTATCTTTTACATTTTAAATGCAGTTTGGGTGGCTAACGAAGAGGTAGCAGCATGCGGTGGGACACAGTTTGGATCTGTGTTTTATCAGGAAGAAATTGGACTACACTTTTGACGTATTTATTGTCCTCATACAGTATACTGTATATCGCTAGGCATAATAAAGTTCCTCACTGAAATTAAAAGACACAAATGGTCAAATGTAGCCCTAACAAGTGCATTTCAGGCTGCTAGTGGTTTAATAGTGGTTGATACTAGGCTGCAACACATTATTAAATGATACCGTATGTGGTGGTTTCTTTGATCACAGAAACTCTCAGAGTTGCACCGCGTCTCGTTCTAACGTTGGCAGATTCCTCTGATGCAGGGCTCTGTTGCTGTGGAAAATCTCTATGCATCAAGATGAAAGTGTAACACCCTTCCCAACACACACTCACATCCACCCACATTGCTATGTGTACCAATGATGTTCAACCTTATCTCTCTGCGTCTCCTTAGGTTCTCACAACAGACCTACACATAGGCTTGTACCCATGTCAATAACCAACCCCCAACACCTCCAAATACACACACACCGCACCATGACCCCCATTGACCCCGTTGATGTGTAGAATCTAATGGGGCCCTCTGGGAGGTCCCACCACCCTTGAGGTTGTATGTAATCACCTGTCAGTCAGGCTGAATGAAGGGGTCGATGTCTCTGCCCCAGCGCTGTTGATTACAATTGATCTGCGATTAAATGAGACACTTTGCTGCGGGGCCACGAGACCAATAATGGGAGGCAGGGGAGTAATACAGGAACACCCGCTCCAAGACTAAATTTCTCAACCAATTTGTCTGGCTATTGCTTTTGGGCGGCATTGGGAAGCAGGTTTTGAAAATAAACACATATTTCAATGCTCTGTGTAAAAGTATGATCATAACTTGGTAACATTCTGATGTCAGGCCTGTAATGGAATTTTTAAAGACATTTGGACTTGTCCTAAAAAGGCAGTCAGTACACCTACAGAAGTGCTTCTGTATGGGCATTTAAGGCCTGATATTCCAGAGAATTTCATTTGAAACCTCAATAACATAATGGATGATACGAATGTGAGAAACTGATGATTTTTACCCAGGCACTGTGGTGTGTCTCTGTGCTGTTGAAAGCTGCTGGATAACAGAGAGTGGTAATTAAGCAATAATTACCACTCTCTGTTACCACGGCTAAGGGCTGTTCTTAGGCACGACGCATCGCGGAGGGCCTGGATACAGCCATTAGTCGTGGTATATTGGCCATATACCACAAACCCCTGAGGTGCTTTATTGCTATTATAAACTGGTTACCAACGTAGTTAGAACAGTAAAAATAAATGTTTTGTCATACCCATCGTATACGAGCTTATATACCACGGCTGTCAGCCAATCAGCATTCAGGACTGGAACCACCCAGTTTATAATTAGTATTTTCCCTTTGGTTAAACTCAAGATGACTTGCTGTAATGCACAGTAGGTTGTTCTGTGTGTGTGTGTGAGGGAGTTTGAGCGTGTGAGTGTGTGTGTGTGTGTATGTGTGTGTGTGTGTGTGTGTGTGTGTGTGTGTGTGTGCGTGCATATGTGTGTTTTTGTGGTAGACAGATAGTTTAAGGTTCAAAACAAATTGACAAAGCTAATTTGCCAGTGCCATCTTGCACATCTGTATAGACCTGAGTTGTAACTACTTCCTGTTTTCTCTGTGTGTTTCCAGGTGAAGGATGAGAGGAAAGTCCAGGAGTTGTTTGACCTGGCTGACTATGAACGATCTGAGGAGCTGCGCAAGGCCAAAAGCCGCAGTAAGAAGAACCACAGCAGGTTCACCCTGCTTTGCTGCAAGCAGCCTGGGAATACGGTGAGTCCTTCTGCCCAGGGAGAGTGAAGGAGTCAGGCAGGGAGGCTGCGCATGGCCTGGGGTGTGTTGCCCTCAGTGGGAAGCCCTTACTGCAGGTGTCGATTTTAGCTGAAAATGCACTTAGAAGTTTTATTTTGCTGAAAACTTAAACTTGAGGGAAGTTTATCCTCAGACATAGTTTGTGGTTTTCTGTAAAGAGAGAGTATGAGATATAGAGTACATGTTCAAATCAAATCAATCATATTGTATTTGTCACATGCTTCGTATACAAGAGGTATAGACTAACAGTGAAATGCTTCCTTACGGGTCCTTTTCCAACAATGCAGAGTTAAAGATAACGGAGTACACAGAGTTTTTGTATCTCAATAGAGAGAAATATAATGGCGTCTTTTTGTAGGAACACTGCCATGGTTCATTGGACAAAGCCTATGGGGAAGTGAATGGCGTTTTGGGATAAACGCTGAAAATAAGGTATATGGTAAACACAGGCTTAGGAGATCTTGAAGCATTTAAGTCATTTTTTAAAAGCACATAAAGGCTTCATAATTCATAAAGGTCATGTTAACTGACATATTATCTCATAAAACAAAACGTATAAGATCTCCTAAGCCTGTATTAACCTCAGACCTTGTTTTCTGCTGTGCCCACTCCGCTACCTACGTAGTTGCTGTGCTTACTGCTTCGCTGCCGGTCCCCCTCCTTGATCGCCTTTGTCTGGTCACTGGTGTAGCCTACAAACTTCATGTTGTACACAAAACTGTTTGCACTATTGCATTCCCTCAGCAGGCTATTAAAGCATAAGCGCAATTTCCTACAAATTTAATGTTGTACACAAAACTGTTCGAACTACTGCATTTCATGCCTCAGTAAGCATAAGTGGGGTTTCATGTTATTTTTTGAGGGGAGTAGGCTACATGTAGCTATTTAAATGTTTTACACAAAATACATTATCGACATGTACAAACTTTGTTGTCAGTATTGCAAACATAAGCACGACAACCTTAAGAAAGAGGTTTCCGGCAGGGTGGGCGGGGGCGGGGCGTGGGCTCTGTATCCATAGCCACGGCCTAAAGATAAAAACATAAAAAATAGTGACACGAGGAATAAATACACAGTGAATAACAATAAAAAGTAAAAATAACATGGCTAAATACAGGGAGTACCAGTACCGAGTCGATGTGCATGGGTACAAGGTAATTGAGGTAGCTATGTACATATACAGTGGGGAGAACAAGTATTTGATACACTGCCGATTTTGCAGGTTTTCCTACTTACAAAGCATGTAGAGGTCTGTAATTTTTATCATAGGTACACTTCAACTGTGAGAGACGGAATCTAAAACAAAAATCCAGAAAATCACATTATATGATTTTTAAGTAATTAATTTGCATGTTATTGCATGACATAAGTATTTGATACATCAGAAAAGCAGAACTTAATATTTGGTACAGAAACCTTTGTTTGCAATTACAGAGATCATACGTTTCCTGTAGGTCTTGACCAGGTTTGCACACACTGCAGCAGGGATTTTGGCCCACTCCTCCATACAGACCTTCTCCAGATCCTTCAGGTTTCGGGGCTGTCGCTGGGCAATACGGACTTTCAGCTCCCTCCAAAGATTTTCTATTGGGTTCAGGTCTGGAGACTGGCTAGGCCACTCCAGGACCTTGAGATGCTTCTTACGGAGCCACTCCTTAGTTGCCCTGGCTGTGTGTTTCGGGTCGTTGTCATGCTGGAAGACCCAACCACGACCCATCTTCAATGCTCTTACTGAGGGAAGGAGGTTGTTGGCCAAGATCTCGCGATACATGGCCCCATCCATCCTCCCCTCAATACGGTGCAGTCGTCCTGTCCCCTTTGCAGAAAAGCATCCCCAAAGAATGATGTTTCCACCTCCATGCTTCATGGTTGGGATGGTGTTCTTGGGGTTGTATTCATCCTTTTTCTTCCTCCAAACACGGCGAGTGGAGTTTAGACCAAAAAGCTCTATTTTTGTCTCATCAGACCACATGACCTTCTCCCATTCCTCCTCTGGATCATCCAGATGGTCATTGGCAAACTTCAGACGGGCCTGGAAATGCGCTGGCTTGAGCAGGGGGACCTTGCGTGCTCTGCAGGATTTTAATCCATGACGGCGTAGTGTGTTACTAATGGTTTTCTTTGCGACTGTGGTCCCAGCTCTCTTCAGGTCATTGACCAGGTCCTGCCGTGTAGTTCTGGGCTGATCCCTCACCTTCCTCATGATCATTGATGCCCCACGAGGTGAGATCTTGCATGGAGCCCCAGACCGAGGGTGATTGACCGTCATCTTGAACTTCTTCCATTTTCTAATAATTGAGCCAACAGTTGTTGCCTTCTGACCAAGCTGCTTGCCTATTGTCCTGTAGCCCATCCCAGCCTTGTGCAGGTCTACAATTTTATCCCTGATGTCCTTACACAGCTCTCTGGTCTTGGCCATTGTGGAGAGGTTGGAGTCTGTTTGATTGAGTGTGTGGACAGGTGTCTTTTATACAGGTAACGAGTTCAAACAGGTGCAGTTAATACAGGTAATGAGTGGAGAACAGGAGGGCTTGTTAAAGAAAAACTAACAGGTCTGTGAGAGCCGGAATTCTTACTGGTTGGTAGGTGATCAAATACTTATGTCATGCACTAAAATGCAAATTAATTACTTAAAAGTCATACAATGTGATTTTCTGGATTTTTGTTTTAGATTCTGTCTCTCACAGTTGAAGTGTACCTATGATAAAAATTACAGACCTCTACATGCTTTGTAAGTAGGAAAACCTGCAAAATCGGCAGTGTATCAAATACTTGTTCTCCCCACTGTAGGTAGGGGTAAAGTGACTAGGCAACAGGATAGATAATAGACAGTAGCAGCAGCGTACACTCAGTGGCCAGTTTATTAGATACATAACCCCGTTCACGAAAATGGTTAGCTCCTACAGACAGTGAGTCACGTGGCCGTGGCTTGCTATATAAAGCAGGCAGACAGGCATCGAGGCATTCAGTTACTGTTCGATTGAACGTTAGAATGGGCAAAACAAGTAACCTAAGCAACTTTGAGCGTGTTTATGATTGTCGGTGCCAGGCATGCCGGTTCCAGTATCTCAGAAATGGCCAGCCTCCTGGGCTTTTCATGCACGACAGTGTCTAGAGTGTACCGAGAATGGTGCAGCAAACAAAAAACATCCAGTCAGCGGCAGTCCTGTGGGTGAAAACAGCTCGTTGATGAGAGGTCGAAGGAGAAAGGCAAGAATCGTGCAAGCTAACAGGCGGGCCACAAACAGGCAAATAATGGCGCAGTACAACAGTGGGGTGCAGAACAGCATCTCGGAAAGCACAACTCGCCGGTCCTTGTCACGGATGGCCTATTGCCGCAGACGACCACACCGAGTTCCACTCCTATCAGCTAAATACAAGAAGAAGCGCCTCCAGTGGGCACGCAATTCTACCAGCTCTCACATTATCACGTTAGAATTAGACATTCATCCATGTTTCTCAAATGTCAAATTTCGAAGTGTTTAAGGTTAAGTTTAGGCATTAACTCAGAATTTTAAAGGTTAGGGTTAAGTTCAGGCATTAACTCCAAATTCTTAAGGTTAGGCATTAACTCCGAATGGTAAAGGTTAAGGTTTGGGATAGGCTTAAAACAAAAATATCAAAAACAATTGCTGATTTCGAACTTGCAACCTTTAGAATCAGAGGCAGGTGCTTACACCCATCTGCCATCCCCCATACCCCATACCCGCCCACAATGCCCTAGCAAAACTGAAACCTACTTGAAGGTAACAGCACTCACTGTTGCCCCTTGTGGCCGGTTTCCACGTCATCTCCCGACGTCCTCAGACATGAATGGACGTTGAATACTGACTTGTATCACAGGTCACCAACACTGGACAATTGTGTGGAAAAACATCGCCGGGTCTGACGAATCCCGGTCCCTGTTGCGTCATGCTGATGAATTTTGCGTAAGCAGCATGAGTCCATGGCTCCATCCTAGTTGGTGTCAACGGTACAGGCTAGTGGCAGTGGTGTAATGGTGTGGTGTATGTTTTCCTGGCACACGTTAGGTTCCTTGATACCAATTGAGCAACCTTTCCATGCCCTGAAGAATTCCGGCTGTTCTGGAGGCAAAGGGGGGTCCGACCCGGTACTAGATAGGTGTACCTAATAAAGTGTGTGTGTATGTGTGTGTTTGGGTGTCAGTGTGTGGGTAGAGTCCAGTGTGTGTGCATAGAGTCAGTGCAAGAGAGTTAGTGCAAAAAATTTGTCTAGCTGATTATTTATTTTTCTCTCTGGGAGATTATATGGTTGTGTTACCACATTGGATTGGACAGTAACACACTCCCACCACAGACCGGGATTGGTGGATTTCTCCAGAAAGACATAATCCATAGAATCCCATTAACACTGAAGAGGCATTCTCTGTAACGCACAAATCCTATAGAGATTCCACCCACAGTTGTCGCTTCTGACCCACTGCAGTTCCTTTAGATCTCGGCACCAGCTGCTGGTTCATTTTACATAATTGTTCACTGTCTTAGTGTGATATTCTATAATTACGTTTCAGGAATGGAAGGGGGAAGTGTGTGTTTGAGAGAAGATTGCAATTATATACAAGAAGATTAAGGGCAGATGCTCAATTTACCTGTTTTTGTCAAGCTTTGCAGAGATTCTTCCTCCAGCTTACAGCTTAGACCCTGCTCTAGATAAGAACCATCTTTAACATTTACTGAGGCGCAATCTCCTTTTCTTGGCGATTTAGGCAAAGCCGCCCCATTAAGCTTTCTGTCCCCCTCTCCATCTCTCACACATTGGCTACATTCTGACTCTCCCTCCAGCCAATGCTTACACTACATTCTAACTCTCCCTCCAGCCAATGCTTACACTAATGTATTGCTTTTAAATCCATGATTAGAGTATGCAAGTACACACTTAGGAAGAAGGGTGAATATTGGGAGTATCCCTTTCTCATCTTCTTTCAACCAATCAATCGATTCTTTCCTTTCCTCAGGTGCCCAATCTTGTGTTTTTGGCCGTTAGCCCCGAGGAGAAGGAGTCATGGGTCAATGCCCTCAATACAGCCATCATCAAAGCCAAGAACCGCATTTTTGATGAGGTAGGTCAGTCACTCTCCTCCTCTCCATCCCTGTCCCTATGTCGCTAGCTCTCACTTCTCCTCAGATTTCTACAGCTTTCCTTCTTTTTCTCTCTCTTTAGCATGTCTCTCATGCAACATTTATTATTTTAAATGAAACCACCACCACTCAAAACGCCCCCACAGCCAGCCATAAAAAGTTTCCAGACAAATGTAACCTTGCCGTTACTAAGCACACTATGTACAGTTGAAGTCGGAAGTTTACATACACTTAGGTTGGAGTCATTAAAACTCGTTTTTTCAACCACTCCACAAATTTCTTTTTAACAAACTATAGTTTTGGCAAGTCGGTTAGGACATCTACTTTGTGCATGACACAAGTAATATTTCCAACAATTGTTTACAGAAAGATTATTTCACTTATAATTCACTGTATCACAATTCCAGTGGGTCAGAAGTTTACATACACTATGTTCACTGTGCCTTTAAACAGCTTGGAAAATTCCAGAAAAGGAGCTTCTGATAGGCTAATTGACATAATTTGAGTCAATTGGAGGTGTACCTGTGGATGTATTTCAAGGCCTACCGTCAAACTCGGTGCCTCTTTGCTTGACATCATGGGAAAATCAAAATAAATCAGCCAAGACCTCAGAAAAAAATTGTAGACCTCCACAAGTCTGGTTCATCCTTGGGAGCAATTTCCAAATGCCTGAAGGTACCACGTTCATCTGTACAAACAATAGTACGCAAGTATAAACACCATGGGACCACACAGCCATCATACCGCTCAGGAAGGAGACGCATTCTGTCTCCTAGAGATGAACATACTTTGGTGCGAAAAGTGCAAATTAATCCCAGAACAACAGCAAAGGACCTTGTGAAGATGCTGGAGGAAACAGGTACAAAAGTATCTATATCCACAGTAAAACGAGTCCTATATCGACATAACCTGAAATGCCACTCAGCAAGGAAGAAGCCACTGCTCCAAAACCACCATAAAAAAGCCAGACTACGGTTTCCAACTGCACATGCGGACAAAGATCGTACTTTCTGGAGAAATGTCTTCTGGTCTGATGAAACAAAAATAGAACTGTTTGGCCAAAATGACCATCGTTATGTTTGGAGGAAAAAGGGGGTTGCTTGCAAGCCGAAGAACACCAACCCAACCGTGAAGCACGGGGGTGGCAGCATCATGCTATGGGGGTGCTTTGCTGCAGGAGGGACTGGTACCCTTCACAAAATAGATGGCATCATGAGGAAGGAAAATGATGTGGATATATTGAAGCAACATCTCAAGACATCAGTCAGGAAGTTAAAGCTTGGTCGCAAATGGGTCTTCCAAATGGACAATGACCCAAAGCATACTTCCAAAGTTGTGGCAAAATGGCTTAAGGACAACAAAGTCAAGGTATTGGAGTGGCCATCACAAAGCCCTGACCTCAATCCTATAGAAAATGTGTGGGCAGAACTGAAAAGGCGTGTGCGAGCAAGGAGGCCTACAATCCTGACTCAGTTACACCAGCTCACCCAACTTATTGTGGGAAGCTTGTGGAAGGCTACCCGAAACATTTGACCCAAGTTAAACAATTTAAAGGCAACGCTACCAAATACTAATTGAGTGTATGTAAACTTCTGACCCACTGGGAATGTGATGAAATAAATAAAAGCTGAAATAAATCATTCTGTCTACTATTATTCTGACATTTCACATTCTTAAAATGAAGTGGTGAGCCTAACTGACCTAAGACAGGGAATGTTTACTAGGATTAAATGTCAGGAATTGTGAAAAACTGAGTTTAAATGTATTTGGCTAAGGTGACTTCAACTGTACAATTTGTGAATTTAGACAAAAGCACAGTCTACATCTTTCAATACGGGAAACACGTAAGTGGTATCTCCCCAGGCAAGGATGAGAGATCAAAGAGTTTCCTCGCTGACTCATCCATCTCCGTCGGGAACAGAGTCCTCGTTAATGCTCCGTCCCTGCCGACGCCCACCTGTTTTCCTCGTACCTCTCGATCAAACAGTGGCTCCCTCCCCATCACACACTATAGGGTGAAAATCCATCTTCCGTAGTTAGAGATCGTCGGGAAGTGAGAATGAACTCTGCAGCATGTCTGCCACCCCGATAGTGAGAATGCTCTCGAGTATCAAGCAAAAGGTGTGAAGTGCCTGCTTTAGCACAGCAGGTTGAATTCCAACACACAACAAATAATGTACTCTAATGTACTCTACTGTTCTCTACATTACATCTTTAGCTCATGCTAAGGGGAAGTTACTTGTTGCACTTACAACCTCCTACTCTTTCATCCATTCCCATAACTCTCCCTCCACAAATATACATTTATGTTATTCTGCATGTAAAAATAAATATCTTTCCATAGGTCACAATTGAAGAGGACAGTGTCCTGGTGCACCCTACACGTGATCGTGCCAAGATTCCCCATGCACGGCGCTTGCCCACCCGGGGACACCTCATGGCTGTGGTGGGTGTTGCTAACTTGGCTAACACTGACATTTCAGTTCCAAGTCAATATTATATTTGTGGAAGGCAAATAAGGAATTGTACTGTTTGTATTGTAAGGATTAACCTGGTCTGTTGCATTGAATGCTAAACTCTCTTGTGCTCTCCCTAGGCATCCACCTCTTCAGACGGAATGTTGACCCTTGACCTTGTCCACGAGGAAGATGACTCCACCCCAGAAGATGAGGAAGAACGCTTCTGGGAAAATAACTTCCGGGTTGACCTAGACAAACGGACCACAGGTCGTCAGCGTTCTGGCACAGACGTCTCCAAACTCTGTGTCACAACAAGGGACCCAAGGGTACCCAAGACGGGCAGCCTGCCTCGCGGGAGCGAGCTCTCCTGGGGCCGTGCGCACCATCTTGAGGCTCAATCCCGCACCCCTCAACCAGGGAAGAGGTTCAGTGCCCAGGGTAGGAGCCGCTGCGCCTCCATGGACGAGGTCCTTTCCTCACGGCCAGCCAGGGGTGTCCTTCGCCCTCGCCCCACAGATGAACCTGTCCAGCCTGTTGGACAACTGCAGAGTCTTATCGCCCAGAAAATGCAGAGGGCTCAGGAACTGCTGGAAGAAATGCGATTGGAGGAACTGCAACATGCAAAGGGCTTTGACTCGCCCTATCTGAAGGGCATTGACTCGCCCCGCTTGCACCATCTGAGAGGGTCTGAGTCTCCTCACTCCAGGGCCTCAGGCTCACCTCGCAGTAAGAGTAGTGACTCCCCTCGTTTGAGGGTAAAAGACTCACCTCGTTTGAGGGGGAAAGACTCACCTCGTACGAAGGGCAAGAAGTCCCGCTCAAAAGGTACAGACTCACCCCATTCAAAGAGTGATGACTCTCCTAATTTGAGGGGTAATGACTCCCCCCGTCTCAGGGTTACTGACTCTCCCCGTCTCAGGGTTGCTGATTCTTCCCGTTTCAAGGAAACAGACTCGCCAAGTCTGAAGGGTTCTGACTCTCCACATCTCAAGAACATTGGTTCACCCTTTTCAAAAAGTTTTGACTCATCTAGTCTGAAGGGTTCTGACTCGCCTCGCATCAAGGATACTAATTATCCTGTTCTGAGGGGTAAGGACTCACTAAATATCATTGGTAAGAATTCTCAGAGTCTGAAGAGTATCGTCTCACCTTGTCTGAAGGGTGCTGACTCGCCCCATCTGAAGGGTAATGACTCGCTCCATAGTAAGAGTGCACACTCACTTCTCAGTGACTGTGATTTGGAGAGTAGACGGGCGGAGGCGGAGCGTCTTCTGCAGGAAGCCGTCTCCTCCTGGCGTCAGGCTAAGGAGGTGCTGGAGGAGGTGAAGGAGCTGCAGACGCAGTCACTAAACCGCCGCTCCGAAAAGAAAACAATAGACAGGCCCCCAACACCGCCACAGGACTATAGGCTGGAGGACCAATGACTCTGTCGCACCACAGCTGAAAGGCATGCTGGCTTCTCTCCAAACAAAGACAATAAAAAGAGCACTAGGGGCATGGAGTACATACAGTACATTTTCTGTCACGTTTTTGTTGTCATTACTTGCCAGTGTTGAAGCACAAAGCTTTTAGGCTTTACTGCTCCCGTTGCACTTTCCTATCTTGATCTTTGTTTATATACTGTATACTAGTCAAATTAAGCTGAGAAAGTAATGACAGAATAATTTTATTACCACTGCTGTTTGCTTGCTGGTGTGAATAGGTTAGATGGACCTTGACCCCATAATATGATTCTGTGCATTAGATTTTGTTCCCTTTGTCAAAGGCTCTGTGTTCCATTCTGTTGATGGAGGGATGAGCTTCTGGGTTGTAGGAGCAGATCATGGTTTATGGCTTAATCCTGGTTCGTGGATGGGGGGTGACTCAGACTGAGAGGCATAAACAGGGCTAGAGCGGAGGTGCTGTGCCTCGGTGACACTGACACACCCAGGGAAAGTCATATTTTTACATTTATTATCCACCAGAGGTGGGTTAGGTTTCATTGCAAAATGCTTTGTACTTTAAATATAAACATGAAATGCTTTTTTATAATGGACGAATGGAATGAGAATGTTTGCGTGGAAACATTGTCTGAGGAGCATTATTTCAGTGTGAAATGCATATATGGAGAAGATGCTCTCTTTCGGTTAGCTTCAGTTATTGACAACTTGCAGTCAAGTCCAATGACCTTGAAACATCAAGGATTTCCCCAGTTTCTCTGTGTCAGAAACCTAGTATTGTAGTTGTTGGTCTTCTCAGAGACCGAATACAAAGGCAATCTTCCTCTTACTGTGAGCTTGTTATTTCCTCTTCCCCTCTGTGTCCTAAACTGAGCAATAGTATTCCACGGACAGATTCAAGATGCCTGTTAACATTATGCAATCAAACTGATTTAAACTCACTAGTTGGATTCCCAACATTTATAGCTAAAACTCATAGACCACAAGGCCACTTTGATTGCAAGGATATCAAGTAACACCACTTTGTTTTATTAAATGTACTTTTATTTTCGGGTCATGTAACGTGGTCTCTTGCTTGTACTCAGAATTCCTCTATTGTTTTGGTTAATTGGGGTTCTGTGATCTACAAAAGCCTGCATGTGAGTGATTCAGCGGAAGCGAGCAAGAGAACATGCTCATTAACTCTGATCAGCTTTTGAGGAGATATGCTATTATGGGATTATAATTGCAGGCGTCATGTTGAGTCTCTGTAGTGTTTGTTGCACTTCTAATCAGGTGGGCAGATGATTTCAACAGTTCTTCTGTCTCTCTTCCAAAAGGTGCACAGGGTAATCTCACAACAAGAGGATACATTATTTGATGAGAGAGAGATGATTAAAGCTTCTGAAAGGTTTTCAGGGCACAAAGATATTACATTTGGAGATTTGAAGATGGGTTGGTTGCACTGCACTATTTCATACCAAAATAGGGTGGAAATCAATGTTCTTAGTATCATGTCCTGGTTTAGTCACATGGTCAGTATTTCCTGCCATGTCATTGGCTGACTGCCAAAATATGACTCATAGGTCACTGAGTTGATATTAACATGCACAGTGCATCTAGGACAGGACAAACATCGCTCCATTACACCAGGCTCACCTCACATATGGTTACAATCACTCATGTATGGTTGCAGTTTATCGGTTTATTTGATTATGTGTATGTGTGTGTCCCTTCAGCAGTAATTATATGCCTTTGGTGCACATGACAACATGCAATACAGTAGGCCTAATGTTGATAACGAAAGAGATATCCACCACCGCTTTGTAATCTGAGCTAAGCCAAAGACCAGTGTAAAGCAACTCTGCCAGAAATAAGTGAAAAGTGGTTAGAATGTCTCAAGCAATCTCAGAAATTGATTTTATTAACAGCAATTGTGAAATGACTAGTGTATGCATAAGTTAAATAAATAATTTACACTGAATTCCCTTTGTCTTTCATCACTTTCCTTTTAACTACTGATTTGCGTCTCTAGGGGCAGAATTGCATTTTTATCATATTACCCAATAGGACTGAATTAAGTATTCAAATTTAATTATACATCATTACGAATGTGAAGCACGGCTCCATCTTTACTGCTGTGCAATCGCAATGAGGATTCCATTCCTTTTACACCCCATCCATTTTGTATTAGAGGAGTGTTACTGTATGTTCTTGCCAGTAGCCCTGTTTAAGCAGAGGGATTAACAGTTTAAAGGTTATATGGTTGAGCAGATGTGACTGTGTGGAAGATTCCTATCACCTGATTCCTCTGTTAGAGGGGAGGGAGAGAGAGAGAGAGTAGAGGAGTATGGGTTGTGGGGGGAGGGGCTGCTCCGTGCTCCATTGTGACTCAATAGCCTTGCAGCATCTGGCTATAGCGTGGCCCCACTGAATCAAACGGATTAATAAGGACGCTCCAGTGATGGCATTAGTAATACTGGAGCCTGGAGCAAGAATGCTACTGCCTGGCCCCCGTTTTCAGCGGTTTCTTTTATAGGAGAGGACTTCATAATGATAATAGCTAAATATGACCCAAATACATGTGAATGGATGTAAGATGACAAGAGTACAGTAAGAGTAAACATAACAACATCAGACAGGTAGTTATTGTACACTACTGGAGCCATCAAGAGTGGGAATACTGAAGCACAACATCAGGTCCTAGCATGTATAAAAGAACCCAACAACAACATTGGGATGCAGGAGAGAGAAAAATAATTTCCTCACGCACTGCTCCACGTTGCCATGCTTGCCTCAGAGGAGGAGAACTTGTTTGTTTGGAGGAGGGAGGTTGCAACTTGCTCCTTGTCATGGCCCAGCGAGGGACGTTAGCAACAGCACTAAAAATACATCCTGCTTATTACAACCACAACACAACAAACCAACGGCATGTTCAGAAGCTGTATAGGAGGAACCAAAGCTCAGAAGCGAATGTGTCTTTCCTTTGCAGATGAACGCACAGCGCACATGGTTGCTTATAAAAATAACATGACAACGAAAGGCTTTTAGGGACACGAGGGACTTAATATTTCAGAGGCAGTAACGTGGGACTGCGGCGATAGGATTGCATGCTATCTCTGGTGTTATAAACCCCTTGATGTGGCTCAGATATGAGAATGCTCAGCTGGCCGGTCCACTCACTTCAGACGGGCTGGGCATGTTCTATTGTGCATTGGCTGACACTAGGCCAAAGGCATATTTCAATTGTGTCGTAGACCTACTGTCCTACTCTTATGTTGACACAGGTTAATTACACCATAGTCTTGTCCCAGCATCTACTTAATGACGGTTTAAAGTTCTTTCTGCACAGTTAATTCAACTGCTATGGAGTCAAATGTAATACTATTTTGGGGTTTATATGTTCCTATCCCCATTTTGTGTTAAAACGACTCTGGTCATGGTGTTGATATTTTTGGAGTTAAAATGACACTAAATGGATTAAATATCCAACTCTCAGAGAGTTGCTTAAATGTAACTCCAATTGCCATTTTACTATTTTCAGTGTCATTTTTAACCAACTCCCTTGCCATTTCACTTTTCTGTGTTGTTTTACATTAACAATCAACTCCGGCAGAGTAAATTTATCTTTCAGTTTACTTCCTTTGAGTTACAAGGGTGTACAGCCTTATTATATTTCTTAATGTGTCACATTATGGTGGTTTGCAATGTGATATTCAATCTCTGATGAAAGCCAATTTACAGCAAGACATCCAGCCCTCACAACTTGCATTTAGAGTAGGGACTAATGCCTGTCAGAGTAGGGAAGAAAATACAGTACATGAAGACTACCTATAGGGCATTCGGAAAGTATTCAAACCCCTTTTTTAGCGTTACAGCCTTATTCTAAAATTGATAAAATTGTTTTTTCCCCTCATCAATCTACACACAATACCACATAATGACAAAGCAAAAACTGTTTTTTAGAAATTTTTGCAGAATGAAATAACAAAATAACTGAAATATCACATTTACATAAGTATTCAGACCCTTTACTCAGTACTTTGTTGAAGCACCTTTGGCAGCGATTACAGCTTCGAGTCTTCTTGGGTATGACGCTACAAGCTTAGCACACCTGTATTTGGGGAGTTTCTCCCATTCTTCTCTGCAGATCCTCTCAAGCTCTGTCAGGTTGGATGGGGAGCGTCGCTGCACAGCTATTTTCAGGTCTCTCCAGAGATGTTCGATCGGGTTCAATTCCGTGCTCTGGCTGGGCCACTCAAGGACATTCAGAGACTTGTCCCGAAGCCACTCCTGTGTTGTCTTGGCTGAAGTTATTTAGGCTTGGCATAACAAAATTATTGAATACTTATTGACTCAAGACATTTCAGCTTACATTTTTTAAAATTAATTTGTAAACATTCCCCCCACCCAAAAATCCACTTTGACATTATGTGGTATTGTGTGTAGATCAGTGACACACAATCTCAATTTAATCAATTTTAAATTCAGGCTGCAACACAACAAAATGTGGAAAAAGTCAAGGGGCGTGAATACTTTCTGAATGTACTGTACAGATTGGATTAGTGTAGAAAAATTGACGTTTCTTATCTTTGTGTAGCATAAGATCAAAAACAATCAACGTAGTGTTCATGTGAAAACACAGATATTGAAACAAACAATGTAAAAAATCTACCTTCAACAGAGCATGCTGGGAAATATGACAATGAGGCCCCTCCCACATCTGTGGATAACTCCATAGATTTACCTCCCTGTCTCTGGTTAATCTTAATGGAATTAAAAGTACTCCGTCCCAATGAACTCCAGTTATCAACACTAACTCCAGGGAGCATGTTACTCTCTTGAGGGTTACGATAACTCCCAGTAGAGTCAATTTAACTCAAGAAAATGTATCACTGTGATTTCAACTATCCTTGATGTACTGTGTGTTTTAAAGTACTTTCTGACACGACTGGAGTGCTCAACTCCCTATCCACAAAGCTGTATTGTGGAGATAGATTGATGTACAGGAGCTGATTGTGGACTTCAGGAAACAGCAGAGGGAGCACGCCCCTATCCACATCAACGGGACCGCAGTGGAGAAGGTAGAAAGCTTCAAGTTCCTCGGCGTACACATCACTGACAATCTGAAATTATCCACCCACACAGACAGTGTGGTGAAGAAGGCGCAACAGTGCCTCTTCAACCTCAGGAGGCTGAAGAAATTTGGCTTGGCCCCTAAGACCCTCACAAACTTTTACAGACGCACAATTGAGAGCATCCTGTCAGGCTGTATCACCGCCTGGTACAGCAACTGCACCACCCACAACCGCAGCGTTCTCCAGATGGTGCTACGGTCTGCCCAACACATCACCGGGGACACACTGCCTGCCCTCCAGGACACCTACAGCACCCGATGTCACAGGAAGGCCAAAAGGATCATCAAGGACATCAACCACCCGAGCCACGGCCTGTTCACCCCGCTATCATCCAAAAGGCGAGGTCAGTACAGGTGCATCAAAGCTGGGACAGAGAGACTGAAAAACAGTTTCTATCTCAAGGCCATCAGACTGTTAAATAGCCACCACTAGCCGGGTACTACCCGGCTACTCAACCATGCACCTTAGAGGCTGCTGCCCTATATACATAGACATGGAATCACTGGACACTTTAAATAATGGAACACTAATCACTTTAATAATGTTTACATACTGCTTTACTCATCTCATATGTACAGTGGGGAAAAAAAGTATTTAGTCAGCCACCAATTGTGCAAGTTCTCCCACTTAAAACGATGAGAGAGGCCTGTAATTTTCATCATAGGTACACGTCAACTATGACAGACAAAATGAGAAAAAAAATCCAGAAAATCACATTGTAGGATTTTTAATGAATTTATTAGCAAATTATGGTGGAAAATAAGTATTTGGTCACCTACAAACAAGCAAGATTTCTGGCTCTCACAGACCTGTAACTTATTCTTTAAGAGGCTCCTCTGTCCTCCACTCGTTACCTGTATTAATGGCACCTGTTTTAACTTGTTATCAGTAAAAAAAATTGTAGACCTGCACCAGGCTGGGAAGACTGAATCTGCGATAGGTAAGCAGCTTGGTTTGAAGAAATCAACTGTGGGAGCAATTATTAGGAAATGGAAGACATACAAGACCACTGATAATCTCCCTCGATCTGGGGCTCCACGCAAGATCTCACCCCGTGGGGTCAAAATGATCACAAGAACGGTGAGCAAAAATCCCAGAACCACACGGGGGGACCTAGTGAATGACCTGCAGAGAGTTGGGACCAAAGTAACAAAGCCTACCATCAGTAACACACTACGCCGCCAGGGACTCAAATCCTGCAGTGCCAGACGTGTCCCCCTGCTTAAGCCAGTACATGTCCAGGCCCGTCTGAAGTTTGCTAGAGTGCATTTGGATGATCCAGAAGAGGATTGGGAGAATGTCATATGGTCAGATGAAACCAAAATAGAACTTTTTGGTAAAAACTCAACTCGTCGTGTTTGGAGGACAAAGAATGCTGAGTTGCATCCAAAGAACACCATACCTACTGTGAAGCATGGGGGTGGAAACATCATGCTTTGGGGCTGTTTACAGGCCTCTCTCATCTTTTTAAGTGGGAGAACTTGCACAATTGGTGGCTGACTAAATACTTTTTTCCCCCACTGTATATACTGTATTCTATTCTACTGTATTTAGTCAATGCCACTCTGACATTGCTTGTCCTAATATTTATATTTTTCTTAATTCCATTCTTTTACTTTTAGATTTGTGTATTGTTGTGAATTGTTAGATACTACTGCACTGTTGGAGCTAGGAACACAAGCATTTCGCTACACCCGAAATAACATCTGATAAATATGTGTATGTGACCAATAAAATTTGATTTGATTTGATTTACATGAATGGGCATTTAGTCACAGGTGCATTTCTGGTGTACCTTTTAGAGCATGAATTAATAT